ATGCAGACGTTGGTCTCTCTAACACTGTGGCATGTCCCCTTTCTTCTACACTCACTACATACAGCTTTTCTCTGTCTCAGACTATATACCAGGAACTTCTGCCTGCTAGTAAGAAGGTAAGGAGACAAGTGGACCAGCGAGTGCTAGGGGACAATCCTTAGAAAGAATGGAGTGAGCGCATCATTAGACGCATTTATGTCAAGCTCAAGGTGCTGCCTGCATTGTATGCCCTTAGTTGGACAGCTTGCAGGATTGGCAGGCAGCCTGACATGCATTCACACCAGGCTGACCTTCCAATTCTTTGGACAAACATGCCCCCTTTTTGGGCATGTTCACCCCTTTTGGCAGGTCTTGTCACGTGATTCGCGCCAGTGGCCCACCCTTTTACCATGCCCATTGACTTCCTGCTTCACTGGACACTGCTGTTAGGGGTTATGGATTTACTTGAAAGATGGAAGCATAAATTAGAGAGAAATTAGCATAGAGTATGTGTTTTCTTATAGCTGCATCCTTCTGAGTTTCCCTCCAGCACCATCTCCATCAGATACATGACGCTTGGGAGGTATGATTGTTTTAGTGTTTTTGGTTGATAAGATTCCGTAATTAGGCCCATCATAATTGTCAGCACCAGGCCCACTGTGCTCTTAATCCGGCCCTGGTCACAGTAAATGAACATATCCATTTAGAGGTAAAGTCTCAGTGGGCAGCAAATCTGAGGTCTCTCAAGCAGGAGGTTTATACAGTCTGATCTGTTACTGGTGTCTGATATCTTGCTATGGTTACAGTACAATTATAGCAGAGAAAAGGCTATCTAAATAGTGCATTTGACCACAGTAACAGTCCTTTAAAATATTCTATTAGAATCCCTGAAAGCAGTTGTTTTATATATAGTAGTACTAATGCACTGGATCACAAAGCATAACCCATTATTGGCATCTGTAACATGCCAAGTTAGCAAAGTGTGCAGAAAATACACTATTAAATATATAAAGGTTTATGGACAAGGTTGTAAGCCTGTAATTGTCGTGTAAATCTTGTGGATATGGGAGTTATTGACTAAATGGTGAATCCCAATTTAAGTGAAAACCAACAGAGTACCTGATAATGGCTTGCAGGAACAAACAGTGCTATGGTGAAATGCTGAGTTTGCTAGGACCCTAGTACGGTGTCAAGTTCTGGACAGGGTTGATGGTAAAGTTCAAAGAACTTGTCAACATACTTAATAACAACAACATAGGGTTATCACTTACCTCGGTCATTGATGAAAAATCTTTAGAATTCCTCAACCTCAGAATAACACTGACCATCGGAGGAATAGTAGAAACAGAATAATTTAGAAAAGCTACCGCCACCAACAACCTCCTCCACTGACAAAGCCATCACCCAGTAAAAATGAAGGCGGGTATACCATACCGGCAACACCTAAGAGCACGGAGAAACTACTCGAATGACCCCACATTCTACAACGAAGCTAAAGAGATCAAGAAAAGATTCAAAGAACGGGGCTACCCCAATAAGATTCTCAAGAGTGCTTATCAGAAGGTAATCACTATGGATAGATCCACCTGCCTTCGCTCATCAAGACCTAAACCCACACAAAATGTTATCAGATGCATAGGCACTTTTGATCAATATTGGGACTCTGTGAGAAAAATATTCTCCAGAAATTGGCCCATACTTATGCATGACAAAGAACTTAATGACAATATTACCACCTACCCAAGCATAACAGCACGCCAACCAAAAAACCTGAGAGATCTACCAGTTCACAGCCACCTTGAACCACCTATCACCACTCCAGGGTGCCTATCACAAACTAAGGGAGTGTACAAGTGTGGCTCCTGCAAGGCCTGCAAATTCATTAATACATCCAAATCTGTACTATGCACAAGAACTAACAATCAGTATCCTATCCGTGACTTCATAAACTGCAGTACCACAAGAATTGTTTATATCATCACATGCAGTTGTAGCCTACAATATGTGGGCAAAACTTATGAACAATTTCATAGACGCATATTACAACATGTGAACTCAGTTACCAATACAAATATTAGTACACCTATCGCTAATCATGTCTGTTCTCAACATCAAGGGGATACCTCTAACCTCAAATTTCCAGCAATAGAAAGAATAACCACAAATTCCAGAAAAGGCGATTTCAACATAAGACTACTTAAAAGGGAGTCCAAATGGATTCATGAACTCAAGACACTAGCCCCTCAGGGACTCACTGAGGAGTTTTACTTCACACCATCTATACATTAATCTTTCCCACTAGTTATTCATAGTAACCATTTTTATATCCCTTATTAGTACTGGTAAATACTTAAGCTGTCTGCATTATCTTATCCAGTGACAAATACATATATTTTATAAGTTCCATTAAATGCAGTGTTCAGTTATCTCTTCTTCATTGTGGATAATGCTAGGTGATTCCTTCAATCACACACTATCCATATTACTACCCCAGGATACCCATATATAGTATAGTATATTCTCTTGAGTGTTAAGGTGAATGCAGGGGTTTATTTAAGGGGTCCTGATTCTTTGCAGGCATTGTGACTGTAAATCTTATGGGAGATATAGTCCACAACATCTGGAGTGCCAAGATTGTCTACCTCCGTTCTAGACCTCATGTAGAAAGGATCATCCTTGCAGATTCCATGCTATTAGGTTGAACATTTTTTTTAAAACAGCGCATTGGAATCTTCTAGTTGTTGACCCTTTGACAACATGAAAAGGTCTGTAAACCAACTCCTTTTCAACACGAATGGAATTATTGCATTAACTTTGGCCTGCTCGTTTGATCTTTTGAAAGATTCTGGAAATAATTGCTATAGGTGGAAAGACATTATTCAATGAAAACCCCCAAGGAATTGAACAGAAATACAAAATATTGTGGTGATCGCTTCTTTGAAGAGATGAAAATCTTTGCATTTTTGGTTGTCTTGCCATTAGTTTTATAACTAAAACTCCAAATTACCTTACTATATTTGAGATCATTGCATTATGTAGTTCCTAGTGGTCTTATCTCCACTTTCCTCTGAAGACCACTAACAATTCTCTGAAGTTAGAAGATTCTACTTTCCTATATTGCCCAGATTTATTGTGCTGTAATACTTTGCCAGTGGCCAATCTAGAGCTTCAGCTTCAATTGTTAGAGTTTCCCCATTTTATTTCTTGGAATGATAGACCATTTCAAAACTTTGACTTCTACCATCAGTCTAGATTTTAGAGTTTTTTGACCCCTGAAATTATAATTCCTTTGTCAAGTTCTACTATTTTATCTGTTATTTAAGAAAAGCTTCCTGCAATTCACAAATGTCGACTTTAGCCTGTTGGACTGCCGGGTGCTCATTGCTCGCCTTATACAGCCAAGGAGGTTCTCTCCTAATTCTCTCACTGCACTGAAAATCTTTTTATGGGGGGTTGGTAAAAAAAAAAAAAAAAATTAAAATTTTCAAGTAATCTACATGGTTTGCATAATTTTAAGTACGAAATTTTCAAACTATAATACAACACTTTAAAGCAGATGACTGGATTAACCCCCTTGGAAATCTATTTTGCATCGCTAACACTGCTTCCTAATTGAGGTTATAAGCACTCTTGCGATACACCCCTGACTGAACCAGAAACCAGACAGGTCTGGGAAAATGGAGGACATACTTTCCTGACTAAAGACCGGAAGATATCGTAGCTGCACACTATACACAATGCCAATTATTCCCATGGTTTCCTATTAAGATATGTTCCTGAAAACCACACATTATGCTTATTATTCCTCACTGACTCCATCTAATGACCAAATAAGACACTTCAACTTGTTTCAAGTGCACAGATTCCAAAATAGACATGCATATTACGGTCTGTTACAGTACTCCTCGATTAAAACCTTTGGGAGGGAACTCTGGTGGTACCTAGACACTAATAACATGTCTCCCTCCCACCCCCAATACAGCTCTATCTTGGCTCTCAGTTAGTCCCCTCCCAGATAAGTATATAAACAAACTATTGTGGGATGTAAAACTATCCTCTTCTGGTCTGAAAACAGCCAGTTGCGCCACCCTTGCATCTATTTTTAACCAAACTAAATTTTCTATTTAAAATTGATTTGCTAAACACCTTAACCAACAAGGAAATTCTAGCCAGAAAATTATCTTAGACATAGGGATCTTACATTCTTACTCTGAACACCTTGCAGCATTTCAGCGCTAGCAGGCTGGTGAGGGAGATCTCTATGATCATAGCACTGGGGAAACATTTTGCAGCACCTACCCAGACAATCCAAGTTGCACACTTAATCCATTACAGTAGTTAGTTTTGTAAAAGGAAAACGCCAACCACCATAACCATTAAAGTACACTATAGTGGTTATGGTTCAGCAATGCCTTGTCACTACTCCATTGTAAGTTGTCAAGCCATTTTTAGAAAAGTTTCACGTTACAGCACAGTTAGAGCCAGAAGCTCATAAACAGGAACTTCCATTAGCTCTCCTGAACAATGTCTCTCACCACTGTGCTTTAGCAGTTATGGAGCTTGGAGTGTTCCTTTAAATGAGGCTTTCAATAGGCTTACTGTAGCCAAGTATGGCTGCTGTAATCCAATTATGGAGTTATTGATTAAGGTTTAAGCGTACATTCTAGGGAAGAAAAATATAGAATATTACAAACACTTCACTTGTGCAAAAAAAAAAAAAATGTGCCCCATTTTTAAAAGCAGTCTTAGCTTGCTAGGGTATGACCTGCCAAAAAAGGCTACATTGGCATTGTGGTAGGCTTATGCAATGTATGATCCCCGTTATTTTTGGCAGCTCAGGTGTTAAAAGACCAAAAAAAAAAAAAAACTTACATTTTGTCAGCCTTGAAGTTGGTGTGTGAGTGACTTGGATCTTGTATGTTGAATTAATTGTCCCCATTAGCACCCTTATAATGTATGCATGTTCATTTAGTAGACCCTATGTAGGAAACGTGTAAAAAAAACAAACAAAAACACACAAAAAAACCACATTGGACCAGAACTTTTTGTTCCAATTTTATTTCCGATAATATAAAAATTCTTCCAGATAATATTTTAATCTTCATCCTCCTCTTCCTCCTCATCTTGGTTGATCTGGAAGTATCTCAATTCATAGCTTTCCTTGCTGTTTGCAACAACACGAAGCCAATCACGTAGATTATTTTTCTTGAGGTATTTCTTAGTTAGGTACTTTAAATACCTAATAAAGATTAGAGGAAGACAGGTAGATTTAATTTACCATGTATAAAACAGAAAAACGATAAAACACAACACACAAACAGTTGAAAATTCAGAAAGACAAACTTTCTAAATAGTATAAACAGTGAAACATGGTCCACAAGGAGACAGAGGGAGAAAGTATCAGTATAATAAATGAGTTACAAAAGGGATTATATACACACATATATATATATATATATATATATATACACACACACACACACACACACATATATATATATACACACATATACACACACACGAGCAGTCGTTAGTACAAGGGAAATCCCAGGGTAAATCAGTGTTCTCCTCACAAAAACTGCTAGCTAAACAATGTGTCTCCTTCCTATATGAAGTAGTTATTGATCGCTATGTGTTATCTTGACCCAGCTGAAGCAGAGTATACAATACCAATACCACCCTATACTGCCCTCAATTGCAAGCTGCAGCAACTTTCCTAAACCCTTTATTCACTGGGGGAAAGCTTTGTATTCCTGGCACTATAGGAATAAGATTATTTAATGAATTAAATATTATATGTTAAAGGGATACTGTAGGCACCCAGACTAATTGAAGTAGTCTGGGTGCTTTATCCCGTTTACATTACAGCTCTACATCTGCCCTTAGTGGCTGTCTATCAGACAGCCACAAGAGGGCTTCCGGAATCCAAACAGACTTTTGGTCCGCGGACCTCCAGCATCAGATTTTCCCCACAGGAAAGCAATGAATAACGCTTACCTATGGGTAGATCTAATTTGCGTGCGGCCATTGCCGCACATGCGCATTAGGTATTCCCCGTCGACGTCAGAGGGGAAGGAGTGTGGTCGAAGTATGACCCATCAGCGCTGGATTCAGGTAAGTGTCCGAAGATGTTTTAACCACTTCAGCCCCGTTGGAGGTGAGGGGGAACCTATTAATCCTATAGTGCCAGAAAAAAAATGCTCTCTTTTCCTAGCACTATAGAATCACTTTAAAGACTGATCTAATAAAACAACTGACGCGCAAGATTTATTAAGGCAAACAAGATGCTATTTTGGATGCAAAGAGCTTGATGTCGAGAGTCAATTTGTTTCCATGGTGACTTTTCATTTAGCAATTCCCCCAGAATAATCTCTCTCAAAAACCTATATAGATATAATAGAAGGTAAGAGATATATTTCTCAAAGATTTGTCTTGATATTTAGGTGTCCAGCAGCCACTCATTTGGAATACTGAACCATTAAAAAGGTGGCACATAAAAACAAGCATGTATGAGTGGGAATCAAGACAGCAATTATAATCAATATGAAAGATATACTGTGAAAGACCAGACATTGATACTAATCAATACTAGCTTAACCCCTTAAGGAGACAGACACACACACACACGTGTGACATGTCATGATTCCCTTTTATTCCAGAAGTTTGGTCCTTAAGGGGTTAAAGGAGCACTATAAGGTCAGGAACACATACATGTGCATACACTATAGGGTCAGGAACGTGTATTCCTGACCCTATAGTGTTAAAACCACTATCTAGCCCCCTTGGCCTCCCTAAAGATAGTAAAATCTTACTTATAGTCAAGTCTAAAGCTGCTGCCTCTGTCTGTGAACTTCCTCTGACATCATCAGAGGTGGTGACCTGGTCCAATCACAATGCTTCTTCATAGGATTGGCTGAGACTGACAAGGAGGCAGATCAGCGGCAGAGCCGGCACAATTCAAACACAGTCCTGGCCAATCAGCATCTCCTCATAGAGGGGAATTGAATCAATGAATCTCTATGAGGAAAGTTCAGTGTCTGCATGCAGAGGGTGGAGACACTGAATGTTTGGATGCATTTTAGGCAGCCATGTCCCAGGAAGGATCTCTAACAGCCATCTAAGGAGTGGCCAGTGAAGTTATCACTAGGCTGTAATGTAAACACTGCATTTTCTCTGAAAAGACAGGGCTTACAGCAAAAAGCCTGAAGGTAATGATTATACTCACCAGATCAAATTCAATAAGCTGTAGTTGTTCTGGTGAACATAGTGTCCCTTTAACATGCAATGAGCATTTAGTTGAGGTCCAAGGAGGATATTTCATACTGCATTTTTAAATGTCAATTCAATGAACAACATACTTTCTGTACCCCAATGAAAAGGTTACTCCAATCATCATAACATTTTGAGTTATTTGAAGAGGCCATGGTGCCTGAATATGCACCTCTTCTCTTTGATGGTTGGGGTAACCCCGTTAAAAGCAGGAAAACGTTCTATGGAAAAAAAAAAACCACATACATCTAAACAATAAAATTAAATATAAATTTGTTAGATTGTATTCACCTCTTGGAAAATGGCACCTCTGATGTCACAGTGATTTTACTCTTGCTTCTCTCAATTGAAACAACTCCACCTCCCAGGTTACCAACCTTTCCATTCACTTTGATTCGGTCATGTAAGAACTGCTCCTGCAATAGGCAATGGATTAGCTGAGTGCACTTCTACAACCATTAAAGAACTGCAGCTTATATACATCTAGAAATGTACACTCTGTGTTCAAGTTGGGTAACCTTAAACTCGGGCTGTATTGTACAAGATTCGGGTCAGAACAGTCCGCCGAGACAGCATGCACAAAGGAATACACAACAGCACCAGTGCAAAAAGGTTATTATTGCTGTGCTCTCATAGCCCTAATAACACTTTAGAGAAGAAAAAAAAAAAAAGTGTAAGAGGTTTAAAGGGACAGTCAAACACTTACCACTTAATTTTTGTCAAAGCGGTTACCAGTACAAAACAAAAACAAACCATTGGGTGTATCTTAAAGGATCACTCCACTGCACTTATAAGAAAAAAAATAATTAAAATCACTATTTACCAGATACACCCCAATACATACATGCCTGTATTTCCACACATATATTCATTGGGGGTATATCCTAAAGGAACACTAGTCACCAGAACTAATTTAGCTTAATGAAGTAGTTTCTATGTATTGATCATGCCTCTGCAGTCTCACCACTCCATTATCTGCCATTTAAGAGTTAAATCACTTTGGTTTGTTTATGCAGCCCTAGCCACACCTCCACTGGCTGTGACTCTCACACAGCCTGCACGAAAACAAAATGGTTTAATGTTCAATTGGATCTGACAGCAGTGTCAACTTTTACTTTAGAAGTTTTTATCTCTTGCTCTGTAAATTGAACTTTAATCAAACACACAGGAAGCTCATGCATGCCCTAGCAGACTATTAACAGAGGAGCAGGATATGAAGAATCTCCCTCCATGCATTCGGTATTTTCCCTCCCTGCTAGATTTAGATTTATTACTAGTTCATTCGTTACTTTCTATTCGTCAAAATAGCTATTTTTACCAAACGAGGACCACCCTGGGTAGCAATTAGAACGTAGAATCCTGTGTTATTGCACGAAACCACAAGCTAATTGAGTGCTCCTGGGTGGCGGCCATCTTAAACTCCCGAACGGCCGGCGAGCGGGAGATTTAGGCGTCGAGCGCCTGGAACTAATTTCGGCATGGCTCTCCAGAAATCCTCGGTCCCCCATGGAAGTCCCGTCTGACCCATTTCCACAAATGGATTTCGGGAGTTTCAATCTACCGAACGAGGGGAGCACTCTCATGTAACCAGCTACATTATATCTATGGGGGTTTTCGTGCAATTTTCAACCGAACGGAGACTGGTTCGCATCACTGATTTCATGGAACTCTGAGTCGGCTACAACCTCGTGGCAAGCCGGTCAAACTTCCACACAGTATAACTCCAAAACTACTGAACGGATTCTCATTTGGATATGTTGCTCACATCACCCTCAGCTACCCAGGGATATGGCTTTTATATTGATAAGTTATGTTTAAAAGTAAGTTTCTAATAATTGTGAAAATTTTTAACTTTTCTGGCCACTAGATAATTGTGTTTGATAAGTGCTCAAACCCAATTATCTAGCCTGGCCCAGAGGAGGAGTTATGTACTGTATAAATGGTGTGCCCTGTTTCTCAGTAAATCAGACTTGTTCCAGCATTAAGCCTTGGCTTATGTGTGGATTATTCGGCAATACCAGCGATTTATTACTCTGTGGATTACTTGGCGATTTTATTTTATGGGAAGAAGGGCATGCTTGACGGAGTAAAGGATTGTACCGTCACACAGGAGATAAGAAATTATAAAAGAAACAGACTGCAATAAAGGAATCTCTTTTTACTGTCCAAGGACATAAAAAAGATCTCTCTTTATAGAGTGTTTAGGAAGGCTGTGCAAGTCACATGCAGGGAGGTGTGACTATGGTTCATAAACAAAGTTATTTAACTACTAAATGGCAGAATTGAGCAGTGAGACTGCAGAGGCATAACGTATACACCTAAATTGCTTCTTCTTAACTTACAAAGTTAGCAGCGTCCATGATGCCATCTTCCACAGGATGTGTGCAGTCCAAAGTGAATTTCAGGAGCTGCTTCTTTTTTTTGCTGCCTTTGGTAGCAACCTTTTTCTATAAAAATCAATCACAAATTAATACAATTAGTAAACATTAATCAACAACCTTCTACAAGACCACTGGTCAAAAGAATCCCCCCCACCACAATACCCTGTATTTAGCACTATATGCATATTTCAAGGCACATAAGGAACATTCAGGAATAAAAACATGCATTCTATAGTGCTGGTGTGGATGTTTAGGTAGCAAACCCTGTCTGACTTTACTCACCATTTTTCCCTAGTCGCAGCTCATCTTTATGATCGCTAATCAGCATCACCTCACAGAGTTGCTTTGAATCAATACATCTCTATTGGGAATGTTTGGCACCTCCATGCAGAGCGTGAAGATGTTGAACGCCAGTGTGGCACACTGTACAACACTGGACTAGGAAGTACCTCTGAGTGACTGTCACTAGGCACCAATGTGAACACTGCCTGCAGGGACAGAACATCTACATTACGCTAATTGTTCTGGTGTCCTTTTAAAGAAATTACCTCCCATGCATATATTACGTATGCAACATTAAATGACCACTATAGGTACCACTGCTATGTTTATACTACGGTTAAAGGACCACTATAGGCACCCAGAAGACCACTTCAGTTTAATGAAATGGTCTGGGTGCCAGGTTCATCTAGGATTAAACCCTTTCTGCTGTAAACATAGCTATGTTTACAAATGGGTTAATCCAGTCTCTAGTGGCTGTCTCATGTGGCTAGTGGCTGTCTCAGTGACAGGCGCTTCTCACTGTGATTTTCACAGTGAGAAGACGCCAGTGTCCATAGGAAAGCATTGAGAATGCTTTCCTATAAGACTGGCTGAATGCGCGCGCGGCTCATGCGCATTCAGCCGATGATGGGAAAGGAGGAGGAGAGTCCCCGGCGCGGGAAAAAAGGTAAAGGATTAACCCCTTCCTCCCCCCCAGAGCCCAGCGAGAGGGGGGCCCAAGGACCCTAGAGAGCCAGGAAAACTAGTGGTCCTTTAATCCAGCCTCTAGTGGTTGTCTCATTGACAGCCACTAGAGGCGCTTCTCGCTGTGAAAATCACAGTGAGAAGATGCTGACGTCCATAGGAAAGCATTGAGAAATGCTTTCCTATGGACAGATTGAATGCGCATGCACGCGGCCCTTGCCGCCGTGCGTATTCAGCTCTGACGTCAAAAGAGGGAGTAGAGTTCCCCAGCGCCGAGGGAGTCCGGCGCTGGAGAAAGGCAAGTATATAACCCCTTCAGCCCCATTGAGCCCAGCGGGAGGGGGGGGACCTAAAGACCACATAGTGCCAGGAAAACGAGTTTGTTTTCCTGGCACTATAGTGGTCCTTTAACCCCTTAAGGACAACTTCTGGAATAAAAGGGAATCATGACGGATATTTCCGTCATGTGTCCTTAAGGGGTTAATCACAGTCAACTCCCAAGAGCTTCATTTTAATCTGTTCAGCAGTTTATAATTATTTAATAGCAGATTTAGCAGTGGGTGAGTGTCACTGCGTTACACCAATAGACGCTGCATAATGGCAGTGCTGGTAGTAATAGAGAGTATTAAGCATTTAATATAACCTAAAGCAATACATAATTTGAAAGCAATATACATTCTACAAAGACTGCATAAGAAGTTATGACTCAAAGTGAAGATGTCATGGAAATGTAACATTACTATGGTTTAATGCAGAGCTTGACAAATACCAGGTTGCTATGGAGAAAAAAAAAATGGACCTGGTGCTCCACAATTTGAGAGAAAAACTAAATACTTTCTTGGACTGGGTTGTCCGAGATTTACATATGCTGTTTTAACTTTTTTTCGCATTTCACCCCCTTACTTCTACTTTTTCAGTAGTTTCACCTCCGGATGATCCCTCCTCTCATTGTCTGCTGCACACCTTTTCCCATTCTGTCATTAATGCAACTCTCTACTGCTTGCCCTTCCTCAACACTCAAACACCCACCTTGATCAAATACAGAAGGCCGCATCCATGCCCTGGTCTGCTCATACAACACCCCTTCTTTAAAACTCCATTGGCTTCCTATTAAGTGCTCTATTTTCAAATGCCTCACTCTTGTATACAAATCTCTTCATAACCTTACCCCATCCTCTTTCTCCTCCATGGTAACTCTGTATAGACCCACCAGTCCTCTCCCTCTCAGGTACACTCCTTAAAACAGTCCCATACCCATGTGCCCCTTTCTGCCTTCGACTCATTCTCACTATCTCCTTAGTACTAGAAAAGGCTCCCACCTCATATCAAGTCAGCCACCTATCTTGCACCTTTTTGCAAACTTCCAAAGTCATCCCTTTACTCCAACATCCCAAGATGGACAATAACTCGTTGCTCACCTCACCAGATCTGATCCATCCCCAATTTCCCCCTCTACCCACCAGTGCATCTTTCATCTGGATTCTTACCTCCCCTAGTCAAAAATCTGTTTTGTTGAGGAAATTATATACCATAACCCAGTGGAACTTTTCATTGTTCTATGTAACCTTGCTATTCTTGCATGTTCAAGAATTTCCACTAATTGTTCTTTGTTATAGCATTATTTATCCTCATTATTACATCCAACTATATTGAAACTCAATGACTATCAAAATGTTATTTTCACCAGTATAATCTGTGAATATACATGATATGTATTATAAAAGAATTGTTAAAGAAACACTCCACGGTCATACAAATAAAAACACAATGAAAACATGCATGCATTTAATTATAAACAATAAAACACCAAAATGATGTTCTGACTTTAATTCTCCCAAGACCACCAAAAGTCTGACATCAGAGCCAGTTCTATCCCACCTATGCTGATATACTTTAGCCAGTTATATATAGGTTATTGATAATGAGTGGGATGCAATAAATGATTATTATATTATTTCATCCATATATACATGCTGAATTGCCCTATTGTGAACATTCTCTTTCAGAGACATCTTTGATATTCTGCCAAAGGGTAAATTATTTTGTTATTCACATAGAAGTGTGTGATTATACACGAGGTGATATATTGATCTCACAGATTTATGTTTAACATATAGTGCACTATCATTTGGTGTTTTGTGTTTATACTTGCAGTATCAAATTTAGTGATTGGATTTCTAGATGCATTGACTGCCGGTATACCATACATCTGTCTATTCTATTATACATTTAATTATGCATTTTTTTCATTGGAGGGATATCTAAAATAACTTGCAAAATGTGCAGATCTTTTGTCTGCAGCCTTTACAAGACCCTTTTCACCAGCCCATACTTTCTGTGGCTGTCCAATCACAGAATTCCAAATGCAGAACATTGACAATCTTTTCAAGGCAGGTATCTGGGCAATTGCTTGCCTCTTGGGTTGAACTCCACCAAGCTAAACTACAAAGAAATAACAGGACTGATTTTTTGATTGATTGGCGTTTAACAAGTTTAAAGGGCCTAAAGTACTATAAGACCCTATAGTGTTAAAACCACCATTTAGGTGGCTTGCTGCCGCCCCACTCCCTTTAACCCACATAACTCCTCATCGAGATGCATTGAATCAATGCATCTCTATGAGGATAGTCCATGATACCAAGTGTCTCCATGCAGAGGGTGTGCAGCACTGCCCCAGGAAGCACCTCCAGTAGCCATCTGAGGAGTGGCCAGTGGAGTTATCCCTAGGCTGTATTGTAAAAGCTACGTTTTCTCTGAAAAAAACAAACAAATGTGTTTACTGCAAAAAGCCTGTAGGGACTGATTATGCTCACCAGATCAACTACATTAAGCTGTAGTTGTTCTAATGACTATAGTGTTCCTTTAAAGACATACTATAGGCACTAAAACACCTTTAGCAGTTTTAGTGTACAGATCATGCCCCCGCAATCTCACTGCTCAATTATCTGCCATTTAGGAATTTGTTTTTTGTGTCATTTGTTTCTGTCCATGCAGCCCTAGCCACACCTCCCCCTGATTTTTAATCACGTTAACTTTATTTACACTTTTTTTTTTTTTTAAATCTCCGCTCTCTACTCTGTTAAAATGAAATTTAATCACACATAGGAGTCTCGTGCAGGGTCTAGGCGGCTATTAACCGAGCAGGAGATAAAAAATTCTAAATTAAAAACAGACTGTGAAATAAAGGAAGTTTAAACATTAGATCTCTTTTTTTAAGGAAGTGTTTAGGAAGGCTGTGCATGTTCTATACTGGGAGGTGTGACTAGGGCTGTATGAACAAAGCGATGGCAGAGAATTAAGCAGCGAGAATCCAGGAGCATGATCTATACACCAAAACTGCTTCATTAAAAGGAACACTATAGTGTCAGGAATATAAATATGTATTCCTGACACTATAATGGAAAAAAAACAAAACACCACCATTTAGGTAGCCAACCTCACTTGTCTCTCGTAAAAGTGGTAGTTAACTTACCCTTTTTACAGCACCCCTCTGGTTTTGTCACAACTGTCTCTGCCCCACCTCCTTGGCTGAAATCCTCTAATCTGATTATCTCAGCCAATCCAATACTCTCTCATAGGAAAGCAGTGGGAGGCTACTGCACATGCAAGGCAAAACGCCACACTTCGCCAATCGGCATCGCTTCACAGAGATGCACTGAATTCCTATGGGGAGCGTTCAGCACCTCCATCCAAAGTATGGGGACACTGCAGCACTAACACATAAAGCACCTCTTGTGACCATCTGAGTAACTTCCACTAGGTGTTCCTACGCAGTAATGTAAACAATGCCTTTTCACTGAAAAGGCAGTGTTTACATTAAAAAGCCCAAAGAGAATGGCTGTAGACACCAGAACTACAAAAAGCTGTAGTTTTTCTGGTGACTATAGTGTCCCTTTAAGCCAGGGGTGCCCAAGAGGTAGATCCCCAGATGTTGTAGAACAACAACTCCCATGATGCTTTGCATGCCTTTAGAATAAAGCATCATGGAAGCTGTAGTTTTAAAATATCTGGGTATCTACTTTTTGGACCCCCCTGTTTCAAGCTAAAGTTGTTTTGGTGCCAGTAGTATCCCTTTAATTTAGATTGTAAGCTCCTTTAGACAGGTCCCTATTCACCTACAAACACATTCTATAAGCATTAATACATAGGGTAATGCATATACCACATAACACCTATTAATATATTATTTTAAAGTTATTAAATAATCTCAAGTACTAACTGACACACTGAGGTCTGGAAAACACTTGTTTTGCAACTCTTGTCACCAAATTTTAAGTATTACTAAATTAATATTTTGCAGTACAGTGCCAACCAGAACTAATCACGATTTTCATAGAATATTGGCACTCAATTAGTAATTTTTTTATTTTGAAAATGTATTAATAAAAACATTTATAGAGAATATTGGTACTCAACCTGTCATCACTAGCCAATGATGGGAATAAAATTAACCAAATAGAACGTGCTTTATAACATACTACTGCCTTGGAGACCACTGCATTTCTAATTTTTAGCATCTCAAACTTAGGTGATAGCAAGGAACCACAATTTAAATTAAAAAAAAAAAAACAAAAAAAAAAAAAACCCACCCCTTTCATTACTGGAGTAAGATTGGCAAAAAATAAAAAGTTTAAATTTCATAACATCTACTAATGACTGCCATACACCTGCACTGGCTTATGAAACAGATTTATTCACTTAATTTATCATCGAGATGATCACCATGCAAAGTGTGGTGACACCAAATGCAGTGTGTATCCAATGCTGCAAAAAAAAGCAGCATTGGATTGGAAGATCGCATATGCCATGATACCAATGCTCTTCTATTAGAAGCATATGATTTGTCAAAAGTCATCAAGAATGACAACTTTACAGCAGAAGGATTAGGCTGCAGTGAGGTGTCTGTGTTGGAATATAGGTACATTTTATTTCATTTAAAAAAAATTAAAAAAAAATTATATATGTAACCAATGTAATACATTTTTATTTACCTCACATATACACTTTTAGTAAAAAGTAATAAAGATGTGATTAAATAATGCAAAATGTAACAGTGCCACTAAAGCCCACTGTTTTTCATCTGGAGGATTGCAAATTGTAAACAGAGGTTGAACTCACTGACTAAACAGTAAATGTAAAAAAAAAAAACCCAACACAACAAAACCCTGGTGTTCGCCAATTCCTCTAACTCAAAAATCTGCAGTTACTTAACAAGTCATTGTTTAATATAAACCCAATAAAGAGTCCACTTTCCTTACATTCACTTATAATTATATATGGCCTAAAGTTTCCTGGCAGATGTTGAACTACAAATCCCATGATGCTTCGCCAGCCTTACAGCTATTAGAGCCATCCCTAAGCTTGCAGATCTGCACCATGTCTCCGCTGGCTCCTGGTTTTAGAAGGCTGCCCAGCTCGGTATTATTGAGGGTTAGGGTTTATAGCTCCATCCCTCACCCCTAGCAGCGCCCTACCCAGCCCTATACATATCACAGTAAGGGCTTATTTCAGGGCCCTTCCCCTGGCCCGGCTTGGTAACATACTCTAGCCCCAGGCTTGGCCCGGTTACTGGGCCCCGCTCCCCCTGGCCCGGCAACATAGTCTAGCCCCAGGCTTGGCCCGGTTACTGGGCCCCGCTCCCCCTGACCCGGCAACATAGTCTAGCCCCAGGCTTGGCCCGGTTACTGGGCCCCGCTCCCCCTGACCCGGCAACATAGTCTAGCCCCAGGCTTGGCCCGGTTACTGGGCCCCGCTCCCCCTGACCCGGCAAGGTAACATACTTTAGCCCCTGGCTTGGCCCGGTTACTGGGCCCCGCTCCCCCTGGCCCGGCTTGGTAACAATCTAGCCCCAGGCTTGGCCCGGTTACTGGGCCCCGCTCCCCCTGGTCCGGCTTGGTAACACAGTCTAGCCCCAGGCTTGGCCCGGTTACTGGGCCCCGCTCCCCCTGGCCCGGCTTGGTAACATACTCTAGCCCCAGGCTTGGTCCGGTTACTAGGCCCCGCTCCCCATGCTCCGGCTCCCTTCCCCCTGGCACGGCTTTACACAGCCCTCCTGACCGCCCCACGCCCGGCCTGTCTACAGCCCCCTCCTCGGGGCACTGGAAGGCAGCCTGGGAGACCGAGAGCGGCGACAAACAGAGACATTATCACAACAAACAAGCCGGAGCTCGATACTGACCACAGGAGCCATGGCGACCCGAGCTGGGAGAAAGGAAGAGGAAGGCTCCGCGCATGCGCTACGTAATCAGGTGGCTGGCCAGGGGAGAGCAGTGGAGTGCCGAGCGCAGGCGAGATCGGAGCTCGATTATTGTGGGATATTCCCTGCCTGGAAGCAGTCATAGAATGTTGTGTTATCCCTTTGATTCTAATACCGTTACTGACAGATAAGAGTTATATACATAGCATTAGCAGTGGCCACCCAATTAAAAAGCAACGTGAGCCAGGCGCTCAGTGTACAGAAGGTAGCAGATTTATTTATAAAGTAAGAACATATAAACTGCAACCTTTATACTTCCAATGAGGTGTTTATCAAGCTAAAGATAAAGGCCTCATTGGAGCGCAAAACATTGCTGTTTATAATCTGACGCGCCGAATAATTCTGCTACCTTAGAAACATAGAATGTGACGGCAGATAAGAACCAGTCGGCCCATCTAGTCTGCCCAATTTTCTAAATACTTTCATTAGTCCCTAGCCTTATCTTATAGTTAGGATAGCCTTATGCCTATCCCACACATGCTTAAACTCCTTTACTGTGTTAACTTTAGTGTACTTCTGTACATTGAGCGCCTGGATCACGTTGCTTTTTACATTTATGTATGGGGTTTGCCAGCCTCGGGTCCAGCTGTGCACCTGGTTTCATATATATTAGATAAATGCTGATTATAACTAAGATGAGCTCAGTGACCTATTCTTAAACTGTAATATACTATCATACTTTATAGCTATAGACTGTAAGCTCATTTGAGTAGGGTCCTCTTCAACCTATTGTTCCTGTAAGTTTTCTTGTAATTGTCCTATTTATACTTAAATCCCTCGTCTTATAATATTGTAAAGCGCTACAGAATCTATTGGCGCCATATAAATGCCAATAATAATAATAGCTGTCAAGTGTCTGTTTGGGATTTGACACAGAATGGGTCGAGGCTCCGGTTGTCTGAGAACACCATAGCCACTACAATGGGCTGTAGTGGTTATGGCGCTTAGAGTATCCATTTATCATGTCCTGAATAGCCAAAACCCTGGTACATCTTCAGCCATACATCCTAGAATTTCATATGTTGTGCAGTGTGTGCACAACAAGTGTATTGTGACGGATCCGACCGAGTACCTCCGCCAATCGATGCTCCTAGTGCTTGCCGAGGACTCCAACCGACACCATCAGCACTGCAGACTTATCCCATCCACCAAGCATGAACCAAGGCTTCAAGAAAGGGTCAAGCAGGTCTGTTTAATGAGAACACAAAGCAACAGCACTCATGCAGCAAAACAACTCCTCCTCAGAGGAAAACAAAATGACAGTTAAGTTCAGTGTTTGAATATATGACAGTTAAAAGGTCAGACAGAGTTTGAATATATGACAGTTAAAAGGTCAGACAGAGTTTGAATATTTGACAGTTATAAGTGTCTAACTGGTGTTCTAGGAGGTGGGAGGGGGAGGAATAAAACAGGGGTTTTCTTCACAATTTAAAGCTGCACACTGCTCCAATATAATTTAAAGGGGCAGACAGAGTACAATAAAAATCCAATATGCTCAAATAACATTTTTAAAGGCCAAAATCTTCCAGGGGCTATAGTCGCAGGGCAGGAGGCTGGCAATTAGTCCTCTCCAGGCACAAGTGGTGAAGGGCACTTCGTCACATGTATATTTTACTGTCATTCTAAAAAAAAAAAAATACAATGTAATGACTTAAGTGATAGTCTAGGACTCTAGGTTACTCAATCTTCGGCACTCCAGGTTTTGCTGACTACGTCTCCTGTGATGCTTTGCCTGCATTATGGCTGTAAGGGCATTAAGGAAAATATAGTCCACAACATTGCTTACTCTACCAGTGTAGTAGATGATTTACTGCAAACCAATTAGTTTGAATGACTATCTGTTCCTGTCCAAATTAAAGATAATAAAGTTGCGTGCACGCAGAAGTAAATTCACACTGAGACACAGAGTTCAGGTTAATGAAAGAACTTCGGAGAAGTTTAATGGCTTCTGTTTAAAAAGCAGGCTCGCAGGCCCTTTTAAAGGCATTATTACATCATTGAAGAAAATCAAGATATAGACAAATAGACATTGTTAATTGGCTTAGGTGCTAAGTAGTTAGTAAAATGCCCTCCCTACGGGGTGTACCATCTTAGGTCACTATCCTCGTCATGATTGTCTCCTCCAGGTTTTAGCGCCATTTTGTTAACATGAGGAGCTCACTCGACGGGAGGGGCCTTTTGGCAGCTATCCATTTAGAGTGTAGCCTGGCACTGTTAGTTTCTCAAGGTTAGGTTTCAAGGCTTTTAGTAAATACACATTTTATCAAAGCTATTTCTTGCTGACATGCAAATTCTATGTTCTATAGACAAGGCTTTCTTGTAAAACTATGGGGCCTCTTAGAGGTATAGCAAGAGGATTTAAAGGGGCCTTACAGATTTATAGAGGCCTAATAATTCTACAACACCAGTAAGTTTGTATCAAGCACAGACCTCATCTACCTGGTTGTTCTCATGGTGGTGGTGATGTCAGGAACTCGGGAGAAACACAACATTTTACTACTGGGAATTCTGAGGTAGATGAGCTGTGCGTTTAAAACAAACAAAGATTCTTGTGCTGCTACAAAGTTGTACTCTGTAGCGGACCATTTACTATATAAAGCGACAACTCTCTACAGCCAGGCTACTGAGGGCAGGACATGCAAGGAGCACTGTTTCAGCGCTCCCTGCAGAGTTCTAGGGCCCCATGTAGCCAAATATGTCTAATGATGCGCTCGTACTACATTTTGTGGGGACAGTTTACTTGGACACCAGGAAACAAAGTCAGAACAGTGGATCAGGACCCACTAATCATGACTGTCCTGCCTGGCATGCATACACTACATTTCCCAAGCACACACGTTACATTGCCAACAAGCGTTCACTACCTCCACTATGCTCTAAGTGCCTGCAAGATGGTGGTGGGGTCTTGAGCTGTGTAATGCACCCCAAAATTTCGGATGGCAGCCCTGCTCGCTCCTCAATAATTAGGCCTCAATAGTTACACGCACGTTTGCGGCTGTTTATGTTAGCTTCTAGTCTAGCAGAAGACAAAAATCATGAGCATAGACTATCTTTATTTACACCTGGTTATCACTAAGCTAGAAATGTGGTCTTTTATACGTCATTGTTTCATTTTATATTTCTAGGTAGTGTTTAGATGGTAGTTTAAAACAAATTGTATATAATGAATATGGCGAAAGTAACCTCGCCACTGGTTTTTGGAGGGGCCTGTTTGCCAGCCTCCTGCCCTGCAGGACTATGTCCCTGGGATGTATTGCCCTTCTAGGAACTGATTTTGGCAAAATGTATTTTTAGAATGCTGTTTCTGTCCCTTTAATTCCCAGAGAAAGGATTTGTACTTTTAAACTGTCACTTCAGATGCAGTCGAAGTGCCGAAGTGGCTGCCATTCGAAAACCGAACACGTGGCGGCAGCCATTTTAACTCATTCGAACGCGGTCAGTGGTGTGTGCAGCCAAATCTATGGAACTGTTTTCGGCTGCCCAATTGCACGAACACCGCTGACCCGTACCTTCTACTCCACTTCGACACTGCGGCTGGAGACTAAGTACCGTTCGAAGATTTGAACGCTCGTTCGAATGGGACTTAGTCATTTTCTCAGTGTAAAATAGACCGACCGCACAGCCCAAATCCATGGAACTGTTTTGGGCATGAAAATGTGCTTGCGGTCATAAAGGGACCTCAACCTAACTTTTTAATCCCTGGACAGATTCATGTGATTTTTACAGCTTGGAGATAATTGAGTAGCTACAGTAAGAAACTCAATTATCTCCCAAGCAGAGGGGAGGGAATCTGTGGGATGTAACCATTGTTTGATTGGCTAATGTATAATTGTCTGTGGGTGTCTCCCTTGCATGGGAGCACTGCATGAAAGAAGAGTACCTGTCATTAAAAGCTACAGTTCAACTTCACCCTCAATTTGGAGTGCCGTCTCCAGTGCACTGGCGGATCCGGGGGGGGCAACGGGACAATAGCCCCCCCAGGAGAAACCGAGGTTCTCCCTCTGCCCTGCCGGCTAATGCAGGGCTGGCGCTGTCCAAGCGCCAGCCCTGCAATGTGCCTTCATGGACCGGAGGGGAGATCAGAGATCTCCCTCTCCGGTCCGCAGGCACTGTTTGCTGGCCGCCGGCAGAGGAGGGAGAGAGAGAGGCCCGGGGGAGCTCAGTCTGCAGCTCCTCCAGGTCCTTCTCTCGCGAGCACGGAGCGTTGCCACAGCAATGCTCCGCATCTCGCGAGAGTGAACTCTAGCCCTGGAGACCGGGGCTAGAGTTCACTCTCACCACATGGACCACCAGGGATTCCCCACCGGACCAACAGGGATCGAGAAATGTCCCCCCTCCTCCCTAAACAAAGGTAAGAAGGGAGGGGGGACATTATGTATATTTTAAATAAAAAAAATAATAATAATTTTATCAAATTAAAAAAAAATAATTAAAAAAGCCCCTTATCACACACATACCCTACACACACACACATACTGCCCCCCCACACACACATTACCCCCACATACATACACTACCCCTATACACATACACTGCCCCATACACACACACTGCTCCCATACACACACATTGCCCCCACATACATACACTACCCCTATACACATACACTGCCCCATACACACACACACTGCCCCCACATACATACACTGCCTCCACATACATACACTGCCCCCATACACACATTGCCCACCACACTGCACCCCTGCTCCTATGCCCTACTACAGCCCCATTTCCAAGCAGACTTCTTAAACGGTTTGACTACTTACTCTGGGAGGGGGTCCTCGCACCATAACCACTACACTGAGCTGTAGTGGGTATTGTGTCTGGATTATTTCTCTAAATAATCTGCAAGTGCCCCTCCCGAGGTCAGGCTCTGGATCTGCCACTGCTCCAGTGGCGTACTAAGGGGGAGGGGCGGTCCGCCCTGGGTGCCACTCAGTAGCGGGGTGCCAGGCTCTCTACCTCCTGCTCTCCCGCAGACCGGCGCTCAGTTTGTGAGTCAGAGCACAAGGAGGGGATTCCCAGCCTGTGTTCTGACTCACACACTGAGCTGCAGGGAGGCTATTTCGGAGTGTACCAGAAGGGGGCGCAGAGCCAGGTTGCTCCCCCGCGGTTACTCTGTACATGCAGGAGATCAGCTCTCTAGATCCCCTGCACCTGCTGCCTGCCTGGGAAGGAGCTGCTGCCCCTGCACCCTCCTAAATGATAAGTAACTATTATACCCCCCCTGCCATTCCCTGCCATTCTCCCCCTGCCCTATACCCCCACCTCCCCCCCCACCTCCCTATTTCCCTGCCCTATACTCCCTATACCCCCTGCCCTTTATCCCCACCCATTATAGCCCCTGCCCATTATAGCCCCCCTGCCATTATACCCCCACCCTCCCTGCCATATAGCCCCTGCCCTTTATCCCCTGCCATTATAGCCCCTGCCATATATATCCCCACCCTCCTGCCATTATAGCCTCTGCTCTTTATCCCCGCCATTATACCCGCCTCTCTGCCATTATAATCCCCCCTGCCCTATACCCCCACTTCCCTGCCATTATAGCCTCTGCTCTTTATCCCCGCCATTATACCCGCACCCTCGCTGCCATTATAATCCCCCCTGCCCTATACCCCCACTTCCCTGCCATTATAATCCCCCCTGCTCTATACTCCCACCTCCCTGCCATTATAACACCCACTGCCCTATACCCCATCCCCCCTATACCCCCTGCCATTATACTCCCACCCCTCCTGCCCTATACCCCCACCTCACTGCCATTATAACCCCAGAGCAGCCACCAAATGGTGAGACAGACCCTGCTGATCCTGCACCCTCCTAAATGGTAAGGTAATACTATACCCCCCTTGCCCCATACCCCTGCCATTATAACCCCACCCTCCCTGCGCTATACCCCCACCCTCCGTGCCATTATACCCTCACCCTCCCTGCCCTATTCCCCCATGCAATATCACACACTCAGACTCTCATTGACAGCCGCTAGAGGCGTTTGCATGCTTCTCACTGTGATTTTCACAGTGTGAAGACGCCAGTGTCCATAGGAAAGCATTGTGAATGCTTTCCTATGAGACTCGCTGAATGTGCGCGCGGCTCTTGCCGCGTATGCGCATTCAGCCGAGGAGGCGGAGAGGAGAGCTCCCCGCCCGGCGCTGGAGAAAGAGGTAAGTTTAACCCCTTTCTCCCCCTAGAGCCCGGCGGGAGTGGGACCCTGAGGGTGGGGGCACCCTCAGGGCACTATAGTGCCAGGAAAACATACTCGTTTTCCTGGCACTATAGTGGTCCTTTAAGTGTGTGTTTATTGTGATTGTGTGTATGTCTGTGAGTGTGTGTATTTATATACACAAACAACCACAGATGTATATGTGTATATATCTGTGGTTGTGTATGTGTTTAGTAGATAGCTCCCTTATTTGGTGTCCTTAAAGGAACACTATAGTCACCTAAATTACTTTAGCTAAATAAAGCAGTTTTAGTGTATAGATCATTCCCCTGCAATTTCACTACTCAATTCTCTGCCATTTAGGAGTTAAATCACTTTGTTCCTGTTTATGCAGCCCTAGCCACACCTCCCCTGGCTATGATTGACAGAGCCTGCATGAAAAAAAAAACTGGTTTCACTTTCAAACAGATGTCATTTACCTTACATAATTGTATCTCAATCTCTAAATTGAACTTTAATCACATACAGGAGGCTCTTGCAGGGTCTAGCAAGCTATTAACATAGCAGAGGATAAGAAAATCTTAATGAAACAGAACTTGCAATAAAGAAATCCTAAGTAGGGCCCTCTTTACAGGAAGTGTTTATGGAAGGCTGTGCAAGTCACATGCAGGGAGGTGTGACTAGGGTTCATAAACAAAGGGATTTAACTCCTAAATGGCAGAGGATTGAGCAGTAAGGCTCCAGGGGCATGTTCTATACACCAAAACTGCTTAATTAAGCTAAAGTTGTTCAGGTGACTATAGTGTCCCTTTAAATATGTCAATCCCACATAAGGATAACAAATAAGGGAGTTATCTACTAAACAACTAAAAGATTAAAATTAAGTAAAAGGCTTTCAAATTTTGATCTTTTAGCAGTTTAGTAGATAATTCCCTAAATCAATGCTCTTATGTGAAATTTCCATATTTAAATATGCCAAATTCGGGTGCTCTTTAGATCTAAATATGGCAATCTCACATAGGGATATCAAATAGAGGAGTTATCTGCTAAACAAAGTTTAGAGGTGTCAGCCAGCGCAGAACAGGAAATCTGGGTGGCTAGTATGAATTCTATGCAAATGTGTTGTCTGATTGTGTGTATATATTTGTGTATGTGTATATGTGCATACAACTTAGCATTTTGCCAACACTACACACAAGCACACCACTGCATTCAAACAACACTACAAACAAACACACCTTTATATTAAAACATCACCATTAGATATAACCACACCACTGCATCTCGCCAACACTACACACAAATGCTTGCCTGCATTCAAATGCCAACACTACACACCCCTACATTTGCTCACACATTTTCCATACAAAAACACATGCTTACATTTAGATGCACAAACACTGCTCAGTGCTACATTAATTAAAAAAAAATGTGGGTGTTTTTTTTACATTTTAAGGTGGTGGTGGTGGGGGTGCCAAATGCTCTTGGTACGCCCCTGGCGGTCTCTTATTGGGGGATCTGCTTCCAGGGATTGCTATACTCTGCATACTCTCTTACTATATTCACTGCTAAGCTCTTGTATGAGCTTGTTCCTGTTTTGCTCTCTGAAGGAGTCTACGGTGGTTATGGTGTCTGCTGCAGTGCTTGGAGTCCTCAGGAAGCGCTAGGAGCATCCTTCAACGGAGGTACCCAGTCGGGGTGCCAGGTGATCCGTTACAATGAAATCACCACACCAAATGCAGTGTAGAACCATAAAAAAAAAAGAGGAACAGCAGAATGATGCATGATATTGGTGCTAATTGGTGTAGTGATTTCATTATAATGGTTTTATGTAACCCTATGGGGTAAAATAAGTGGCAATTTTTAATACACACTTGGTGGATGTCTATATTCTCTGCTACATATACCTTTGGAGTAACTTGGCTTTCCAGACATTGGAGATATAAGCACCCTCAATACAACTTACAATATGCTGAATTCTAGATGGTGTTATTTACCTAGAGGGTCTCGCCAGACCTCTAAAGCACTTTAGCTTGCTGAAAAGCTTTATGTGTGAAGAGTGTGTCTCTTTTTTTTCATTTTAAAAAAAGTGCACATTTCAACAGAAATTCACCCTTTTATAAATTAATCTGGTAATACCTTCTTTGCTTTCAAATGGACAACAAGTCCTATTACTTCCTGGTTTATTTAGCTCAGTGAAGCTAAGCTCAAGAGGCAGCTACTCAAAAAGCACCTGCCTTCCAAAGACTTCTCAATGAGCTGCATTGGGAAGTCTGTAATTGGACAGCCACAGAAAGTCTGGGCATGGTTAGAAAGGGAGGGCTTGCAATGGTAGCAGACCAGAGAAATGCAGGCTTTGCAAACTGTTTTTAGATATACACCCAATTAAAGGACCACTCTAGGCACCCAGACCACTTCAGCTTAATGAAGTGGTCTGGGTGCCAGGTCCAGCTAGGGTTAACCCATTTTTTCATAATTATAGCAGTTTCAGAGAAACTGCTATAATTATGAATGGGTTAAGCCTTCCCCCAAAGCCTCTAGTGGCTGTCTCATTGACAGCCACTAGAGGCGCTTGCGTGCTTCTCACTGTGATTTTCACAGTGAGAGCACGCCAGCGTTCATAGGAAAGCATTGTAAATGCTTTCCTATGAGACCGGCTGAATGCGCGCGCAGCTCTTGCCGCGCGTGCGCATTCAGCCGGCGGGGCGTAACGGAGGCGGAGAGGAGGAGGAGAGCTCTCCGCCCAGCGCTGGAAAAAGGTAAGTTTTTACCCCTTTCCCCTTCCAGAGCCGGGCGGGAGGGGGACCCTGAGGGTGGGGGCACCCTCAGGGCACTATAGTGCCAGGAAAACGAGTATGTTTTCCTGGCACTATAGTGGTCCTTTAAGAAAATGCCTAATTAAATGCATGCACACTTTCATTGGGGTATATCTAATAAACAGTGATTTTTATTTATTTTGTATTTGAGCAGTGGAGTGTTCCTATAACAGGAGCGTGCTCTACATCTTGTTTTAGACTGTTAGAATACAAAATTTCATTTGGAGCTAACAAATACATATTAACCCTTTTCTAAATATATATATATATATATATATATATATATATATATATATATATATATATATATATATGTTATTGTATGTGGTCTAGACCCTTATAATGTGACACTGGTGAGATAACTAATGTGATAAATGTATTTTTTTGTTTTTGGTTTTTTTAGGATAAATAGTAAACATTCCTAAGAGCTGTATTTTATGTAAAATGTAAAATAGTTTATAGATAGAGATGTGGTGTTTTTTTTTTTTTTTTTTATAGACTCCACGTCACTGGCATCTTGATTGCCCAGGGAAAAGACTTGGCATTTCTGTCATTCCATTGCACTTAGACAAGTGAAAGCTGAAACTGCTATATCAAGGGACACCGGAGGTATTCAGCTGAATAGAGAGGAGAATACATTTATTGTTAAAAAGGTAAGTTCTATTCTGTTATACTTTCATTGTATGCTCTGTAGCTTTATTTCTCATCTAACATTGATTTTTGCAGTGAAGTATCCAGTTCTTTTAGGTAGCTTGCCTGCAGCAGACATGCATTGAATGTTTTCACAGCAGTACAGGCACTGAGCTTAATACTGCTGGACGATAAATATACAGCACAGAGAGGGAGATCTATCAGTTAGGAATCAGGTTCTATTCTGGGGCAAAGTATTAAATGAGTAGCAATTACCATGGAAACCAATGGGATGTTTCAACATTTTGCACCACAATAGCACCTGATTTGTCTTCATACATTCTCCAAATTGCACATTACAGGGGCATCCAAACAGTTAAATGTGAGAGTAAAGAGTTGCTTCTTGAATGCTATGGTAACATATTTCAAATTGCCATGTTTGAGACTGCCACTGTGCCCCTAACAATTTGTACAGACCAATTAAAAGTGATATTCCACAGATTTATAGACAAACATCTCTCGCTCCAGTTATAGATAAAAGGGTAGTAAAATATTCACATTGACATAAATCTAAAAAGAAATATCATAAAGCAAGAAAAGTATAGTTAAAGGAACACTATAGTCACCTAAATTACTTTAGCTAAATAAAGCAGTTTTAGTGTATAGATCATTCCCCTGCAATTTCACTGCTCAATTCACTGTCATTTAGGAGTTAAATCACTTTGTTTCTGTTTATGCAGCCCTAACCACACCTCCCCTGGCTATGATTGACAGAGCCTGCATGAAAAAAAAAACTGGCTTCACTTTTAAACAGATGTAATTTACCTTTAATAATTGTATCTCTAAATTGAACTTTAATCACATACAGGAGGCTCTTGCAGGGTCTAACAAGCTATTAACATAGCAGGGGATAAGAAAATCTTAATTAAACAGCAATAAAGGAAGGATAAATAGGGCTCTCTTTACAGGAAGTGTTTATGGAAGGCTGTACAAGTCACATGCAGGGAGGTGTGACTATAACCCTGTAAAACATGAATTTAATGCATGACAAAGACTACAAGGTTGAAACATTGTGTTACTTTGGGCTTCAATAAATTTGCCATTTCTGAATCCTAGAGTGCCTGAACCATCTTTACATTTTATACTATTGCCATTGGAACCTGGTGCTTGGTCCTGGTTTGGTTGCACCCTAGCTCAGATTGATGGGATTGAGTGCAGCTCCTTATGTTTATGCGAAATGAATTTAATGTACGACCAGGATAAAGCAGTGATAGTGAAAATGCTATTATCTATGAAGTGTAAGAAAGTAGTTTTTGCATCACTGGTTGCTAAGACAGGGTTATTAATGTGCAATAGGTCCATCTCTTTCTAAAACTCATGCATGCCACAAAGAGTTAATATAATGAAGTAGAGGTCCTACATCATCTTCTCTAACTCGTCTTTTGATTTTTATTGCAAACTCTTCAGTTTCTGTTGTATGTATTGGGGCCTACATCATCTTCTGTTGCATTTCAACAATCCAAAAATTGTTCAAGTTAGCTATGTTTTAAGTATAGTTTTTTTGGAGTTCCAACACTTAGCTTTAATGACGACCCCAACTGGGCAGGTCTACCCAGAGCTTTGGTCGGGTCCACTCACTGAAGTGGTGCGTGAGTCTGGCATCAAGCACGCCAGGTTTGCAGACAGCCTATTGGTCAGCCCACCGCATAGAGGACCATGCAGAGAGTGCTGCTAAAGCACTCTTTGCATGGTCCTAATGCCTCCTGCACAGCTTAAGCAAGTCTCATTATGTGTTTTCGCTGTGCTGCCCAAATACAGGACACCATGGAACTAATGTGAGAGGATGGGACAAGATCCCCGAATCAGAACTGTCCTGTTAAAAGCTAGACAGTTGGGAGGCATGCAATTTACACTTGAGTGAATAACCGTGTCTATGTAAATGGGGTTGGAGAGCAGATGAGATAGAAAGTGAGTAGTGGAGTATTTATATTTAAAGGAACACTATAGTCACCTAAACAACTTTAGTTTAATGAAGCAATTTTAGTGTATAGATCATGCCTCTCAGGTTTCACTGCTCAATTCACTGCAATTTTGGAGTTAAATCACTTTGTTTCTGTTTATGCAGCCCTTGTCACACTTCCCCTGGCTCTGAGTGACACAGCCTGCATGAAAAAAAAAACTGGTTTCACTTTCAATTAGATGTAATTGACCTTAAAGGACCACTATAGTGCCAGGAAAACACACAAGTTTTCCTGGCACTATAGTGCCCTGAGGGTGCCCCCACCCTCAGGGTCCCCCTCCCGTCCGGCTCTGGAAAGGGGAAAAGGGGTAAAACTTACCTTTTTCCAGCGCTGGGCGGGGAGCTCTCCTCCTCCAATCCTCCCCGTCGGCTGAATGCGCACGCGCGGCAAGAGCTGCATGCGCATTCAGCCGGTCGCATAGGAAAGCATTATCAATGATTTCCTATGGACGCTTGCGTGCTCTCACTGTGATTTTCACAGTGTGAATCACGCAAGCGCCTCTAGCGGCTGTCAATGAGACAGCCACTAAAGGCTTTGGGGGAAGGATTAACCCATTTATAAACATAGCAGTTTCTCTGAAACTGCTATGTTTATAAAACAAATGGGTTAACCCTAGCTGGACCTGGCACCCAGACCACTTCATTAAGCTGAAGTGGTCTGGGTGCCTAGAGTTGTCCTTTAAGCAATTGTATCTCTTTCTCTGTAAATTGAACCTTAATCACATACAGGAGGCTCTTGCAGGGTCTAGCAAGCTATTAAAGGACCAGTATAGGCACCCAGACCACATCAGCTTAATGGTGCCAGGTCCAGCTAGGTTTAACCCTTTTTTTTTCTATAAACATAGCAGTTTCAGAAAAACTGCTATGTTTATAATAGGGTTAATCCAGCCTCTAGTGGCTGGCTCATTGACAGCTGCTAGAGGCGCTTCTCACTGTGATTTTCACAGTGAGAAGACGCCAGCGTCCATAGCAAAGCATTGAGAATGCTTTCCTATGGACTGGCTGAATGCGCATTCAGCCAAGGAGGAGGAAAGTTCCCCGCCCCGCGCTGGAGAAAGAGGTAAATTTAACCCTTTCCACCCCCTAGAGCCCAGCAGGAGAGGGGCACTGAGGGTGGGGGCACCCTCAGGGCACTATAGTGCCAGGAAAACAAGTGTTTTCCTGGCACTATAGTGGTCCTTTAACATAGCAGGGGATAAGAAAATCAAAATTAAACAGAACTTGCAATAAAGGAAGGATAAACTTTAGATGACTCTTTACAGGAAGTGTTTAGGGAGGCTGTTCAAGTCACATGCAGGGAGGTGTGACTATGGGTTATAAACAACGTGATTTAACGCCTAAATGGCAGAGAATTAAACAGTGAGGCTGCAGGGGCATGATCTATACACTAAAACTGCTTCATTAAGCTAAAGTTGTTTTGGTGACTATAGTGTCCCTTTAAATAAAGGTGCATATATTACACATATACATTTTGTTGACTTTTTTTTTGTACAGATGTCTGGAGAGATTTTCTCACCTTTGGATAACTTGCATGATTTGGAGAAGGTGAATTGCCACCCACTAGCTTGCTTTTTGTGCCACGAACAATATGAACATCCGTGTCTGCTGGATTGCTACCATAACTTCTGTGCAAGCTGCCTCCGGGGCCGTGCCATAGACAATCGCCTCACCTGTCCTCTTTGTGGGTATGTTTGCATGGCAAAAACTGTATCTGTTAATCTGATATGTAAACACAGGCGTGCTAAACTCAATCTTTATATGAAAACTGAACTGTGATTTGAGAAAAGCCTTGAGGTTTGCCAAGTTTAAATTAACTTTTGTATGATATGTTAACCTTTTTTTTATTTAGAATTTTTGCAATTATACTTGTTATAAAAAAACACTAGAATATCAAATTTATCTTTTTTCCTTGCTGAATTGGGCTTGGGAGTTTGAAAATTTGATTTATATGTCTCATTGGGTAATTAAAATAATAATTCAATAAGACCCCCATATAACTATAATGGAGGTATTTTACCTCCCTGTTCCCCCACTTGCCGAATGGGTTTTATCTCCTAAGTGTCTAAACTTAGCGACTGGACTGGCCCTATCACATCACATTTGAAAAATGACATGGGGGACATAGTCCTCCCCATGCCCCCACCTTTTTTGGTTGAGGAATTTCTAAAAAAGTAATGGGGTTGGACAGATGACTATTACTATACCTATTTCAGATCACCATTTTAGTTAATATAATTAATGGGGGCGGGGGGTACTATAATATTCCCTTACTTACTTATTCCCTTACTGTCTCTCAGATATTTTGAGTTGGCTGATTATCATTGCCTCCCACTCCTGCTGATCAGCTACAAGCCAGTCATGTAAAGAACAGTGACCTATCTTCCAAACAACATGGGATTTTTTTTTTCTTAAGAATATATTTTCACTGATGTTTACAAAGGGATTGGTACCACCTATCTAGCGATTCTTGTAAACTACATACACCCCTTCAATGCATTGGTGTTCCCTGATGGTAGGGGCCTTTGTCAGCAGGATAATGCACCCTGCCACACTGCAAAAATGGTTCAGGAATCATTTGAGAAACATGGCACGAGTTCAAGGTGTTTTCTTGGCCTGCAAATTCCCCAGCTCTAAATCCGATTGAGCATTTGTGGGCTGTGCTGGAACAACAATTTTGATCCATGGAGGCCTCACCTTCCATTTGCAAGATTTAATTGATCTGCTGCTTGATGCCAGATACCACAGGACATGTTCAGAGGTCTTGTGGAGTCCATTCCTCAACTCATTAAAAGCTGTATTTGCAGCAGGAGGGGAATCTACACAATATTAGGCAGGTAGTTTTATTGTTGTTACTGATCAGCGTATACCGATTAGGGTTAGGAGGGAGTTATTAAAATATTGGAAGGTTGGGGAGCCTTTGGCTAGCTGGAAAGGCTTTAAAATAAAATACTATTCCACACCCATAAAGCACATCAGTTTGCTTCCAGTTTATAAAAGTGACCAAGTCAGAACTTTTAGAATTAAGTTATGAAACCGCTCCGTGGCTGTCAGTGAAATAGCCAGGGAGGTTTGCTTACTCCTTATGTTACCTTCTCCGAGTTAACAGAAGTGGCAGGCACGCTCTACTTGAGCACACCTGCTTTCTCCCACATTTTCCTCATGGATCTTAAATTGCTAATATGCAGTTAGTTATTTCCCTGTGAAGAGATTGAACATTTATCCCAGGGGGAATATGAGAGGACGTGCAAAGGGTGCAGCTTTTGCAAGCTCTTTAGACATACTTCCCATGAATACAGTTAGTTGGAATGTATCTACTAAACAGTGATTTAAAAAAATAGTGACTACTTTTGTCTTTCTGAGAATTTAAAGATTGATATGTTTTGAATAAATGTGGCTGTGATAATCCATCATAGTGAACATTTATCCTCTGCTATTGGACAGCTGTCTGTGACGATAGTCATGTATCCAATTGTTGATTCACATTTTATTATATCAGAATAATGTAAGCAGAAATGCAAGATGTTCACAAAGGTCCTGTGTGATTAGTAAATAGACAGGACATTGACACGAGTGGTCATATGTTGCATTATATCTGCTGATCACATGATATAATATCTCAATGATGTGGTTTGGGACTGTGTGCCATTTCCTCCTCTAACGTGCGAGCAGGCCAGAACTGGCTAATCGGGCAAATGCCCAGTGGCCGCGATGGCCATAGGCCAAGGCCGGCAGAGGAAATCACAGGATCTCCCCTGCCAGTCCCTGCAGGGCCAGAGCTATCAGAGTGCCTGCCCTGCTATGTGCCTTTATGGGCCGGTGGGGAGATCAAAGATCTTCCACCTGCACTTTACTGGGCAGCCAGGAGGTAGGAGGGAGGAGAGAGAGGACCCGGGAGCTCTGTCTAGCAGCTCCGCCAAGTCCTTCATATCACGAGGTCGGAGCGTTGCTGCGGTTACCGTGGAAACACTCTGGATCTCGTGTGAGTAAACTCACTGATGGACCACCAGGGCTTCTCCACCGGACCACCAGGGCAGCAATCTCCCCCCTCCCTGGGCAAAGGTAAGAAGGGAGGAGAGAATATAACTAAAAAAGGAGATTAAATACATGGCTACTTCTATTCATTTTAAATACATGGTTTTATTATTTAAAAAAATAAAAATGAATATATATATTTGCCTATATCTGCACCCTCACATACACACATTGCACCACAGACACACAGTACACATGCTGCACCACACACACACACTGCACCACAGACACACACAGTGCATCCTTCTCACACACACACACACTGCACCACACACAAATACAGTGCATCCTTCACACACACAGTGCACTCTCTCACACACACAACATGCCTTATACACACTACACCACTTACAAACACTACATCCCTTGTAAACACTCTGTATCCACTACACACACACAGAGGCGGCTCTAGACTTTGAGGCCTTAGGCGAAACTCAAACATGAGGCCCCACTAATAAAAAAGTGAAAAAATAGAGTTGCAATACATGCACACTGTTACATATACACATTGATGCACATTGATGCAGCTACCCCAGACACACATGGTCCCAGACAAAAACGCAAACATGTGTCTGACAGAGTATCCTTGTGTGTGTGAATGTGTGTCTCTGTGAGCATGTTTGCGTTTTTGTCTGGGACCATATGTGTCTGGGGTAGCTGCTTGAAGTGTATTGTGTGTATGGGGGGGGTGATGGTGAGAGAGAGGGGGGGTGATGGTGAGAGCACTGACTAATCGGGGGGGAGGGGGGGGATTCTCCCCTGCCGGCTAATGCAGGGCTGGCATTGTCCAAGTGCCAGCCCTGTAATGTGCCTGCGGACTGGGGATGGAGATCAGATATCTCCCTCCCCGGTCCGCAGGCACTGTGCTGACAGCCGGCAGGTGGAGGGAGTGAGAGAGGACCCGGGAACTCTTACCTGCAGCTCCTCCGGGTCCTACTCTCGCGAGAGTGAACTCTGGCCCTGGAGCAAAGGGCTAGAGTTCACCTCAACACCACTAGGACCACCAGGGAATCCCCACCGGACCACCAGGGATCAAGAAATGTCCCCCTTCCTCCTCAATAAAGGTAAGAAGGGAAGGGGGACATAATTATATAAATTTTATTAAATAAAAATTAAAAAGCCTCCCTACCCTCCTTCCCCCCCATACACACACTGCACACCCATAGACACATTCCCCCCATTCACACACTGCCCCCCATTCACATACACTGCCCCACACACACATACAGTGCCCCCCCATACACACACTGCCCCAAACACACACACACCTGCCCCATACACACATTGGACTCATACACACACTGCCCCCATACACATACAGTGCCCCCCATACACACACTGCCCCACACACACACACCCCCAGACACACACACTGCCCCCACACACCTGACACTGCCCCCCCATACACACAATGTCCCACACACCCATACAGAGCCCCCCCAAACACACATACACTGCAACTCTCACACACACTGCCCCCTCACATACACACTGCCCCCAAACACACACACTGCAACCCTGACATACACTGCCGCCCTCACGCACACACTTCACCGCTCACACACACACACACACACTGCTCCTTTAATACACACTTCACCCTTAAAACATACCACTGCTCCTATGCCCTATATCCCAGCAGACACCAGGTAAGGTGTCAAACTGTTCTTAAACGGTTTGACTACTTACTCTGGGATGGGATCCTGGCACTACTGACACCATAACTACTATACTGAGCTGTAGGGGTTATTGTGTCTGGATTATTTCTTTTAAATAATCTACAAGTGCCCCTCCCGAGATCAGGCTCTGGATCCACCACTGGGTGAGAAGGAGATGGGGAGAGGCGGGTGATGGTGTGGGGTGTGATGGTGAGAGGGAGTTGATGTTGAGGGGTGATGTGAGGGGTTGATACCGAGGGGGTGATGCTCAGGAGGTGGTGAGGGGTGATGATAGTGAGGAGGGGTGGTTATGGTGAGGGTGATCCTGAGGAAGGGGTGATGGTGAGGTGTTATGCTGAGAAGGGGGTAATGCTGAGGGTGGTGATAGTGGGGGTGATGCTGAGGTGGTGGTGGGGTGATGGTGGGGGTGATGCTGAGTGTGGATGCTGGGAGTGATAGTGAGGGGTTGATACTGGGGTAGTGAGAGGGTGATAGTGAGGGGGTTGTGCTGGGGGTGAGTGAGAGGGTGATGGTGAGGGGGGTTGATGCTGGGGTTGTGAGGAGGGGGTGATAGTGGGGGTTGATGCTTGGGGTGGTGAGAGGGGGTGATAGTGGGGGTGATGCTGAGGGTGGGGAGGGGTGATAGTGGGGGTGATGCTGGAGGTTGGGAGGGTAATGTTGAGGGGTGGTGAGAGGAGGTGATGGTGGGGGTTGATGCTGAAGGTTGTGAGGGGGTGGTGGTGGGGGGTGATGCTGGGGGTGGTGAGGGGGTGATGCTGAGGGTGATGCTGAGGGTGGTGGGGGGTGATAGTGAGGGGGAGGGTGATGCTGAGGGTAGTGAGGGAGTGATGTGAGGGGGAGGTGATGCTGAGCGTGGTGGGGGGGTGATAGTTAGTGGTGGGTGATGCTGAAAGAGGGGAGGGGGAGACAACATATCTTTTCTTCCCTGGTGGTCCAGTGGGCTGCCTGGTGGTCCGGTGGCCATTGCTTCCGGTCTGCAGCTCCGCAGAGCTGCAAACCATGTAATCTCGCAAGACCATCAGAGCGTTGTCATGGTAACTCGGGGCAACGCTCTGATTGGCCAGTTCTCGCGAGACACATGGTCTGCAGCTCTGCTCAGTGCAGAGCTGCAGACCGGTGTCTGCGGTACCATGCAAGCCGCCTGGTCTCCTCCTGGTGTCTTCCCACAGGCAGTTTAGGCAGCCGCGAGGCCTTAGGTGGCCGCCTGAACTGCCTAATTAGAGAGCCGCCTCTGCACACACACACACACACACACTCCCCTATAGACACACACTGCACCACCTACACACACCATATATTTTACATACACACTCTGGATCCCCTATAAACACACTAGATGCTCAAGCATGCAGTCTACATTCCAGAAAACACACACTCTCTACAATTTATACACATACTGCAGTACCTATGCACACACTTATTACACCTATACACATACACACTCTCACTCTCTTCAGTCCCTAGTTACACATATTACATCACAGACACATCGCAACTGAAATCAAATAATTTACACAAAACACCACACCACAATCAGCTCACTATACACACACATGTGCATAAGCAGCGAGCGCATTAGGCCCTTCGTCTAGAAAAAGCATTGCTTTCATATGAGGATTCAACGCACGCTGGATGTCCTCATGCACTGCCATTAGAGCCAGTTATATTCCTGCAATGTAATTATTGCAGTTTCTCAAAAACAGCACTGATTTGCATTGCAAGACTAAGGGGGACATGGACACTGCACCCAGACTACTTCAATGAGCTGACGTGCTCTGGGTGCCTATAGAGTCCCTTTAAGTCTCTAATATGAATGTAAATGGAAGCAGAGCATATAATGGAAAAAAAAAAGATTAGCACACGTAATAGGTAATTGTCAAGGTTTTATTCAGCAGTTTACACTTCCAGACAGTTCTACTTTAATGCATTGGTCCATGATTAATGATACAATAGGTAAAATCGAATTTTTTAAAGGAACACTATTGTCACCTAAACAACTGTAGCTTTATGAAGCAGTTTTAGTGTATAGATCAGGGCTGTCCAACCTGTGCCCCCCCAGATGTTGCTGAACTACAACTCCCATGATTCCATGGATAACTGTTTCATTGAAAGAATCATGGGATTTGTAGTTCAGCAACATCTGGGGGTCCGCAGGTTGGACAGTCCTGGTATAGATAATGCCTCTGAGGTTTTACTGCTCAATTCACTGCCATTTAGGAGTTTAATCACTTTGTTCCTGTTTATGCAGCCCTTGCCACACCTCCCCTGGCTATGACTGACACAGCCTGCATGAAAAAAAAAATGGTTTCACTTTCAATCAGATGTAATTTACTTTAAAAATTGTATCTCTTGCTCTGTAAATTGCACTTTAAACACAAAAAGGAGGTTCAGGGTCTAGCAAGCTATTAACATAACAAGGTATAGCAAAAACTTGCCATAAAGAAAGGATAAACTTTAGATGACTCTTTACAGGAAGTGTTTAGGAAGGCTGTGCAAGTCACATGCAGGGAGGTGTGACTAGGGTTCAAAAACAAAGTGATTTAACTCCTAAATGGCAGAGAATTGAGCAGTGAGGCTGCAGGGGCATGTTCTATACACCAAAACTGCTTCATTAAGCTAAAGTTGTTTTGGTGACTATAGTGTCCCTTTAAGGTTTGTTCACAATAAATGACAAGGTTATACATTAATGTATGAATTGTTGGAAATTTAGAAGTAATTCAAAGTAAACTTCAAGATTTAAACCAAAATAGCAGAATTGATAACAAAGTTGACTCTGATTTTTTTCCAATTAGGCTATGTTGAAATTTTGAAATTCACTTTGAATTACTTACAGTTTAAATTTTAGTGAATAATCCTGCAAAGTATTGTCATCCTCTTTCTGAAAAACGAAATTTCACTTTTCTAGTCAGAATCAAAGCCTACTCTTGTCTGATCCTTGAATTAAGATTACTCCTGACTTTCAAAGGTGGTTTAACGCCATAAGGACCAAACTTCTGGAATAAAAGGGAATCATGACATGTCACACATGTCATGTGTCCTTAAGGGGTTAAAGCTGATCTAAACACTGATTTGATGCTTTATTTTTTAGTCGATATAAAAACTGTTCAGGTGTCATTTCCACTTTAAAATTAATTTGTTTTGTAGAAAAACATACAAAGCCTTAGGATTACAAGTGATGCTTCAAATAGAATATGGCTTATCACAATTACTTTAGCACAGAACAGCTGCACAAGTGCTTCTACTTTTAGCTCACAATGGAGAAGAGAAGCAGCTCACAAACAATAAATAGGAAAGTTATTGAGCATGATTTTGTGTTTATGGAACCACTAAAAATATATTCAACGTGGCTATCCCATGCATTTATGAATGATTTACATAGTGAATTAAAAAAAAAAAAAGTTTTAAATTAAAGGATTACTCTATGCATTAAAGCAAATGTAGCTCATTGAAGCAGTTTTGTTATACAGTATATATCAAATGCTCAATTATCTGCTCTTTAGTTAAAGGGACACTGTAACTGCTTCAGCTGATTGAAGTGGTTATAGTATTTTGATTCTGTGACAAACTGCCTTTTGTCACTGGGTTTTTATGTGACCAGCTGCCCTTTTCCCCTGGCTTTTGGAGGAGCCTGATTGTCAGCCTCCTGACTCATGACTATGGCATTGGGTTGTATGGCCCTTTAAAAACTTTATGTGGGCATATTGGGACTTTTTGGAACAATGCCCCTTTAAGACTGTGTCCCCAGACCTTTAAAATATTTTGTTCATGGCTCTTCCCCACTTGGTTCGGTAAATGGGTCTTACCGAACCAATTACTGCACAGGCGGACCACACAGAAGTGGAAGTGTGCTGCTAATTTACCTCCCAGGCTGGCGGTTAACCGCAGGTTAATTACCGACCGCTGGGTGGCCGCCGTTCGTACAATCGAACACGTGGCGGCGGCTGTCTTTATTTAGTCGAACGCGGTCAGCGGTGTGTGCCACTGAATCCATAAAACTAAAATCGGCTACACATTTGCACGAACACAGCTGACCCTTACCTTCTCCTCCACTTCGACGCTTTGGCTAAAATTGAAGTGCGTTCGATTTGAACGCACAGCTATACTAAGCCATTTGCACAAATGGTGCATTTTTCGTGCATTCGAATGGGACTTAGTCATTTATGCAGTGTAAAATAGACCGACCGCACAGCCCAAATCTATGGAACTGTTTTGGGCAGGAAAGCCATGCTTGCGGTCGGTCAAAAAGAACTTCCAGCTAACTTTTTAACCACTGGAGGGAATTGTCTGATTTTGGGTATGTTTGTATTTGAAGTATGCTGATTAATAATATGTAACTTATGGAGATTGTATGTATATTGTGTGAGTTATGAGAATGTATAAAAACTTTATATTTTCCTGCCTGTGATAATTAAAGGACCGCTGTAGGCACCCAGACCACTTCAGCTTAATTAGGTGGTCTGGGTGCCTGGTCCAGCTAGGTTTAACCCTTTTTTCTATAAACATAGCAGTTTCAGAGACACTGCAATGTTTATATTAGGGTTAATCCAGCCTCTAGTGGCTGTTTCATTGACAGCTGCTAGAGGCGATTCTCACTGTGATCTTCACATTCTGAATGCTTTCCTATGGACTGGCTGAATGCGCACGGCTCCTGCCGCGCATGCGCATTCAGCCAAAGAGGAGGCGGAGAGGAGGAGGAGAGCTCCCCGCCAGGCGCTAGAGAAAGAGGTAAGTTTAACCCCTTCCTCCCCCTAGAGCCCGGCGTGAGGGGGACCCTGAGGGTGGGGGCACCCTCAGGGCACTATAGTGCCAGGAAAACAAGTGTTTTCCTGGCACTATATTTATCCTTTAAGTTAACCCATTGTGTACAGTAATTATATCACAGGCAGAGGGGAGGATTTTGTTGGAATGAATGGGAGTGTTTCACTGTATTGTACGTGTTTGGCTGTTCTACAAAACCATGTGGGTGGTAACTGTGTGTAAAAACTTGCATAAAAGAAAGCCCTTTGGTGCTGATTAAACAAATCATCTTGTACCTTCATGAAGTTTCGACTCATGTTTGGGGGATTGGAGAACTACACTCTGGGGATTGCTATAATCACTTTACTCCCCAGGGTATAATCACTAAGCTCTGCTAAGAGCTTGTTCCTGTTCCTGCTCTCTGGAATTCGGAGAGGTCGACCTACTGGAAGCTGGACCCTGGTCTTGGGTCCAGAGTGGGTGGAGACGCCGAGACCCGAAACAAGCTGTGGCGGTTCGTGGGAGTCTACAGTGGTTATGGTGTCTGGCAGAGTGCTTGGAGTCCTCGAAAAATAATTTAGATCCAAGGCATATGAGCCATATAGGAACTGATGCAGGAATCTCTTAAGTTATTTTTCCTTCGTTGTACTCGATGTGTAAAAAGTTGTATAAGCAAAAACATTAAAAAAAAAAAGAGATTTTTTTACATTTTATTCATACTTAAAGGGACACTTCTAACCTCTGAAGCAGATAGGCAAAGTAACAAGCATGCTATTCAGGTAGTGCATATTGCTGTTGCTACCAACAGGTGGCGCTATACAGGCTTCACAACCATATCCACCTACTTTGTAGCAAGCATCAGTAGGACAGGAGATACAATACGTATAACAATAAAACAATACCCACCTCGCACCTATAATTAATACAGGGTGACTTAGACATAGGCGTAGTCCAGGGTCCTACATAAAATTGTGATGGGCAATTGTGGGTATAATACACATTGCTACATTGTATTTCTTTAAACTGCAACTGTTTCTTTAACTAATAACCTTTTACCTATTTACAGTACACAACATGTTTACTCCATCTTGTCTTAATTTAATGCAATAACAATTCAAGGCTTTGCCTATGTCATCCTAACGTCTAGTCCAAATACAGATTAAAGATGTCTAGGTTATGACATTAGACTTATTTTGTTATATGACCTTCTCTTAACCCTAAGGTGTATGTCAACCTAACTTCTAGTCCAAATACAGATTAAAGATGTCTAGGTTATGACATTAGACTGATAAGGGTGTTTTTCCTTTATTTTTATATATGAACTGCTTTTAACCCTAAAATGAATTAACCCATACATTACCAGTAGTAATTAGAAATGCTATACTATATATACATGCTAGATCAATGCTAGATAGAGACATACTGACCGACTCTGGAGGTGACATACTGAGAGATTACCTGTATAATCAGGAGGGTATGTTATACTAATTATATTGCAAGCATTTATTCATTTAATCTTGTATACTCTGCTTTATGATATATTAATGGATCTTTATTCATTTATCCAATAAACTATATTAATAAGACAAAAGTTATTGCTTCCAACTCCTATTTTTATTGTATTCTCAATTATTTATGTATTTTAAATAGAGAAACTCTATACCGACTATACAATATTTAGCTAAGATATCTGTATGGTTAGCCCTGCTAAATTCTAAGTTATAAGACGTTATATCGGTAAATTGGAGTACGAACGGTTACAAAATGTCCATATGAAACCCCAGGTGATGGTGACTGCCATCACAAACTATAATATTCCAGCCAATGGAGGAGGCTTTAACCCTGCAATGTACATATGCATGTTCCTGATGTGCCCCCAATTTGCCCCTTTTTTGCGTAGGTTTTGAATCCAGAACAAATTCCTTTAGGGGGCGAGCAACACACCCATGCACAATTGGTGCCCCTTTGGTAGTGACCACAGAAAAGCATAAATTGAGGAGAGACTCTAGAAGCAGTTTAAGCATCAAGTATTGCAGTTAGTATGTTAATCTCCCATAGTAAAATTAGTATAGGCCGCTCCGATAATGGGGTACTGTGATGTAGTTGTGGACTTAACACAATATTGCCATGTGGTATAACTGAATCCCCATATTTGTTAGCTGAGATAGGTGATTTAAGTAGCCTTGTAAAAAAACAGTTCCCATGCTCAATCAGTCTTGTGCTTACCAGGCTGCCTGCATCAAAGGGGTTAATAATGTACCACTGTTTTAATATTGTTCATACTTACTGGAGCCCCCTGGTGGCAATGTTTTTATTCAATGATTGCTAGCCAAAGTAAAAACTATATATCATTTTTTCATTTTCACAATAATTATAGAAAGAAAAAAAAAGCATCTATTGGTAACACAAAATCTTGGCATTTTTTATAGGGTACTCATCTAAGTAGGCTTGAATATATTTAGAGGCAAATCAGATTTCAGGATTTGAAAATTATAAGCAGACATTATTTTGGATCTCCTGTTGTATACCTTCTTGTACGCAAAAGGAATCTGTGCTTCATTCCATTTTCTTATCCCACAGGGAATAGAGATACTCCTGTATGGATATGGAGATATATATATATATAAAAAATTTTAAACAAGGTTATGATCTACAAAGTGTAGCACGTGTTGTAGAAATATTGCTTTTTCTTTATTCGATTGTTTAGAAATCTTTTACTTGTGTGAAAACAAAAGCCAACCTAGCTACATCAATAACACAAATGATATACATTTATACAGAAAGATAACATGTATGGCATGGCTAATCAACCCTCAGCTCCAATTATTCAGGAACACGAGTGGTCTGTTGGCTGCTGATATTAATTATCCATCTAATTCAATTGCTTACAAATACGTTGGATGGAGAATCCTGGATTTTGGTATTATGGTAATGATTTCCTTGCAAATAATTGCCTTCTGACTGTGTGACATCTGGTTAATGAGGAATAGATTTTCATACACACACACACTTTAAAGAAAAGATCCTGTTCTTTTTTAAAAAAATTTTATGAAGCATTATTTTGTTCATTATATAGTTCAGTATATTTGACTACGCATCTTACTCAGACTTACAATGAAGCAAAATAACCCTGCCGAGGGCTTAAAACTATTTTCCCAGCTGGCTACTATTGCTGTCAACAATTATTGTTGGCTTGCAAAAAGCAAATGAGGGATAATTTGTGTATGTGCATCCTACCAGATACATTTGGTCCAGAATTTCTTTAAAATCTGTGTTTTGTAAATGTACGGATTCTATAGAATTCAAATGCGAAAAAGCACTGATTTTAAAGTTAACATTGAGTGCATCCTGACGAATGGTGCAGCATCAGTCTGGCTGACCGAATTCCAAACAGATTTGTGATTGGTAAATATCCAATCTGGGAAAAGGATCTGATGCAATGTTCTTTCAGTCTGAATATCTGTCTATATTTCTTTTTGTTTAATATGCAGAGGAGGAATAAAATGACTCTTAAAGGGACACTGTAACTGATCTTACTAAAGTGGTTATAGTGTCTGGAATCCACTGCTGCCTTTATTTGGCTTAAACCATTTATAATTTTTTAAAGCTAAACAAGAGTCTCAAGTAGCTGATTCTTTATTTTCTGCTTGGGCTAAAAAGGACGCATTAAAGGGAACATCAATGGGTGAAGGTGAGTGTCAGCTAATTGCTTTCCGCCTATCACATCCCACATTGCTGGTATGAATTGGTACGACTAGAAGGAAGCGTATAATCTATGTCTTAGACATATTTCCAGTAAGGGCCTGGCTGCTGATGGCCATGGATCCTAGTTTAGTGTTAAACTGCTCAAAAATGGTTCTAAATTTAACAGAAGAACAGTACCAGGGGACTCCTGGTACCATAACCAATTAAATGAGATGAAATGGTTAGAATGCCAACAGTATTCCCTTAATATGTGCAAGTTCATATTCCCTACAGCTAGGGTTTACCTATCAAACCTAAAGCACTGTAGCTTAAACTGTCACCGTCTGGGGACTTTGCATGATTTGACATTGACATCGCCGCTGAAGGTCCGGTGGCCTGGGGGACAAGCAAAGGTGAGTTTTACTTACCTGTCCCTAGCAGGCACTACCATCCTCTTTGGCTGGTCCTCTTCTGCCACTACTGTACTCTCGCACATGTTCCTTAGATTAGATTTAATTTCCCTGCAGCTGCCACTGGTGACAGCTGGGAGAAAAGACAAATTTGATGTTAGGAAAATGGATTCACAGCGACAACTATCAGTCTTGTGCATTCCAGCAAGAATGAGAGCACAAAAACTGCCTTAAACAGGAACTGGAGACCTATCAAGACCAGATTTGACCTGGGGACCTGTCAAGACCAGATTTGACCTGGAGACCTGCCAAGACCAGATTTGACCTGGAGACCTGCCAAGACTAGGTTTGAGGGCAAACTATAGTCAGAAATTTTTTAGCACCATTATCTGGGAACTGCACCAAGATGCTCCTAACATCGTAAGCTCTAGAGCGAGCAGTAATGATTATGATTGTTGGAGTAACCCTTTAAGGTTGCTAATATTGTAAAAGACTCCACCATCATCTCTAGCTCTGTGAGACCAAAGAGATCCTACCTTTCATCATCTTTTACACAGATCATAACCGGAACCAGGGATAGGCAACCTTTGGAACTCCAGATATTGTGGACTACATCACCCGTAATGCTATTGCAGCCACAACCCATTCCTTAATTCATAGAATGTGCTAGGGTTTTCTAGAGTCAAAGCAATATGTGGCTGAAAGAGTGGTCCAAGCTAATAAAAATGGACCTGCACACTTACATTCAGTACACTCCCTAACCGCTGCTCCAGCAGCTTTGAGATCAACAATGATGACCTTGATCCAATCAAATGCTTCTCATTGACAGACACTTGCGACCCACGAGGCATGCTCTGTAATCACAGTGATCTGCCAATCTGATGCATTGCATGATGGAGTTGAATGTGAAGTTTTTCAATGAAGTGGAGACAATTGGTTAATTATGTAAATTGGAAGTTTCAAGTCATTGCACTGAAATCGTTGCTATTACATATACAGGGCACATACTCACTGCAATATTATTTGCAAAACTCTTTCCAGCTGATTCCTTGTTTAATACATAGTTACATAAAACAATGATCATCATCGCATTACCTAGAGCAGTACTTCTCGAACGAGACCTCAAACAGCACCGATTGTCCGACTTCTATCAATGTCCCCGCTGGTACTGGATTGTGTAATCTTTAAGTCATGGACAAGTGATGCACCTGAAGAAGTGGGTTGAGAACCGTTGGGCTAGACCACGTCAAACTATATAACTGATTTTGGTTTTATTGTGATTACTGCACAAGATTAATCGTTTCATTTATTAATTAATCTATTTTCCACAGACATCAATCTATAGTGAAAGGGAATAATGGCCTTCCTCCAGTTGATAGACTGCTTAAGTTTTTGGTGGACAGTTCGGCTGACAGCGAAGAAGTGGTCCAGTGTGCCAACTGTGACCTAGAATGCAAGAAACAGGTTAGATTAAATATATAATAGTGATCTACAGTATTTTTTCTTTTTTTTTCTTATATTGTTGAATATACATTGTATTGACACCCCATATGAACATCTAAGTAGATTATTCACACCTGCTTTTGCCTACTTGTCCAGTGACATACCCAGAGATAAAAATTGTATTTATACTATTTATTATATTGCAATATGCTCTAAAATAGACTTAGTATTAGCTTGGTTTGAGGATCCTTGCAACCCTTGGCAAATTTGCATTAAATATTGTCTTCGTACATGAGTTTCTTGACTGAGGGTATTCAGTAACAACATGGTGCCAGTAAAATTAAAGCGATACGCCATTGTCAAAGTACAAAAAAAAATAATGGTAAAAAATCCATAATTACAGTTTAGTACAGTTATAGCAAATCTTTTTGAGCCATAGTGCCCAAACTGCAAGAGAAAACCAACATATTTATCTTAAAATGCCAACACTGCAATTAAACCTGAAAACTGAGATTTATTTTAGAAAAACATGTGACCATCACATGAGGAGTCTGTCTTTCTCTAGTTCTGCTCCACCTGACTATTCAACCTATTATGTCTTACTCTACATCCCTGGATCAGTAATGACCCCTGCAGATCCAAGCCTGCTCTAGCAGTTCCCCGTATAGAGAGCATTAGTGACACATAGACACATAGAATGTGATGGCAGATAAGAACCATTCAGCCCATCTAGTCTGCCCAATTTTCAAAATATTTTCATTAGTCCCTGGCCTTATATTATAGTTAGGATAGCCTTATGCCTATCTCACGCATGCTTAAACTCCTTCTCTGTGTTAACCACTAGCACTTCAGCTGGAAGGCTATTCCATGCATCCACTACCCTCTCAGTAAAGTAATACTTCCTGATATTGAAGACTATGTCCTCTTGTTGTGGTAGTTTTTCTTCTTTTAAATATAGTCTCCTCCTTTACTGTTAATTCCCTTTATGTATTTAAATGTTTCTATCATATCCCCCATCTCGTCTTTCCTCCAAGCTATACATGTTAAGATCCTTTAACCTTTCCTGGTAAGTTTTATCCTGCAATCCATGAACCAGTTTAGTAGCCTTTCTCAGAACTCTCTCTAAAGTATCAATATCCTTCTGGAGATACGGTCTCCAGTACTGCGTACAATACTCCAAGTGAGGTCTCCACCAGTGTTCTGTACAATGGCATGAGCACTTCCCTCTTTCTACTGCTAATACCTCTCCTTATACAACCAAGCACTCTGCTAACATTTCCTGCTGCTTTATTACATTGTCTGCCTACCTTTAAGAAATAATTACCCCTAAATCCCTTTCCTCAGATGTTGATGTTAGGACTCTATCAAATATTCTGTACTCTGCCCTTGGGTTTTTACGTCCAAGATACATTATCTTGCACTTATCCACATTAAATGTCAGTTGCCACAACTCTAACCATTTTTCTAGTTTACCTAAATCATTTGCCATTTGGCTTATGCCTACTGGAACATCAACCCTGTTACATATCTTCGTATCATCAGCAAAATAGCTTGGTTGCTATGTCTAAGTGCTGCTCCCCTGTGCAGTTCCTGGGCACACTCCCCTGTGCAGGACCTGGGCACACTCACTCCAACAGCATCCACCAGCTGGCTCACTGCACTTTACTGAGAGGTTAAAAAAAAAAAATGTATTCTTGTGATTTCTGAGCACCCTTGATGCTTTGTTTCCTGCACAGGATACACTCCCAGAGACATCACTAGCCTAGGCAATGACAGTAGTGACATGGCTTAAAACTTTATTTCCATGCTCCCACATAGGGCTTAGCAACACCTTTATCCCCATTACTATACTGCCTGTCACAAACCTGAGGGGGAGTGGGGCTGAGTGCCACACTCCTAGCATAGTCCTGACCCAGGATGGGGGAGCATAAGAGAATAGCTCAGTGTGCCTGAGGAGCGTTTATAAAAAAAAATGTGGCAAGCTTATGTCTCGTGTGCCAGCATGCATGCCATAGGTTCGCCATCGCTAGTTTAGTAATTAAAGCCCCAATGAAAACATGCATGCATTTAGTTATGATTTTTTTTTCTTTGGGGATATATCTAAAAACAGCTTGCAAAATCTGTAAATATTTTGTCTGCAGCATTTGCAAGCCCACCCCTTAATACCCAGCCCAAATTTTCTGTGGCCATCCAATCAGACTTCCCAGTGCAGCTCAATGGGAAGTATTTGCAAGGCAAGGTTTAGTATGTGAGCTGAAGTGGCCTGGGTGGTAATTGAAATATCTCCTCCAGCACTTGCATTGGCCAGAAGGAGGTGGACAATGTTCTTGGAAAAGTTTGGGATGTATATCGGTAAAGAGTATGAGTAGGAATTGCATTTCACCAAAAGTTGGGAAATATTTCATGAGCACCATGGCATCTAAACTAATTTTAATGTGTTATAGAATGTTTTCGTTATAATAAAATGTTTCTTTGACTCTCTTTCCTAGGATGGAGACGTGATGTTTTATTGCAACACTTGCAACCAGCCACTGTGTGTCAAGTGCAGAGATGAAACTCATAAAGCAAAAATGTTCTCCCGTCATGAGATAGTTTCACTGTCGAAACATGCAAAAGACATACATAAAAAATGTTGTAAGTATATCAGTAACCTAAATATACAGCCTCTGATCTCTTTATTAATTGAGAGGAATGTGGAAACTCCAAACCCAAATATAGTTAAGTACTATAAGGCGGCGGGAAGGCAATATTTGGGGATAATATGCATTTACAATCTTTTATATAGTATATAGAAATTAAAGATTGTTGTTATTATTATTGACATTTATATAGCGCCAACTTTTTGGCAGTGCTTTAAGGTATTATAAAGTGGGGATGTTAACAATAAATGAGACAATTACAAATTGTACTGGAAAAATAGATTGACGAGGACCCTGCTCAAAATAGTTTACAATCTAGAGGAGGTGGGGTCTATAAACACAGGAAGAGTACCGTTGGGATAGCAACCAAGCAACAGGGTGAGAAAATAGCAGAATTGGAAGGTGAGATTGGAATGTGGACCTCAAAGATAGTGAGAGTATGTGAAATAACAGTTCCTCTGGCAGGCCATAGGCTATTCTGAATTGATGGGTTTTAAGGGACTTCTTAAGTGATTGAAGCGTAGGGTAGAGTCTGATTGGACTGGAGCCACCGAGAGAAGTCCTGCAAGCAGGGGCGGTGCGTCCATAAGGCGGCACAAGCAGTTACCTTAGGACGGACTGGCCTGGGTGGCGCTAGATTAGAGTGACCAGTAGGAAGGAAGCCACAGCTCTCCCTCCTACCAAACACTCAGTGTAGTGTGGCCGAGCGGAGCACAACGTGGTACAGGAGCTTCAGTTTCCTGTACCCTGCCGGACTCAGTGAGAGAGCACTTCCTGTCAGACCGGCTGGGTACAGGAAACTGAAGCTCCTGTACCATGGTTCGCTCCGCTCAGCCCCACTACAAGAAAGGTAAGAGGCACACCGAGGAGGGAAGGGGGAGGAACGCTAAAGGGGAGGAAGGGGCGCGGTCCAAGAGGGGGAGAGAGATGGGCTTAAAGGGACACTATAGTCAGGAAAACAACTTTCTTTAACTTAATGAAACCGTTTTGGTATATAGAACATGCCCCTGCATCCTCAATGCCCAATTCTCTGCCATTTAGGAGTTAAATCACTTTGTTTATGAACCCTAGTCACACCTCCCTGCATGTGACTTTCACAGCCTTCCTAAACACTTCCTGTAAAGAGCCATATAAAGTTTATCATTTCTTTATTGCAAGTTCTGTTAAATTTAGATTTTCTTATCACCTGCTATGTTAATAGCTTGCTAGACCCTGCAAAAGCCTCCTGTATTTGATTAAAGTTAAATTTACAGAGCAAGAGATAAAATTGTTTAAGGTAAACTATAAGCAAAACCAGTTTTTGTTTCATGCTGGCTGTGTCAATCAGAGCCAAGGGAGGTGTGGCAAGGGCTACATAAACAGAAACAAAGTGGTTTCACTCCTAAATGGCAATGAATTGAGCAGTAAAACCTGAGTAGCATGATCTATACCATGGGTCGTCAAACTGGTCCCTACTGCCCACCAGTGGGCGTTTTAGGATTCCAGGTGGGCGGTTGCAGAATCCTCCCCCCATCCAGAGAGATGAACGCTCTATTCATCTCACGCGCACTCAGTGGTAAGCAGGAAGTGCGAGGTTGCTGATGCGAGTGCATGAAAGTGCAAGCGTGTGTGCCTGAAGTGCATGTGCGCCCATATCGTACGCACGTAGGAATGTGTGCGTTCATGAATGAGTGTAACATGCAGGTAGAAGAAGGGGAGGAGTTGGAGTAGGTAGGGGGATACACGATAGCAGGGAGTGGAGTAATTGAAAAATAGGAGAAAGAAGGAGAAGAGTACTTGTAGAATAGGAGTAAGAAGGAGCAGAATACTTGTAAAAAAAAGGAGAAGGAGCAGAGTACTTGGAAAAAAGGAAAAGAAGGAGCAGAGTACTTGTAGAATAGGAGAAAGAAGGAGCAGAGTACTTGTAGAACAGGAGAAAGAAGGAGCAAGTACTTGTAAAAAAGGAAAAAGAAGGAGCAGAGTAGTTGTAAAATAGGAGAAAGAAGGAGCAGAGTACTTGTAGAATAGGAGAAAGAAGGAGCAGAGTATTTGTAAAAAGGAGAGAGAAGGAGCAGAGTACTTGTAGAATAGGAGAGAGAAGGAGCAGAATACTTATAAAAAAGGAGAAAGAAGGAGCAGAGTACTTGTAGACTAGGAGAAAGAAGGAGCCGAGTATTTGTAAAAAGGAGAAAGAAGGAGCAGAGTACTTGTAGAATAGGAGAGAGAAGGAGCAGAGTACTTATAAAAAAGGAGAAAGAAGGAGCAGAGTACTTGTAAAAAAGGAGAAAGAAGGAGCAGAGTACTTGTAGACTAGGAGAAAGAAGGAGCTGAGTATTTGTAAAAAGGAGAAAGAAGGAGCAGAGTACTTGTAGAATAGGAGAAGGAGCAGAATACTTATAAAAAATGAGAAAGAGGGAGCATAGTACTTGTATAATAGGAGAAAGAAGGAGCAGAGTACTTGTAAAAAAGGAGAAAGAAGGAAAATAAAATATAAAAAGGAGAGAATTGTTGTTGGCTAATAATAATAAGTGGGCTACCTAGCTCAGCCTTACTGCTGGGCATTGCTATAAGGAAAGTAAAAAAAATTGAAAAAAGGAAAAGGGGGGAGGGAGGAGTAAGGATTGAGGAGGGGAGCTGATGCACAATGAGAAATCATATTATGTGCAAACAGAGAAATCATCTGAATATCACCGAAAGAGGAGACCCTTGTTTGTTTCTTACGAAAATCGAACCAGATATCAAATATTTAGTCTCGCAGCATCAACCTCAAGGATCTCATTAATCACTAGTTAAAGGTAATTTCAATTTACTTTATTGTTTTCTCATTAAACTTTATAAAGTTATAAACATTATAAATATGCATTAACTAGAAATAAAAAGATAAATGTACGTACATTTTTAAAAAAAATTTTTTTAAACACCCTCCTTTCTAAAAAATATTCTGCACTTGCGCGAAAACTGGTGGGCGATAAGAAAATTTTTCCATCTAGAAAGATGCATTAGTGGGCGGCAAGGTTACTTCTAAACTTCAAACCTGATACAGCTGATAGCATTCTAAACTTCAGATAATTATAAAAACTAAATATAGTTGTGATCTGTTTATACTACTTTTTATTTATTTTAGGATTGTATATTTTTAAGGTCATGTATAAAATATTCTTGTTAATATTCTTGTTTGTATTAAGCATACTGTACATATTTTGATTCTACTAAAACTTTCTTTCAAAAGGACTATGAAAGACACACAGGAAATTTACAAGACAATTTATGAATATATAGAACATTTTATGATAAATTATAGCTTACTAATTTCTACCCAACTTCTATTTTGACATAATTTGCCTTTACATCCATAGTTCAACTTTAAATTTCCAAATTGTATTTAATCATTTTTAAATATGCTTTCTCTTGTTTTCAGCACTGCACGAGGAGCCATATATAATGTTTTCCACTGAGAAGAAATCCATGCTTTGTATTAATTGTTTCCGCGACATGCAAGTGTGAGTTCAATTTATTGCATGACACCAAAGCATCTATATGTATGGCAGGTTGTTATTGCCCATAGAATAGTAGTCAAGGCGTTCAACTAGAAATCTGGTCATTTTATCAAAACCTTTTTCATATTAAGGGATCCATGTTATTGAAAGTGTTTGAATACCCCCTACTCTCATTATGTGGGGCATCGATGAATAAACAATATGCCGGCAGGGAGTTACATATGCCACCCTTGTTACAACATCCCAGTTGTTTGTGGTATTTGTGGCAGGATAGGAAAATAGTTTTAATGATGCGTGATATGAGGATTTATAGGTGGCTGGTGGAATTGGGTGTACTTTGGCTTCACCTGGTTCCCTGGGTTAAGACTTGTTTCACTTGCCCCTTCACCTCCCATTGGGGGATGAGAATGGTTTGTGCTGCTGTTATTACATTGACAGACCACTGTGTGGTTCCCTTTGATATTAAGGGGCTGCACATAAGTTAAAGGGGTTTTGTAAGGTGATATGTTTTTGTTTTTTTTGTGTGTTGGTGGGTTTGATTTCACATATAGAGAAGCAAATTATTAATAATTTTATTGGCGTTTACATAGCACAAACATATTCTGCAATGCTTTATGATTCTAGAATAAGAATATTTGACAACAAGTAATTGAATATAAGAGAAACAAGAGGTGAAAAAGCCCATTCTCAAACAAGCTTACATTAAGAACAATCTATCCTACAGACTGGCAAGGGATCTTTGTGAAGTTTTCCTGATCCCAATTAGTATTAATTAAGTTTAGTTTCATGGGGATCAATAAGCAAATAGTATTTTTAACTGAATCACCCATAGGCCTTGTCAATCAGTGTGGCTCTTCCTACTTACCATGCAACCCCTTGCAGTGCGCAATGGATTCATTGAGTGCAAACAATGTCTCTCTGTATCATGTCTTTGGAACACAGAACATAAGTATGCCTAAAATATTAACATGGGATCTATATATTTTATAGCACAATGTATAAATGAAAAAATATATTTGAACTCCATTAAAGTGTCTTCTGCCCAAAGCATCCCCGCACATTTTTCAGCCACTTAGAAGCTTAAAAAAAGCAATCTGCACTTCTCTTTGATGTACTTGAAGAAAATTACAATAGACTTGTGACTAGCTCATGTTTTTATGTATATTTTATAGAGAGAGCCGTGCTCACTGCATTGATATTGAAACTGCCTACATGCAGGGATGTGAGAAGTTGGATCAAGCTGTCATGGTAGGTTAAAAGCTCATTTAAAATGTTCAAACGTACTGGACTTGCATTATTAAAGAGGCGCATATACCCACGGCAATTTTGAAAAAAAGATTGTGCATCCAATCACAATGGTGAGAGTATTGCCACATTGAGAAATATGTATGTATGTATGTATATGTAAAATAACAGATGAAATTCCTATCTTGTAATACCTTTTTTATTGGACTAACAGAATTTTGGAATGACAAGCATTTCAGAAGTGCTTTAGACTAGAGAAAGGGAGGTTCTCCTGAAAGCTTGTCATTTCAAAATTCTGTTAGTCTAATAAAAAAGGTTATTACAAGATACAAATGTAATCTATTATTTTATATCTGCATCACTGGACTAATGCAGCTACAATCTATTCTCTCTTGCTCTTTCTCACTCTCTATAAAAAAAAAAATAGTTTCACTCTTTAACTGTAAGTGTCTCTATATCATCATTGTTAAATTGTAGACTTATTCTAAGACTCGAGAGTGTGGATTTATTTTTTACAAACACTAGACTTTGCACCCAGGCATTCACATATATATATTCTTACAGAGAGAGAATACTTATTTAATTTTCTAGAGCTAAAAATGTGGGTAAGGTACAACTTTGTATAATTTCAGTAAATCTTTTTCTTTAGTTCAAATGCTAGTAAATATACGAACTGATTAATGGCTAGATATACAAAAAGAACAACAAAACCAAGGATTTTATTCACAATTGAATTAACAAAGACAACATACAGTGACAGGTTCTTTCTGTTTATGTGTTTGTTATAGGCAGTTAAAGAACTACAGACGTCAACAAGGGAGGCAATTTTGCTTCTCAAAGCAATGATTGAAGAGGTGAGAAATAGTGCAGATGTAGAGGAGACCGCAATCAACAGCCTTTTCAGCAGTATGCAGGTACAGTATACTGTGTCCCTTTACAGTTCAATGACATGTGCTTTACATGGCATATAGTTACAAAGGTACACTCCCAATTGAGAAGCTGTAAAACTCCAAAAATGAAAGATGTCTTGGAAGGGCTTTACCTTATCACACAATTGCAGGTTAAGGTCAAATACATTTAGTACATAAAGTCTAAGACCTTACTGGACCAAAGCTAATATATTCAACTGTATAAAGTGCTCACCAACTGGAGTTACAGGCAGGGCCGTCTTTAACATTGATTGGACACTGGGCAGGCATTTGTTTGGGCCCCCTGGATCCTGCCATCCCTCGCCCTCCCCCCACACTTTCACTCTCTGGCATGCAATCACGCCCTCCACCCCAACACAGTGGCAGAACTAATGTAGACAGGGCCCTGGTGCAAGACATTGTTTTGAGCCTCCCCTCTAGCGCAAGAGCAGAGAAAAGATAGATCCTCATCTGTTGTACAATTCCAACGATGCTATGCCAGCTGGGGATCTACCATTTGTCCATTTTTGCAGGGCTGTATTTGTGAGCAGTGTTTGTGCATTTGAATGTGAGCATGTTGTTGTATACCGTATGTGTGTGCATGTAGGGTGTAGTATTGGTGTTTAAGTGTAGGGATGTGTTTCTATATACTTTTTGAGTTTGAATTCAGGGGTGTGTTTGTATGTAATGTTTGCAGGGGTGTGGTTGCATGTTGTGTTTGATTGCCGTGATGTATGATATACATTCACAGATATACATACACATTAGCACACTGATACATGCACACATCTGGACACATGCACACACTGACAAAGACTGGCGTATACACACACAGCCACATACATAAATACACGTGCACACACAGAGATAAAAACACTGGCACATCCACACACAGAGATACACACTTACACACACTGACACAGATATATACACAAATACATATGTATTTGTGTGCAGTGTTGGCGTAGGAATGCTGGGATGTATGCATTGTCACACAGATGCACTCACACACAAACAGTGATACACACAGGAACACAGATACACATGCAGTGGTGTATTTGTGTGCATTGTTAATGTTGGAATGCAGGGTTGTATTTGTGTGCAAGGTTAGATGGGATGTATGCATTGCCACACGCACAGATACACACTTACACATACTGACACTCATACACACACAGGTACATATACACAGACAAGCAGGTATACATACAAACTGACACATAGGTATACATACACACAGATACACATAAACACTGACACAAAGGTACATGTACACTGACACAAACACAGCCATATAAACGTACACTGACACAAACAGCCAGATACACACTGACACAGCCAGATACACACTTACACACACAGTGTCAGATACACACACACAGTCAGACACAAATACAGCCAGATACAATCACAGCCAGCCAGATACACACACACACACACACACACAGTGAGATATACACACACACAGTGAGATATACACACACACACACACACACACAGTCAGATACACACACACACACACACACAGTCAGATACACATACACACATACAGTCAGATACACATACACACACACACACACACACACACAGTCAGATATACACACACACAGAGTCATATGAATTCGCATAGTTTAGCCACCCTCCTTACCTTTACAGAAGTGTGGCTTCCCTGTGGTCCAGTGGGAGCTGGATGGCTGAGATTGATGGGAGTCTTCTTCTTCTTGGTCTGTACCTCCTCCTGCTCTCCATGTATGCCTCCTCCTCCCCAGCGGCACTCTGTTAATTGGGAGGAAGTGACCTCACAACACTTCCTCCCAGCAGGCAGGAAGACAGGGGCTCGGTCAGGAGCTCTCTTAAAGGGCCGGGGCCCCTGATTACATCACCTTCTGCAGCCCACCGGGATATTTCTCAGTATCCCGGTGGGCTGTTCAGACCTGGCTGCAGGCAGGGTGCCCACAGGGCAGCTGCTTTGGGCCCCCCAGGAGCAACTGGGCCCGGGCAGCTGCCCCGTTTGCCCCTTGTTAAAGACGGCCCTGGTTACAGGAGCCCGAGATTCAGGGAAGGTTAGTCCCACCTACGATGGTCACCAAAAGAGATGATATTACCGGCTACCAGTATCCATGGTTGAATCCCAGATGTATAGCAGGAAATGCTGCTACAAAATTCAAAATGTCTAAAACGAATCTCCGTCATTACCATTTCTTTAATGAGGACATTTTCCCAACATGTTTTTGTTTATTTGATATATTTTGTATATATCTGTTGTTTTTTTTTGTTTTGTTTTTTTTGTGGTTTTTTTTTTTGTTAATGAATACTTGATAACTACTGAGACTATAAATTGTTTAGTTATAATTTTCCTTTTTTTCAACTATTAATGTTAATTTATGCACCTATTAAACATTCTGAGTTTTGCAGTTGTATTTTCTTCTATCGATCTGGGATACAACAATGGATACTGTTAGCCGGTAATATCTTCTCATTTTATTGATCGTCATTATAAGGTCAAATCTATGCCACCAAATGTATAACTCTCTTCTTCGATAGCGAGGAGCCTTCCAATAGTTGTATTACAATAGGAAATAAAATGTGTTTTCTATAGCTGGTTATTTCTAAAGCTGCAGAAACTGTTGTTGTACATGTATGTGTGTTTTATTTTTTATATTTTTAATACTAAAGTAGATTACGGAGTTAATTACCATAATCTCATTTTCATATATGACTATGTATTACGCCTGCTCAAAAATGTAAATTCCATTAGTGTGCAGCTCTCTATAGCTAGGAATACATGGGGTATTATATGAGATTCTAGATGTTTGTACCAGTGGCCACTGAGTGATGCCACGGAATAAAATCGTTCTATAGTTGTGGAAAGCCCAGTTCACTAGTGGTTAACACATGGTAGTACTAAATCTGGAATTGCAGATTCCAAGGATGTGGATATCCGCTTTATGCCCATTAAGTGCAACATGCTTAGGATTTACTCTGACTACTGATGCAGAAAACTCTTCTAACCTGTTATCAGTTTGTGTAGTACCAGCCATAATATCTTAATCTGTAATTTTCCTGGAAAAGTACCTTTATTCCCCATTACAAATTTCAAACTGATTTGATTCTGCATGTAACAGTTATCCACTAGGTGTCAGCACAGTCCTACCAGCTTATGATTCGTTTTATATTATTATTTTTGTTTATTAGCATATGCTTGATTAAATGATTATTTTAAAACACAATTTCAACCTCCCCCCCCACCTCCCCGGAAAAAAAAAAGCTACATTACTTGGGTAGAGGTTTTGATTTTTTGGATGATGTAATGAAAGATGGTGCTACTAAGATGTGTGCCTCCTGATAATTGTTCACATATTAAATGTACACTCACTTGGTCCTCCTTACTATTGAATCATAGGTTGCGGTGCTATGTAAAAGAATGCATGGCCCTTCCAGTGTGTCCTTTATTTACCTAAAAAAAAGTACAGTTTGTTTTCTTGATTTTGATGTAACAATTAGACATGTGCAATTCGTTTCGAATGTATATTCGGACGAATTTCGTGCAATTCGCAAATTCTGATGCTTCCGAATGTCCGACATACCGAATTTACAAAGTTACGAAATGACGAAGTTCAGTACTTCAGAAGTGCCGAACCGAACTGAATTGCCGAAATTCCGAAGTGCTTCGGATTTCTGAAGTGTCAAAACAAGAGAGAGGGAGGAAAATTACGTGAATGTTGACAGGAATCTTGACCAATAAGCAAATTCCTGGCACTGGGAGCCCTATAGATGTGTAAGTGGTTGTGGTGGCAGTCTGGGCACTGGGAGCCCTGCAGATGTGTAAGTGGTTAGGGTTAGGGGTTGGAGTTAGGGTTAAGGTTGCCCAGGACTGCCACTACAACCACTTACTAAATATGTGCAATTAGTTTCATGCAATTTGGACATTCGGATGCTTATGAATGCCAGAATTGCCAAAGTTTCGAATTGCCGAAGTTCGGTAGTTCGGAGGTGCCGAGCTGAACCAAATGCCATTGGTCCGAATTGCCGAAGCAGACAAATTTTTTTTCCTCATGCACATCCCTAGTAACAATACGGTATCTATGGGCAATGCCTTATCTGTAACTGATGTCCAGAGCTTATACAAGAGTGGAGGCAGTATCTCAATTTCATACACCAAAGCTAGACTGACAACCAAACTTGGCAGCTTCATACGATTCTGGACTCGATGCACCAGAATGTGATATCATACCCTGATGCCCTCTGCCTATTTTAACAGCTGTTGACTTTTAATTTAGCTGGAACTTTATCCTGTGTATATACTCACCATAGAAGTAAATTATTCACTTTAGTCATCAGGAAGAATTGTGTGCGTAAAAATTCTAAAGAAGCTGCCATGAAATCCAATGGATAGAGGGAGGAAATTAGGCAGATGTTTGTTCACTTCCATACGAATAAATGTTTTTTTTTTTGTTTGTTTTTTTAAGCCCCCTCCTCTAGAGTAGCTGAAGCTTCCTATGAGATTATATCATTGTACACTGCCACTAATTAAATGGTATATTCAACTGCACTCAGAACCAAGCTACTACAGATTAGCAGGGTTATTCACTAAAGAGAACGAGAAATAATAACTGTATCGCTGGTGGAGTGGCAAATATCAACCAATTAGGCTAGGTATTTCTAAAAATGACTTTTAATATAGCGATTTAAGAGGTGAAATAAGTCACCACAACAAAAAGGTAAACAAAATTCAAACAGAAATAATAATGTACATATTTACAAAGCAATTATCCTGAGTGTAGTTATGTCTGTATATGAAAATCTGGTAGTTCTACCCAAATATTGGGATAATGAATACAGAGTAAGGTAGTACAGGCTGTAGCTTTGTGAGTTCAGGATAATAAAAAAACATCTGTAGCAGACCAGCCGTATAAGGAGAATAGAAAAAAATCTAAATCTAAACTCCAAACTAAGGGATAAGGGGACGTCTCCCTCCCTTTTTGAAAGAAAAAAAGTAGTATTTCATAATGTGCAGTGCTGCAATAAGATTGGTAAGATATCAGAAAATGCTTGTAATACAGGCTTGCTAGAGATGGGGCAACTAAAAAAGTCCAGCAATGTAGTAGGAACAAAAAAGTACCATTGTATTAGCTAATAGTCGCTGCCAAGCAATGTAGCCAACACATGTCTGTATCAATCGGGGTTATGGAAGGGAGAGGTAAAGTAAATACTAATTCTGTGCCTTCGAGGGCACCCCTTAACCCAAAATGCCTGTTACTCCTAAATGGATGTATAAGAAATGCCTCCCACCCCTAGAATCAATATAATGAAAGAAAGCTGGAGATTGTAATGATAGCCGTTTTTTTCCCACCAATATATGGGGACAGGTATTAGTGAATTTTCTGTAAACGCCATTATAAGCCGAGCATGAGCTCACTCATGATACAGTGGCTATGAAGTGTGCTTGTCAGAACCCCTGACGCATGTTTCGCCAATCTGGCTCATCAGAGGGGAGTCAAGGTCCTGATATGGCCATACCAGTCCCCTGACTGATTTGAGACCATTCCTCTACACCAAATCTTTCCAGATCCTACGAATTTCAAGGTCGATGCTGGTGAACTTTCCTCTTTAAATTTGTAGGATCTGGAAAGATTTTGTGTAGAGGAATGGTTTAAAATCCCTTGCCATAATTTCTCCAGCTCCATCAAGCATTATATGAGAAAACTCAAAGCTGTTATCTTGGCAAAGACAGATACCACAAAGTATGGACTAAAAAGGTATCAAAAACTGTGCAACTCTTATATTTAATTTTTTTTTTTTGGGTAGACCTGTGTTGTGTTTGCAATTGTTTGATATCCATGAGAGCAGTGTATTTTTGTGTATTTTTTTTGAACAGAAGATCAATGGTTAAACAACAGAGACAAACTTTCTTGCATTCTTTGCTCATATTACAAATATTAGTTGAGGGCACTGTACTTAACTTTAAAGTGCTAACTTTATCTATTATGAACAGTCACAATATTCTTATTGCCATGCAATCATACTTTCCGCTGATATTATTTCCTATAACAGGAGCACATGTAATTAAATCATCTTATTTTAAAATTTGTGTTAACTCAGTTATATTTTCGTTAGGGAATGAAATGCTTGTGTGTTATTGCACTTCAGTTGGTTTTTGCAACGGGCACTCCGGAAAAAAATAAATTGTAAGTGTGACCAATGAGCATTCTCCTTGAGGGGATTAACCATCCCCTTCCAATGACCTTACACCAAAGCATAGTATTTCAAGGTGGCTGCTGCTCAGTTCGCTGCCAAGTTTTATAAGTGGGTGCAAACAGCCACAGCCTTTGGAATAATCCAGGACAGTTATCTAATATCATTTCTCTAGGCCCTGAGTCAAACTTGCCTTTTTATGGTATTCGCAAAATCAACTAATTATTCACAATTTTTTAAGTAGGATAGAATGCTAGGAGGATGGTGGTCCTAATTAATTAATGTGGATATCCTTGCATTAAAAATATTATAGTGAAAATTGATTTTTATTTTAATAATGCTTATGTCTTCAGGAAAAGCTAGCAGAACGCAAGAAGATCCTGCTGAAAGCTGTGCAGTGGTAAGATTTATTGTTGCTATCAGTGTATGTCGATCCACTTATAACCATGCCGGCTGTTGAACTTTGAAATGGTTGGGGTGCCAGACTCTTCCCCAAAAATTTCACTCCTCCCTATACATTACAGAGAGCTGAGCATAATACAGAGATGCTCATACACTAAAACCAGCTGGGCACAACATATATATCTATAAAAATATATAGAACTGAATACAATACAAAGATGACCATACCACAAGCAGACCTTAAAAAATAGTGATATAGTGCACAGAGGCACAGTACAAACATACCTATACAATATGCAAAGAAAGGTGCAGGGTGGCAGCACCTGTAGTGTTGTTCTCAGATCCAAGGTAGTATGTGAAATAAGCAGAGAGAACGTAATATAGTGTAATATGTTATCAATTATGGTTAGATATGAAAGAAAGAGATTGCACTTACAATTTTCTGGAGCTTATGTTCAGCTCCAGATTTATGCGCGTGGATGGAACAATCCCCGTCTGTGGATATGGCGGTGGGTCCTTATGCTTGTTAGCAGGTGTTGCTCCCAGTGCTCTTGGTTTTTATACCGCAGTCTGACAGTAAGATTTCCTCAGTATACAGGAGAAGGAATAAAAACTAAATATAGTGCTCTCTGTATGTATTAAATGGGATAAAATAAAATAAAACGATATATACTTACAAACGGAGAGCAAATAAAGGTATTGCTCAATCCCAATGGGTTTAGGTGGTATAATCCCCACCAAGGATATCTCTGTGAGAGTCCTCTGGATAAAAAGCTTCAAAGATAGGCCTGGAATCTCCTCCAAGTGGTATAAAATAATCAACCTTATTTGGCGATAAAAAATGTAAAACCAAGTATAACATAAAAAGAATTATAGAACACTAACGCGTTTCACCTACACCAGGCTTTCTCAAAGTGTTACAGTTTATGAGACCTATCTTGTTTAAATAGCTTTAAAACAGACCCAGATCTCCATATATTTTTAGCAACTGACATTAATTAGAATGTTTCAGTGGATACAGTGTATCAAGACACTATTTAGATAATGTTACTAAGATCTTTCAGTACGGTTTCACAAGTTAACCCCTAGCAAATATTGGCCGGTTTGAATCATACAGCGTACAGGTGAAACGTTTGGTATACTACCTAGTGGTATTTACACAAAGGGCTCCTTTGCTTTTCAGCCCGGTAACATAACCATATAAGAGGTAACTTCTGTGTACATATGTATATAATCTATCACTATTTCTATCCAGCTTTAGCGGCATGGTTTATTAAAGGTGTCAACAATCCAACTAATATGTAAATACCCTACTTTCTACCATATTGTAAACCATTATTGGATATAATTATGTGAGGGTGTACTTATTTAAATTCCCACAACGTTAGCATTTATACTGCTATTCATCCATTTCTGAGTCTCTTCCAACCTCTTTTTGGTTTATTTCATAGAGCTCATATCTGTTTTTGAGCACTTTTTAATGAGTGTATGTTATATACTTTTAAGATAATTTAATAAAATAGATTTTAACACGTTTAACTATATTATAACTTAGACTACAAGGGACCTTCTCTGTGCCCATGGAGACTTAGTCCTGTGGACACGCATATTCTTTTTCTATTTGAGAAAATGCCCTTGCTTAGTCAGACTTCAGGCCGTCACTAGGGCTAATGGTGTGAAGAAAAATATAATACGATAATAATAATAATAATAATAATAATAATAATACACTTACATTTGGCAAAGGCTGCTAATATGCCCTCTCTGTGTTACTTCCAAGATGGCTTCTTGAATCTCTCTCTTGTGGGCACTTTAACCCTGTCCCCTGGTTCTATCAACCAATGATGGCCCTGAATAGAGAGGCCAATAGCATGCCTCCACCCATGACGCAACAGGCTCTACTGCCTGAATGGCACTTCAATGGAGATTCATGAAATTCCTTCTTTGAGGAGTCTAGCCATGTGCAAAACCTTTTGAAACTGGGCAGATGTCAAACCAGCCCCTAGTTTTGATATGACTAGATACTCTCAAGTAAGCTTCTTCAAACAGCTACCAATGAGGTGAGAGGGGCCCTGCGGAACTGAAACCTATTACAGAATTTAAGAGACACTATTTGTTCCGCATATTTTTTGGCTTATCACATTTCCCTTCAGAGAAAGAATCTTACTGTTTCTAAACTGTGGCAAATATTTTTTTTTATGCACATAAAAAGTGGTGGGGCGCTAATAAGTACCCCTATAGACAAGCCTTCACTGTTGATAACACTTTTTTTAGGTCACTGACCTGTTATAGCATGTCTAGAAAATGTGCCTGATTTGTTCTAAGAAAAAAAAAATGGAGTGCAAGGATCAATGATTAAAGTAGGCCTTCCATCTAAACTTAATTTTCTATTAACCAACAAACTAAAAATATTTTTCAAATAATTCCTAGTTAACACACTCTCGATATGGGTGTTTTTTAAATTACATTATATTTATGTTATCATTTTGTCTGTTTTAGTCAACATGAAGAGAAAGAGATGGCCTTCAAGGAGCAACTTTCTCATTTGGCATCACTTTTACCCACTTTGCAGGCAAGGAACTAACAATATCATATGATTTCTTAAATGTTATAATTGTGCATACAATTGCTATTCAGCCTGTATGTGTTCTTTCTTTTTTTTTTCAGGTTCACCTTGTTACTTGCTCAGCATTTTTGAGCTCTGCTAACAAAGCGGAGTTCCTCGACTTAGGATATGTAAGTAAATGATCTTTCATGGAAGTGCTTTATACTTGGAAGCGTAATAGATTAAATACATTTTTAAACCACTGCCTGAATCGTTAAATATCCAGTGTAAAGATAAGTATTTGCAGCTCATTGCATCCCATTGGTAATATTCTTATAGCTTTTGCAGAGATTCTTTTACAGTAATTGAAGCTGCACTGTCACTTGTGGAATCTTTGCATCTTTTTCAAAGACTCCCAAAGGTGACATGACTACTTCCATGACGGTACCCAGAGGAAGAGAGATATAATTACCTACAGCTTTCCCTCCTCTACTGTTTCAGTTCTCAGCTTAATCTGCACAAAAATACAAAACTGGGGGTTTTTGGAAGATCATCAAGTGAAAATGTACCTGCTTCCATCGGCTGTTGTGAGTGACAACTGCTGGCAAATGAAAAGATGTGGCAGATAGAAGTTCTGTCTTTCCCCACTTTTCCCCTCCAAAATCAATAAGTTCGTAAGACAAATTAGTAACTACTTTTATCTTCTATCTTTTGATTTAAAATAAAATTACTTTGCAGTCTATGTGAGTTTGTTCCTAGAGATTGTATCTTTACAAATAACTCAGAATTGACAGGGCTGCTTTAAGACAAATTCATTTCTCACCTCTAGTGCCACATTATCAAAACTCTGCTTTTAGATCTAAAAAAAGGAACATTTATGTTAATGGTATTATTTCATTAATTGGATAAAAATAACAAACACAATCAATTGCTGGAAAATATCTAAATCTGAATGATAGACACTCTGATAGTTTTTAAAGTAGATCTGTTTTCCGATACTTAAACTGTAACTGTCCCTTCTACCTTACTCAAAAATGTAATGAATGATTGTGACAACTCAGAGTTTACCTTTTGTTATGGTTGTATTGTTATATTGAACCCTTACTGTTATTATTTCAATATTATGTTAAGCATAGTTACAGAGAAAGAGAGGGACTTGTTCTTTAGCAGGTGTGCTGGGTGAGACGGACATGAGCATGTGCCAGGGCTCTAACTGTCCTAACTGTCGCTGTCTCTTTTTTTTCTGCTTTTAACTGTTTGATTTTTCTGGTGTGTTGTTCAGTTTTGTCACTGAAGTTGCTGTGCTGTGTCTCTCTGGTTGTCAACTAATAATATCAAAATAAATCGGAAAGTTTGTAGTACAAAAACAGTGGTTTCGGCTCTGTTTTTGGGAAGATGCCATCTAATATCCAGTAGCCGTGACAATGAGCATTATAAAACAATAAAGGTTTAACTACATAAAAACTAAATACATTCTAACATACCATATAATATAACATGCTCTGTTACGCAGCATTAAAAAAAAAAAAGGAATTACAGAGATATTATACCCTAAGGGTAACTCTAGAGTTAGTTGTGGCAAACTGAAAACCAAGTTGCAAAATTTAAAGGGACACAAGCACCAAAACAACTAGTACTTGATGAAATAGTTATAGTCTGAAGATCAGTTCTTTCTATTTAGGATTTAAATAATTTTGTTCCCCTGGACTCACACAACCTCCCTACACACTTCCTGACAAAGAGTTAAAATTTTTTCCCCTTGTTCACACTGTGTTTTAATTGAAACTTTTAATCCATGGAGGATGTGAGTCACAGCCAGGAAAGATATGGCTAAGGCTGCAAAAAACGTTTACCAAAATGGCAGAGAATTTAGTGGTTAGACCGCAGCAACGTGATCTGTACAACTAAACTGCTACATTAAGCTAATGCTGTTTTGGTGCTTAGAGTAACCCTCTTAGACCAAATAGCCAAGACTGTCAATATATTGTTATATTGAATACTACAATATGTTTTATTTGACTTTCACAGAGAATCAGAATACCTGTTTGCTAGCTTTGTTCTGAGAAAATATTTTTCTTTTTTTTTTTCTGTTAGCAACTGATGGAACGTCTCCAACAAATTGTCAAACTTCCTCACCGTTTGAGACCATCCCAGAGCAGCAAAGTACGATTCCACTTAAATTACCCATGAAAATGTGCACATGTGTTGTAATGGAAAGTCCATGTGGTTAAAGTGACAGTGACCAATAATGTCTATATTTCACTTTGTAGAACTATAGTAATATCCTGTAACTAGGAAGGATGATGGAGGCTATTGGCTGAACTAACAAAGAGAGGTTTTTGGGCTCCTTTATAGAGCTTTGTTGACTAAAAGGTAGATTCTCAACTGTTGTAAAACTCCCATGACGCTTTGCCTGCCAGGTACTGACCATTTGCTCATCATTGCATGGTTGTATTTGTGAGCAGTGTCAGTGTGCTTGAATTTAGGCATGATTTTGAATGGAGTATGTGTTTGAATGCAAGTGTGTGTGTATATGTATGCAGTGTTGATGTTTGAATGCTGCAGTGTATTCACATATACAAATACAGTGACACACAGACAGTCACACACACACACACACAATTACACAGATATAGATAGATTATACACAAATAAGACACAACATGCATATATTATGCTGCTACATTTGCATTCGGAGGTGACTGGGATTGATGGGAGTGGGCTTACGCTGATTCCTCTCTGTGCTACTTCTCTTCTGCACTGTACTCTATACTGGGAGAAAGTGAAGGAAGCACGGCCTTGCAGGGGAAACTGACAAACTGACAGGTGCCTGGTCCAGGGACGTGATAATGGGGCATGTGCCAATGGGGCACGAGGCTTCTCATTAGATAGGCCCATTGGATGGCCATTAGTGTTAGGGCTCTTCAATGGGCACCTCAAGCTTGCAGGCTCTGGTGCAGTTGCTGTTACTTCACCACCATTAGTTCTGCCCCATATGGTGCACAGAATGCTTCTATCCATGAATATTGATGTATTATTCAAAGAACTGCTTTATGCTTGTTTGCAAATAGTAAAACATGTTCACTGACCTATATGTAATATATAAGATAACTAAATAAATAATAAGCACAGTTAAACTGATGTGCTTATTTTATAGACAGCATAAACACAGTGCAGACTCCTGCAAATTGCAGAGCACTAAATTTGCCAGACATTTACATTTGAGTCTAACCCTGGTGTACCGATGCCTTCCTGAATATGAACTATGCTACAGTTACTGTGTAAGAAAGTTAACTGTAAAGTTAATGCATGTAATTATTATTGCTTCTTAAACAGCATTAAATAGTTTATATCAGGATAAATGTGAAAATGGCAGCGTTGCACTTCACATGTCTGTTTTATCGTTTAGATTACTACAGACTATGGATCGGAATTTGCTCGCTGTCTGGAACCACTACTGCTGCTAAACTTGCGCCGAGCTGGCAGTGTGAGCGGAGGCTGTGTGGGTGCAGGGCACAGCAATGTAAGCATGTAAGTATACTATAACTAATATGTTTGTTTTTTATTAAAGAAAAAAATCACTAATATGCAATGTGTTTTAAGCATGTATGTATACATTGCCTTTTGTTTTCTATTGTGACCTTAATCTGTTCCCTCTATGAGTGCTGCTATTTTAAGTGATCAGTTGTCAGAAGAAATGCTCACTGAAGAGCACACTGTTTTTCCCAACTTTTAATGTTCGGGAAAAACTATAGAAAAGGTCTGGTAAAACAGCATGAAGGTAAATGTAGCTTTTAGAACATCCAAATGCATATTTTTGCATTCACAGGGTGTACATACCAGAGAGAACATGGGTTTAATTGACTGTGAAATTTATCATTTTGGGCCAAAATAGTTATATTGGAAAAATGTTCTCAACTTGTTAGTTTTTACTTTGTCTATTTGGACATATAGTAAACATTCCTGTATCACTGCCCTAAAATTCCATGTTTGCTGAATGCTTAACAGTTTAGACCAGTCTTCCCCAAACTCAGGCCCTCCAGATGTTGTTGAACTACAACTCCCATGATTCTCAGCCTATCTATTTCATTCATGGAATCATGGGAGTTGTAGTTCAGCAACATCTGGAGGGCCAGAGTTTGAGAGGAAGCCTGGTTTAGACCTCAATCACTCTGAATTCTGCATGTATGTGTTTTTGCACTGTAAATGTTTAAGGGACACTATAGTCACCAGGACAACTGACTGCAGTCCCTATGAAGTTCAGTGCCTCCATGTTCTGCAGGAAGGCAATGAACTTTCCCCATAGAAATGTTTTGGGTCAATACATCTCTATGAGGGGATGCTGATTGACGCAGAGCTGCATTTTGCAGAGCATGCAAGATAGCCTTCCAATGCTTTCCTATGGGAAACTACTAGGTTGGCTGACATCATTAAGTTTGATGATCTTAGCCAAAGAGTTGAAGCATTGACGGGGCCAGACGCGACTGGACTAAGCAGCGCTGGAAACAGGAGATTAAATCACTCTTTATTGTATGGACAGGCTAAAACCTGAGCTGTGCTGGGTATTTATAGGCTTGGTCAATGACATCATAAGAACAGTGTGACATTACTGAACATATGGGTGGCTAATGGAGCACCACTGATGTTATCCAGGCACATACAGTCAGAGGGTTACTAACCTGGTGTATTGAAATATATAATGTGTTTTAGGTATTATCGTTAAGAGATACTTTATAGAGAATAATTTCTTACATTTTAAGCAAATGTATCTTTGAAAAGGGATTGCACTTTATATTCATGGGTTTATTCACAAAAAAGCTCATAGTAGTCTTCTGAAATCCAAAAAACAGCATTTAGTCTAAAACACCCAAGCTTTGACTGAAGATATGTGTGCTTAGCACAACCAGTTAATATATAAGTTGTTGTAATAAAGATGTTAAGGGTGATTTAAATAAGTCTCTTTTTTATGTATATATCTTCTTGGGTTCATGGCTCGCCATAATATACTTGTATATCACCTAAAATTATGAATATGCAATCGGACGTTCTTTATTATAAAATATACATTTATTCTACTCACAAAGCAAACTGCAATACATACGTAAAAACTTAACATGTAGTACAGCTTATCTGATGTTACAGAACTCGATCTCGATTTGTCTAGAAAGTCAGGGGAACAACCAAAGAGTAGAGCATGGTCCTTGGTCTACTGTTCTTTTATAGACATGACGATAATGACATCAGAACTTTTTTTTTTTATTTGACAATTTTTATTGATACACAGGTTAAAACAGCTTTTGGTGTCAATAGGGCATGAATATAAGAACACATACTCTTCAACACTTCCTTTCAAGAGATACTAACAACATGGCAGTAACACATGCAACTTTTCAATTCGGACATGTTTACACATGCATGTACATTGGAGAGGTCTTTTCCCATCTTTTCTTTTCTTTCTTTTCTTGGAATCTCATTCCTCCACCCCTCTTACACTTTATAACTCCAATATAGCCTATGTAGTAGGTAGAGTATTGTAACGGATTACCTGGCACCCAGACTGGGTACCTCCGTTGATGGATGCTCCTAGCGCTTCCTGAGGGCTCCAAGCACTCCAGCCGACACCATAACCACCATAGACTCCTCCAGGGAGCAAGGCAGGAACAAGCTCTTACAAGAGCTTAGTAGTAATTTAGCAAGGGAGTATGACAAGCATAGCAATCCCTTGGAGCAGATTCCCCCAATAAGAGACAGCACTCCAAATTGAGGGTGAAGTAGAACTGAAGCTTTTAATCAAACACTCTGCTTTTATGCCCATTTTACAAACATAGTACCACCCACAGAGTTTTGAAGAACAAACCAATCAATACATTAAAACACAGCTAAACACTCCCATTCATACCAGCAGAAATCCTCCCCTCTGCCTGTGATACAATTACTGAACACAATGGGCTAACGTAATTATCACAGGCAGGAAAATACAGTTTTACACAATATTCATAACTTTAAAAGTATACATCACATTCACTTACATTTCCAGAATCAGCATACTCCAAATACAAACATATGTCAAAATCATACAAATTGGTCCAGTGGGTCAAAAATTATTTAGAAGTCCCTTTTTGACCAACTGCAAGCATGGCTTGGGTGTGGTAAGCCAATTATCTCCAGCATACAGAAAATATCTCCATTTACAACAACAGTAAAAACACATAAAAATACATAATTCCCATCACACTGAACAGAACCCCCACATTCAACCTATCCCCAGATAGCTTGGATCTGAGCGCTCACTATATGCGAGCAGCGCTCAGATACCACGAACACCGTCAAATTGCCATGGGGTTAAACCATAGCAAGGGCTAATGAGAGACAGAGGAGGGGCAAAACAGCAAGTTCCAACTGGTCTGGCAGTGTCCCTGGGACAACGCCCTGCTGGAGAACAATAGACAGGAAACGGGGGAGGGGCACACCTTCCCATGTATTCAAAGGGACAGAAAGTGTTTCAAAATCCAATAAGCCCAAATAAGTTTCTTAAAGGGCAATACATTTCAGGGGCCATAGTCACAGGGTAGGAGGCTGGTAATCAGTCTTCTCCAATGCCCAGTGGCGAGGCTGGTTTCGCCATTGTGCTGAGAGTCTTTAGGGTTGTGCATGGTAGATGTGGTGATTGACTGTGTCTATATGATGAAGGCTGGCGTCCCTTCTGTAAGTGTCTCCTGCTGGATAGCTACGGGTGGAAGGGTGTTTACTGAATATACCCATGGGTCTGTCCTCTGCTCCTGCCTGTCTTGTTGTGTGATTACGGTTACTGTGCCTTATTGTAGGTTGTTTTCTTTGTGAGACCTGCGTATTCAGTTTTCGAGTAGGCAGGCTAATTATCATCTGCCTACTGTTTTTAAAACGCATAACAAAAGATATTGAGTAAAGAACTATATACAAAGTAGGTAGGTCTCATTCTGACTCCGGTGCCCATCATGGAATGTCAGGTTTACAGGTCTGTTATAGAACCATACAAGCCATTTACCAAATCCGTGTATAGTGCAAGGGGGACCTCAAGTGTAACCACACAGCCTTTGCTGGTCAGTGAATAATGTTGCTCTAATGGATAATTCAAAGGGATTCTATAGTACCAGGAAAACAAAGCCATTTTCCTGGCACTATAGATTCATACAGTGCTCCCCTCCCTCGTGCCCCCCTCCTGCAGCGCTGAAGGAGTTAAAACCCCTTCCGTCACTTGCCTGAATCCAGCGCTGATGTCCCTCTGGGCTGGGTCTGGCTCCGCCCACGCTCCTTCCTGGCGTCAGCCGGCGGGGGAGACCTAATGTGCATGTGCAGCAACTGGCTGTGCTCGCATTAGAATTGGGAATTCCGCTGAAGTCCTCATGCATAGCGTCAGGATGCCTAGTGTCATTTAGACTACTAAGTCTTCTAAGCATCTGGAAGTCCCTCTAGTGGCTGTCTGGTCGACAGGAGTTAACCTTAGCAGGTAATTATTGCAGTTTCTCAGAAACTGCAATAATTATTACAGTAGGGTTAAGGGACATGGGACATTGCACCCAGACCACTTCAATGAGCTGATGTGGTCTTGGTGCCTTCAGTGTCCCTTTAATTCAGCCAGTAGGTAAGAAACCATTTTGGGCGTGCAAGCATGCATTCATGTAGGTGGCAGTGTTGTCGTGGATTTTGCCGTTTCCTTTTTCCTATGTTCCTCTTCACTCCACCACTTTCTAAGCATCTGTGTCTCCGTCTCTGTCCACCTCTCTTGTCCAGAGGTATTCCTCCCACTTGGGCAAAAATGTTTATTGATCCTCATTTTGTAATCTCTCTTCAAGGAAGCTTGGTGAGTTAAGTGGTCTCGGCTCAGTGGACATATTTGTTTCCAGGCTCCAGCCATTCTGGCACCATGTACCACCTATTCTGAATCTTGCACATAAGCTCTGAGACGTGCACCTGGATCTTCCTTTATGTGCTAAGATGTTCTTCCATTGCTCCTCGGTGAAGTTTTTACCTTTTGTCTGTCTGATATATCAGTGCGAATTTGTTTAGCGTTTTTTGCTAAGAGAGTTGTTTTTGGCGTATGACTGAGGACACGCATATATTTTCAAGGTGCAATGTCGACGGTGGAAGAGTATGTTCGGTCGAGTGCAATTATAGGGATTTCAGTTGGATATAGCAGAAAATTGCACTAGGGGACAAGTTATATTTAAGTTGCAGATCTGGGAATTGCAGCAGAGTTCCTTGATAGAAGTTGCGAACATGTATGCACCCTCCCCTCAGGTACGGACAGTGATCCGTGGGGTTAGTCACATGTAGGCTGTAGATTGGAGTAGCCATAGCCCAGGCTTGTGTGTAACCCAAAGAAAGGCTTTAATATATCCAGAATAGAAGAGGGGAAGAGTCTGCGCTAACTCAAAAGAGTAGCAACCCTAAAAGGGAATCCCTCACGAAACCCTTTGGAAACAAGAAGGTACAAAAAAAAGAGGAGTTAAGGGCTGCGCTTTGACTAAAATAAATAAAAGGGATAAAAACACTAAAGTTTATCCGAATAAAAAATATAAATTAAAACAGTCTCACTGGTGTGTAGTAATATAATATAAGTCCTCAAGTGTCGCTCCGTCCTTATGGTAGGTAGTCCCTAAAGGTGAACCCTAAAAGAGTCTTTTACCATTTTGAGAAAACCTTAAAGGTGAAACGCGTAAATGGTTGTAATAAGTGTATTTTAGTCAATAAAAGTTATTTTTGGTTACCCTTCATTATAGGACCAACTTTATACTTATTTTTATTGTACTATATACTCTTTTTATTTATTTTTTTAACCCCTGGCATTTTTACATAATTTTTTAAAATACTTAATTATTTTTATTCTTTTTTATATTATACTTTTAATATTACATTTTTTACTACTGAAGTGTATCCCGTCCAAAGAAATCCTGAGGTGGGGATAATTCCACCAGTGCTGTGGCAATAGAGCAGTACCTGTCTGCTCTATTTTTGTAAGTATAACTTATTTTAACTTATTACTGTGTTGTTCATACTGAGAGCACTAACTGCTGTTTTATATATCTTGTGGACATCCACTATCCAATATCGGAGAGGCGGACCTATCTCCCCAGCATAACGAATACGCACATCCGAGTAAATCCTAACCTACATCAAAGAAATCTCAAGCCGGACGGACGGACCAACCGTTTAAGTATATCCGATAGTGGGGATTAAACCACTAAGTGCCTCTTCTCCTAGAGCTGGTTAAAAGCTCCAACAAATGTGAGTGAAATACCTTTCCTTTGAATATATACCATATTTTGGACATACAATATTTCACCATTGGAAGCTTTTTTTCTCTTATTTTTGTCTTCACATATATGGACTACCTACCATAAGGACGGAGCGACACTTGAGGAGTTATATTATATTACTACACACCAGTGAGACTGTGTTTTAATTTATATTTTTTTATTCGGATAAACTTTAATTGTTTTTATCCCTTTTATTTATTTTAGTCAAAGCGCAGCCCTTAACTCCTCTTTTTTTTAATATATCCAACATAGTGTGTGGTATATCGGTTAGCTGAGATGACATCAGAACTTTTAAATAAAACTCTGGCCATATAAGGACTCGTATAAGGACTCGTGAAGACCCTCGACCCCCAATCCTCTCATTGTGCACCAACATTCTAGAACTCATGGACAGTGTGATGGTAGTTACAGACACTATGTGTGGGTTCCCAGATTCCTCTTGTGTTTTGGTCACCCTGTGCCCATTATTGGTGCAGGGTATGTTGAATGTATTGATTGTATGTGCCTTTCCTGCTCCCTCTTTTTCCTGTCCTATTGTTTCTGCAGCAGGGTATTGTCCAGGGACACTGCCAGACCAGTTTAAACTAGCTGCACTGTTCCCTCCTCAATCTCCCATCAGCCCTTGCTATTGTCTGGCCCCACCCTTCCATGTACTATAGTGTTCTATGCACCCGATTGTATGTTAATGAGGCTGTTGTGGGCATAAATGTGTTATGTGTATTAAAGTTAGTTGCTGTTTTAACCTTAACAAGTGTCCTCTGGTGTTTGGGGAAAGGGATATAATCTTCTGATGGAAAATGTGTCCTGGGCTATTATCACAGTAGCCTTGTCCAGGGTGGAAAAGCCCATCAGTGATCACAGTCAAGCCTTGGGGACTGGGTCTGAAGTGTTCCAGGGCCCTTGATAGCTACAAGGAAGCAGGCTTTGCAGAGATACTTGGTCAGAGTACTGGAGCTCAGTCATAGACAGCATAGCAAATGACCATCTGCTCCTTTTAACCCATTTATATGAATAGAAATAGGAACATAGAATATGTAATATTTTACAGCAGTTAAGGTTCAGTTTAGTTGTAAAAAAACCAAAGGAACAGACTTGGAAAAAGACTTTGAGAGTCTAGCAGATGTATAACCTGAAACAGTGGCGTACACACAAACCATGGGGCCCTGGTGCCAAAATGATCCGTGGCCCCCCCCTCCCTATTCCCCCCCGATAGACATACATAGAGACAGACACATACATACAAACAGACAGGCACACATAAATACATACAGACAGACACACACAGACACTTACATACAGACCGACACACAGACAGGCACACATACAGACAGACAGGTACACATACAACTAACACAAACACAAGACATACAAAGACACATACATAAAAAACAGACAGGCACACAGGCAGACACATACTGACAGACACACACAAGACGCACATACATACAAACAGACAAGCGCACACACATACAGGCAGACAGACACACACACACATACATACACAGACAGGCACACACAGACATACAAACAGGCAGACACACAGACAGACACACATAAATACAGACACACACACACAAAATGTTTGTCACCCTCCTGTTTCCTACGTTTTAGGTGCAGGAGGGTGACTTTCCCTCGGGTCCAGTGGTGGCTCAGGTGGATGGGAGTCAGAGTTCCCACTCTGACTCCCTCTGCGTCCTCTTGCACGGCTCTCAGTGTTAGCTGGGAGGAGTGACGTGCGGTCACTTCCTCCCAGCTTGTGATGTCATCACAGGGGGCCCGGTCGCTCTGTTAAAGCTGACCAGGCCCCCTGACAATCCACATCCATCGGGTGGCCCTGACAGCATGGGCCACCCGATGGACCCCTTGGACGGCGGCCCCGGTGGTTTGCCGCGTGGGCCGGGGCAGCAGAAGATGATGGCGACGGATACCCGGTCACAGGGGTCCACAGGGCGGCCGCGCCGCTGTATGTACGTCGCTGACCTGAAAAAGTGAGGCAGGTAGACACAAAGCATTATTACCAATTGCCCGAATTAGCTGGGACAATCCCATGTTTTTGGCTTGTTTACCAGCAAAAACTTTCACAAGGATTGTGGTGCAGCCAGTGTAGCTGCCTCTGGGTTGCACAGGTAGGTAACTGGAACCATGTAATTTCTTTGACCTGTCCCACATTCCATAGGTGGTACTACTGCTATCAGGGGATAGTGGGGTTTCCATGAGTTTTGGGGGTACTTTCAGGATACTGTGTAAAAGTATATTTTTCCTGTGCTTGGAGATAATTGGGTTATGTGAGTACAATGCCTTATTTAATTATCTCCGAAGCACAGAGGAGGGATTACATTGTTTGTGTATGGGAGTGTCCTGGATCTGAGAGCCAATGCTCTGTATTGTCTGTACTGTAGTCTACTTTCAGGTCCAGAGGGGAGTGCCCCTTGCATGGGGATTGCCATAAAAGGCCTTATGTGGCTCCATAAAACTCTGTCATCTCACAGCATAGTCTCATGTTTGTGGGAGAAAGCTATACCAGTTCTCTCTCTCTCTCTTCTGCTCGGAGTGCTTAATTACTAGCTCTTTTTAAGAGCTGTTCCTGCTGTGCTCTACAGCATCCCTCCCACTAGGGGGAAAAGAACATCTGTGGAGGCAAAACCCTTCTCGTCAAGGAGGCCGCCACAATATGTATATATTTTACATTTTAGTAAAACTATCCGACAGAGTACTTGCCTATAACTCCATTATGGTTTTGAAGGTAATTCTGGTTACTTTTTAAATTGTAATATGAGTGACATTGTGTCTAGAACAATAGGAAGCTTGATTGGCAAGTTTTTAATCAATGCATTGTATGATGATACCAAACATTCCCTGCTGTCTTCATGCTGTGCTTTTAAGATTTCTTTCTAATTGCCCTTGACTCTGGGGCTTCTGACGCTTGTTCATATCACAAGAGATGAAAACAGCTGCACTGATTAATTGCAAACAGGAGACCTGGTTATGACAAGGTTGAGCGCTGTTTGATCTAACAGTTCGCAGAAAGCTTGGTTTACTGTACAACGCCAGATTAACTGAGGGAGCTTTGCGGCAAAACAACCACACAGGCACTAAAATTATATGTCTATTCTCTCATACAGACAGACAGACAGACACACATACATACAGACACACACACACAAAATGTTTAAGTCACTCCCTCTGTGTCCACTCGCGTGGCTCTCAATGTTAGCTGGAAGGAGTGACGTGTGGTCACTTCCTCCCAGCTTGTGATGTGATCACAGGGGGCCCGGTTGCTCTGTTAAAGCGCCCAGCGCTGACCGGGCCCCCTGACAATCCACATCCATTTGGTGGCCCTGACAGCATGGGCCACCCGATGGACCCCTTGGACGGCGGCCCTGGCGGTTAGCCGCGTGGGCAGGGGCAGCAGAAGATGATGGCAACGGATATCTGGTCACAGGGGTCCACAGGGCGGCTGGGCCCCCTGGAGTGGGGGGCCCAGTCGCAGCTTCGACCCCTGCGACCGCGGTATGTACGTCGCTGACCTGAAAGAGTGAGGCAGGTAGATACAAAGCATAATTACCAATTGCCCGAAGTAGCTGGGACAATCCCATGTTTTTGGCTTGTTTACCAGCAAAAACTTTTACAAGGATTGTGGTGCAGCCAGTGTAGCTGCCTCTGGATTGCACAGGTAGGTAACTGGAACCATGTAATTTCTTTGACCTGTCCCACATTCCGTAGCCAGTGTAGACCTTCCAGGGACCACAGGAAGGTGGCTAGAAACACGCTTTCCTTGTTTATTTCTGTTACCGTACTAAATCACCACGGTCTAAGCAAGACGACGGCACTTCTCTACCTCTCCAACACACCATGGAAACAGTCTGTAGATGATGTGTGATGGATCACCCTGTCCCTGGACTGAAAACCCCTTTATTTCATTCCCCTATGAGTTCGGGACACTGCCTTCTCTTTCGTTTATTCTGTATTTTTATTCCCTACCAAACAAACTACTGAACGACCAGACCACCCGTGTGTAGAGTGTGCCCCTCATTAGCTTATATCACCTCTGTAACATCTCGAAAACCACAGGCATTCTAAGCAGTCTGCTGGGTGGTCGGCGTTCACTATACGAACATGTGGCGGCGGCCATCTTTAGCTGCGAATACATACAGCAGTGTTTGGTCGTCGAGTGCATGAAACTATAACAGCGCTGGGACTTCCATACGTTTGTCTAGAGTCGTATAAAAAGACCGGCGTTCGCTAGGAATAAGCTCCCGAACCAGATACATCAACCAAGTATCCATACGAGTGATTACGTTCGGTATTTTGACTATTTCATGTATTCCCGAACTAGATCGACCGCACAGCCTGATTTCATGGAACTCTTTTGGGCAGGAGCCTCGTGTGTGGTTGGTCAAAATGTGACTTCCATGGAAATCCCAAACCCCTCAACCAATCTGGGTGATCTTTGGATATGTTGATCCCCCAGATCTGGGCTATCAGGGGATAGTGGGGTTTCCATGAGTTTTGGGGGTACTTTCAGGATACTGTGTAAAAGTATATTTTTCCTGTGCTTGGAGATAATTGGGTTATGTGAGTACAATGCCTTATTCAATTATCTCCCAAGCACAGAGGAGGGATTACATTGTTCGTGTATGGGAGTGTCCTGGACCTGAGAGCCAATGCAATTATATAATTGTCTGTACTGTAGTCTACTTTCAGGTCCAGAGGGGAGTGCCCCTTGCATGGGGATTGCCATAAAAGGCCGTATGTGGCTCCATAAAACTGTCATCTCACAGCATAGTCTCATGTTTGTGGGAGAAAGCTATACCAGTTCTCTCTCTCTCTCTTCTGCTTGGAGTGCTTAATCACTAGCTCTTTTAAGAGCTGTTCCTGCTCTGCTCTACAGCATCCCTCCCACTAGGGGGAAAAGAACACCTGTGGAGGCAAAACCTTTCTTCTCATCAGGGAGGCCGCCACAATAATGTATATATTTTACATTTTAGTAAAACTATCCGACAGAGTACTTGCCTATAACTCCCTTATGGTTTGAAGGTAATTCTGGTTACTTTTTACATTGTAATATGAGTGACATTGTGTCTAGAACAATAGGAAGCTTGATTGGCAAGTTATTAATCCATGCATTGTATGATCATACCAAACATTCCCTGCTGTCTTCATGCTGTGCTTTTAAGATTTCTTTCTAATTGCCCTTGACTCTGGGGCTTCTGACGCTTGTTCATATCACAAGGAATGAAAACCGCTGCACTGATTAATTGCAAACAGGAGACCTGGTTATGACAAGGTTGAGCGCCGTTTGATCTGACAGTTCGCAGAAAGCTTGGTTTACTGTACAACGCCAGATTAACTGAGGGAGCTTTGCGTCAAAACAACCACACAGGCACTAAAATTATATGTCTATTCTCTCTTGGAAGGCAACTATAAAATACAATATTAAAATGTCCTTGCATACACAACTCTTGTCTGAAAGGATCTTGCTGTTGTGTAAACCAGTTGCATAAAAATATCCTGGATAAAGGGGAATTATCACTTCCAATGAATATTTTTTTTTTTTTTTTTTAAAGAAAGCCTGATATAAAAGTAAAAATACAAATATACATTACATGCACATCATTTATTTGCACATAATATTGAATAACAATAATCCATCTCACATTAAAGACTTAAACTAAATAGTATGAAACCCAAACAGCTGCAAGAGTAAAATATTATGTTCACTTATCCTCTCTATATAACAAATATGTGTTTCTGAGGCCTGAAAAATAAAATGAAATGTAGAAATCCACATTACTATATTTGCAGGGCATTCAGAAAGTATTCGGAACCTTTTTTTTTTTTTATGTTGTAGCCGTATGATACAATTCTTTCATTTCTTTTTTACGTGTGACGTGGGGGCAGTTGTAGAAAGCAAAACACCGACAGGAACGATTTTAAATGTATAAAGGGGGATTTAAATAGAGGAACAGAGCTTTTTATAATTGATTTTTTGTTAATTGTTTGTTGAGCTGTAGGATGAAATGCCAAAGAAGAGTGGTGGACATTTCTGGCTGACTTTTAACTCTTTGAATGCACTATTGTGTTTATGGTAATGTAAGTTAGCAAATCTTTGTCAAAATTCTCTGAACTACAAAGTAAATATTGCCTCCTCTTTTATTGGTCTGGTTACTGACTTACTGGTCACTGGAGGGTCAGAGTCTATCCATCCCTGCAAAGTACTTGGCATTTCATTGAGCGCTCTTTTTACTGCTTCATTGTGAGTGGCCAATTATCATTTACATTCATCGTGTCGCACAGTTTTACACTATGTTTGTATTTCTTGCTTTTTATTTTTGTTCCCCCTCCCTTTCCCTTTCTCCCCCCATATGAGATATATATTGTGCTGCAGTTAAAAATTGGGTATAGAGAGTTGAACAGTGTTTTGTGAAGCATTTTGTTTTCCCTTGCCCTTTATTTTCTATTTTTGATGTGGTGCTAAATTTCTAGATTAGGAACATGTTCTGCAGTGCTTTACAATGTAAACCAAACATACAAGTAACTGCAACATGACCAGTTTAACATGGAGGATTAAGAAATTATAGGGAACCAACATAGTTTGAAGCTGATATAGATGCTGTGTCATATACGTTTACAACTATCTGATCTCTGTCTAGATTCAAAATCTCTCCTCTACAATTACTATTAATGCTAAGGATTATTTTATTCCTATCATTTAACTTTGCTGCTCCAGGCTAAATACCCAATCATTCTTATTTAGAAACAGTAGACCCTCTTTCTAAACCAAACCTCTGTCCCTGGAAGCTCTATGATCTGGTGTGAGTGTATCCCAGGTGTAACAGCAGTAATACGGACTGTACTACTGTGCATTTAATTATGTATATTTTAAAGGCAAGTAATGAGTTTAGAAATCTGTGTGGAATGTGTGTGAATACAATTATTTCTGCACATTCTCAATGACCTATCATATTACATGAAGGCTTACAGAACATCCCAAAAAGTTGCCATTCAAGGCCACTACCAGCCATATTTACTAAAATGCTAGTGTTTCTATTTTGTCCATTAAGACTCTCACAGGGTTATTCACAAAAGTGAGAATACAATGTAAATTTCAAGTTTAGGTTTAAAATAGCTAACTAAACTAATTCTCTAAGTCAGTTATGCTGTTAGATGAGCTACTTTGACCTTAAATTTGAAATTTACGTTGCCTTCTCATTTTAGTGAATAACGATAGTTATTCTCTATTTCTCACTTTAATTGTTCTGTCTTTTTTTTTTTTTAACTCTCCTTCATCTCTTTTCATATTTGGTAATGGATTGTTTACTTGTTGCTCCACTTAGATTTAGTCATTTCCGTGCTGTTGTAGTCCTTTCTTAGTCCTACATGTTTGGCCCAGTCCTCTTACTGTAAAATTATTTTCTCTTGTGTGAACTGAATATTTGAAACCTGTTATATGAAATAGGAACAAAAATCACGACAGACAGTCCAGACAATCCTTATTTAGTCTATGAGTATTAAAATACATTTTCAGTTTAATCAAGGAAAGATAAAATAAAAATTAACGTTTACCATCAGCCTTTCTTACCATTTATAATGTATTAATGATCTAGGTTTCCTTATCTACATTGTGCAAAGTACATTTTCACGTGCAGAAAGTCATATGGCCCTTTATGTTTTCACCTGGGTGATTAGTAGTGCTAACGGGTTAGACACAGGCTTGCAAACACGTGGCCTGTCTGCCACTATTTATATCAGAATTTCATGGAACTTTAAGTGCTCATTTGACTAGCACCATCTATATATATATATATATATATAGATTTAGGCCAACTGATGTCACAAACCGCACAAGCATCTTAGATCCAGAGGTAGAAAAATCGACACCTGTGACCAACAGAGGAAAACTTTCCAAACTGAATTTAAATTTAAGAGAAAATACATCTTGCTATGGAAAAAAAGAAAATAACTTTTCCTGCAGGTAACTGATGGAATATCACAAATTCTATGTTTTAGCATGGCTAAACATGTATGTGATTGTATGTGATAGAAGCTTGGGTGGTTTGGTCTGTTTGCCTATGAGGCTAAAATAGTGATTTATAAATAATATCAACTGGACTGTGTATTTCAGAATTCTGGAGATTGTTCTATTTGTCTCTTTGAGCATTGTACAGTAAAGGTGAAGACTGAAAGAGCTAATTGATCATTCTTCTTCGGTACATATTGTGAGACCAAATGGACCCCTCTGTCAGTGCACAGGCTGAGAAAGCTGGCAGACCCTAGCACTGTGTCTGTTGAGCAAAATAGTGAAGTCTAGGTCATTGTGCTAATCAAGAAGAACATTTTAGTGCCGTACAGGTTAAGAAAACAAACCGACGCTTTTGACATTGTACAGGGTGAAAGAGCTAATGGTTGCTTTTAACAGTGGTTGAAAAAAATTAATGTTGGTGCACTTGTTAATGTCATAGTCTGGTGATTGTTAAAAGATATTAGACTGTTATGAATTGTGTTTAATTGAGCAATTAAAAACAAAATGGCTACGCAGGTAAAAAAAAAAAATCTCTGACTTGGTTATGTTCAAAACTCTATTTTAATTTAAATGTTGCAATTATTTTCAATGCACTTAGTGAATAAATAAAACTGCTTAATTTTGCATGATGCTCAACAAGTCTGTTGGATTAGGCACTGTAGGAAGCACGATGGCAATAATTTTTGTGCTGTCTTGCATAAAGGTGAAGGGTAGTAAGCTGCAAAATATGTCTGTTAAAATGAAACTATGAAATAACAAACTGACCTATTATGTTTTGGTACAGCTTTTTATTTTTTATTTTAAAAAATGTATGATCTCAGTGTCTAGGTAGTCACCAAGGGAGGGATGTCAACTTTTACGCTGGAGGGCATATACAAACAAAAATCCCAGATCTGTGTGTGGATGTAACGCATGTGATATATGGGTTTGACATATGGATGCTGTGAAGTTGCCATGATAGTCTAATATCTCCTCGTGAGACTAACATACACTGCATGTTTGAGCATTTGAAGGTCTATTTAAACTCATGTGTCATCTTGCTGTGTAGTCCCTTGTAAACACCTATGGGGACATCAGATACAGCAGTCCACCAGGAAATATCTCAGTGGGCCAGTACAGGCCTGAAGAACATTGAGATCAGGGGCCACCAACCCATGCACGAATTCACACAGTGCTGGGTTAACAAAGGCCTTGCACAAATACTTCTTGTTGTTTGCCATACCAATGTATCCTCTGTTATTTCAATGTGTAGAGCAGGGGTTCCCAATTAATTTTCCCGTGGAACCCTTTGACATAATGTACTAACAACGTGCACCCCAAATAATTTTTGCCGCTGTAGCGCAGATAGTAAACAGATACTAGTACTTAGGAGTAGATGTGCTTTTGTGTGTACAGTTGGTGTTTGTATATAATGTTAGCGTTTTGATACAAGGGTGTGTTTGTATGTAATGTTTGCATTTGCATGCAGGGGTGTGCTTGGGTGTATTGTTGGATTTTAAATGCGGATGTACAGTTGTGTGTAGTATTGGTGTTTGAGTTAAGGTAGTGCTTGAGTGTTTGTATATAAGTTTGGATTCAGGGGTGTTTTTGTATGTAATGTTTCTGTTTGCACGGGTTTGTTTGCATGTTATATTGGTGTTTGATTGCTGGGATGCAGGCACATATACTGCCACGTACACACACAAATGCATACACAGACGCATTAACACACAGAAAAACATATAAAAACATTGACACGTACATTCATATACACACTGAAATATACACGCAGACACACACAAACACTCAGATACACACAGTGATACATACACTGGCACATATAAACACACTTATACTGACATTTACACACACCTTTACACATACACACACTGGGACATACACAGATACACTCAGATGCACACCGTGACACACACACATATCTTGACACACAAATACACACTCACTAAGATACACACACTTGCACCCACAGATACACACATTGACACACTCAGATACACACCTTGAAACCCATACACACACTCAGATACACACACACTCAGATACACACACACATAGGCACGTACAAAGACACTGATATTCACTGGCACATACACACACACATACAATGACAAATACACACACTGGCACATACACACGCACAATTTGACATATATCAGAGCCACCCTCCTGTTGACTTACCCTGTGTGTCCAGGAGGGTGGCTTGCTTGTGGTCCTGGTGATGTTGGCTGTGGCTGATGGGAATGAGCTGCTGCATGCTCACTCCAACCTCTCCTCTGCCATCCATGCTGCTCCCTCTCTGGGCAGCTGTTTCCAGCCTCTTCCCAGCCTCCAGCCACCTACCGTACTGCAGCAACTCTGTGAAGCTGGGAGGAAGTGATCTATTACTTCCTCCCAGCCCGCCAATACTTCAGCGATAAAATTGCGGCAGCCATGTTGTTTGGCAAAATCATGGCAGAGCCCCATTTTTGCTCAGCGGAACACCAATTGGGAAACGCTGTTTTAGAGGAATGTTGTGAGGCTGCAGCCAACAGGCCTAGTATTGTAGTGGTCTGATTCCTAAAGAAAAATGACCAATAGGTTGTTCTATATTTATTTATTTATTTATTTATTTTATTATTTATTTTAACCCTTATTTGCAACCCTTTAGCCTGCAGAAGTTTTTTTTTTTTGTTTTTGTTTTTATAAAAGGGACTCTCCTGGAACCATCAAAGGTTTTATGAATTTGATAGATTTTGGTCAAAATAAGTACCTGCATTTTTGCTCAATTTTGCATAGTAATTACAAAAAAAGTTGTAGAATATGGCATGTTAACCTTGTCTCCTGTGTCCCTTCCACCTTATCCGTTCTACAGTGCATTCTGTTTGCTGGTTACTGTAACATGCAAGTGATCTCCCTATCTGTCATTCCCAGTCTACACTGTTTATCCAATAAGTTGTTCTTGTCTAGGTTTAGAGGTTTAATAGCTTCATTCCAGAATGTTTGTTTATTATGTTTAGATTGTGATATTTCAAGGAGGATATATGTGCTTCTTTACTCTGGGAAGTGGATGTAGCAAATAGCCTAGAATGCACTTTTTTTTTTTTTAAATAACATTTATGTTGGGTATCAAACATTAATAAGGCCCAAAACATTGGCAAAGTAAGATATTATTTTTATTTTTTTATTTTTTTCAGTATTTCAAACAGCCAGTCCTCCAAGTCATTAATCATGCCAGGATGTTGTACTTCTTGTGATAAGATGTCCCTGACTGGATCCATCGTGCGGAAACCCACCTTGCACCGCTATATCAGCACCAAGGTCCTTTTGGCAGACGGAACTGACAGTCCATTCACTAGGCACTGCCGCGGCTATGAAGAGATGTATCAGGTCCTGCTGTAGCTTATAGACTTCATTAGTGTTCTAGTTAACAATACTAATGTACAAGAACTTTCACTGTTACTAATGTCCTGCATATTAATTTCCAGGCCATACAGATAGAGATTCAGAATCTAAAGGACCAGGTGCAAGAGCTTCATAGAGATCTGACCAAGCACCATTCCCTCATCAAGGCAGACAAAATGAGTGATATAATACAGAAATCACTCCAGGTTGATATACAGATAGCATCTGAATATTCATCGGTGGAAATGATGAGAAATGCATTTGAAGAGGTATGTGAGCAGCAATGATTATAAAGAGAGAGAATACATTGTTAAAGCAACACTGCAGTAACTTTAACTATATCATTGATTGAATTGTCCCCTGGTCAAATCATTTTCACACAGTAGAACACCGAGTGAGGGTCCCTGCCCAGTCCCTACTGGAAGTGTGGCTAAAGCAAACCCTTTTCTTTAGCTATACCAATGCATACTAGCAATGGGTTGCTGTGATATGCTGAAAGTGGACAGCTGACACTCTCAGCTAATTACAGCCACCCATTGCTGCTAAGGCTAGTGAATCCCCATTGGTCCAAGCAACACATACAGGTTTAGCATTAAACCATTAAAAACAGTTTTAGCACTGAGTGGAAGGATGGTGACGTGGACTCCAGACTCTATAATGGGGGTAGGCAACTATAATGGGGGTACCAACTTCATCTACCATAATGGTCTTACAGCCAAAATGCTGGCAAAGCATCAGGGGAAATGTAGTCTCTCCTCTGTATCTTAGTGTTCCTTTCTGATCCATCTTCATCTACCAGGAACCTGAACAGCTGTAATTCACAAATTTGTGAGAGTACAGAACAATGGAGTTTGGAAGACCTCACATGATCATTCAGAGATCTTTTTCATATTGATAAGATACCATAAGCATCAGAAATAGTTCACAATTTTTGCAAGAAGATAACCTGTTTTGAAGCAATTGACATCTGATGGGAGATGCCAGGAAGCGGCAGCAGAAACTCTGCCCATTTGCCAAATTTATCTAAAGTGCTGCTTTAAGTCTCTTCCTGTGAAGAAATCCATCTATGAAACAATAGTTTTGGCAGCCAGCCATCCTCCTATTTACTTTTACATAGACTGTTATATGCAGTATAAACAAAACAAACTACAAGGTCCTGCCTAATAATTATTACAATTATACTGGTTAACCCTGGTAACTCAAGCACACTCGATGTGCTATATTTCAGCTACAAGTTATAGATTTTTGTACTTGTGTATTTTACGTTTTTAAGATGACTGGAACTATAGGATCCATGGGAAACTTGAATAATTGAAAGCCTTCTCAAAGGATCTCATTGTGACACATCTTCCAAATCTAGCTGCACTGTTGGGGCCTCTTTGAATTTAATATAAATTCAGCACTCTTTTTTTCAAACTGAAACATTTTTATTGAGTTTTTTTATGCAAAAAAGAACAATGCACATTGTTCATTATATAAATGCAATGACATTATATAAATAGTTTACACAAATGTTATGGTAATTTGTAGCAGTTAAAGCAAGTGAAAATAAAAGAAATGAAGGAAACTGAAATGACAGCTTGTAGTGGGTAACTTAACAATACAGAGAAGAAGATGAGAATAATGAGCTGATGGTGCACACAACTGATTTTAACCCCCAAACTAAGCAGGTGCTGAGCTCTGCTTCAGCTGGACATCTAACAGGGAGTAAATATGATACTATAACAAAAAAACACAATGGTGCCTTTTTATGGAGCTCAAAACTACATTCAACTCACTTAGGACATTGAATATGATTAGATGTGTAACGAGCAAGTTCCTTCTCAGCCATTTATAAAATACAATCCCCACGAATCTCTGTGAGCTAAGGGAATGGGGATTATAGAAGTAGCTGTAGCATTGTTGCAGTTGCCAAGACTCCGATGGGTTATAGTAAGTATCTTCCTTTCCTCCTGTGGTGTGAATTTAAACATAAGTTTACATCCTTGGTATTGATCGGCTTATTTGTTTCTTTATTATCCTTTCAGATTTGGGAAGAGACATATCAGAGAGTTGCAAATGAACAGGAGATTTATGAAGGTACGGTGATGGATCATTTGGTGCTCTTATGGTAGTTTGGTAATATACTTAAATTATAATCTTATGAAAGGTGAAAAACAGGATAGCTCCAGTCTCTGTCTGTATCAGTTGTCGGTACTTTTAATTTTTGAATTTAATTAATCATGCATTTATTGTGATATAAATAAGTTCCAGCTGTTCCTCAAATTGTTTGTTTTGATAATAATGCTAATTATTAGATGGACACTCCACTGCCCAAATACAAAATAAAGAATCACTGTTTAGTATACATGCATTTTTTCATTGGTGATGTGTGTGTGTATACAGTTTCTCACAAAAGTGAATACACCCGTCACATTTCTGCAAATATTTTATATCTTTTCATGTGACAACACTGAAGAAATGACATTCTGCTACAATGTAAATTAGTAAGTGTACAGCCTGTATAACAGTGAGAATTTGCTGTCCCCTCAAAATAACTCAACACACAGCCATTAATGTCTAAACCGTTGGCAACAAAAGTGAGTACACCCCTAAGTGGAAATGTCCAAATTGGTGTAAATATTTTGTGTGGCCACCATTATTTTCCAGCACTGCCTTAATCCTCATGGGCATGGAGTTAACCAGGGCTTCGCAGGTTGCCACTGGGGTCCTCTTCCACTCCTCCATGACGACATCACGGAGCTGGTGGATGTTAGAGACCTTGCGCTCCCCCACCTTCTGTTTGAGGATGCCCCACAGGTCCTCAATAGGGTTTAGGTCTGGAGACATGCTTAGCCAGTCTATCACCTTTACCTTCAGCTTCTTTAGCAAGGCAGTGGTCGTCTTGGAAGTGTGTTTGGGGTCGTTATGTTGGAATACTGCCCTGTGGCCCAGTCTCCAAAAGGAAGGGGATCATGCTCTGCTTCAGTATGTTACAGTACATGTTGGCATTCATGGTTCCTTCAATGAACTGTAGCTCCACAGTGCTGGCAGCACTCATGCAGGCCCAGACCATGACACTCCCACCACCATGCATGACTGTAGGCAAGACACACTTGTCTTTGTACTCCTCACCTGGTTGCCGCCACACACGCTTGACACCATCTGAACCAAATAAGTTTATCTTGGTCTCATCGGACCACAGGACTAGTTCCAGTAATCAATGTCCTTACTCTGCTTGTCTTCAGCAAACTGTTGAAAGCCTCTTCTAAATATGATGCACAAGAAAGCCCTCATTCTGGGACGACAGCAATGCAGACTAATTTGATGCAGTGTGCGGCGTATGGTCTGAGCACTGATAGCTGACCCTCCACCCCTTCAACCTCTGCAGCTATGCTGGCAGCACTCATACATCTATTTCCCAAAGTCAACCTCTGGATATGATGCTGAGCACGTGCGCTCAACTTCTTTGGTTGATCATGGCGAGGCCTGTTCTGAGTGGAACCTGCCCTGTGAAACCCCTGTATGGTCTTGCCCACCGTGCTGCAGCTCAGTTTCAGGGTCTTGGCAGTCTTCTTAAAGCCTAGGCCATCTTTATGTAGAGCAACAATTCTTTTTTTTTTTTTAGATCCTCAGAGAGTTCTTTGCCATCAGGTGCCATGTTGATCTTCCAGTGACCAGTATGAGAGCGATAACACCAAATTTAACACACCTGAGTCCTTGTAACACTAATGAGTCACATGACACCAGGGAGGGAAAATGGCTAATTGGGCCCGATTTGGACATTTCCCCTTAGAGGTGTACTCACTTTGGTTGCCAACAATTTAGACATTAATGGCTACGTGTTGTTATTTTGAGGGGACAGCAAATTTACACTGTTATACAGGCTGTACACTTACTAACTTACATTGTATCAGAGAGTCATTTCTTCAGTGTTGTCACATGAAAAGATATAAAATATTTACCAAAATGTGAGGGGTGTACTCACTTTTATGAGATAATGTATGTGTATATAAACAGCTTGCAAAACCTGCAGGTCCCTTGTCTGCTGCCCTCCCCTTCTAACCCCACCAAGACTTTCTGTGAGTGTCCAATCACAAACTTTTCAATGTTGCTCAAAGACAAGTCTTTACAAGGCAGATGCTTTTAGTAACTGTCTACCTATTGAGTTTAGTTCCACTGAGCTAAACCAGGAACAGGACCAGCTGTCTACTTAAAAAGCCAGGTTGGTGTATTCTATTTTAATCAGCACATTTTGTAAAATGAAAAAAGACACACTCTTACACATTTACACATAAAACATTTCAGTAAGCTAAAGTGTTTTAGGGGTCTGGTGTGTGCCAAATAAATATATATTACATACATACATACATAGATATATAAACACCAACAAAATCGAACTATAAAAGTAAATACATAAAACAAAGTAACAGTTTTCAATGAAGGGAATTAATCTCTACAACTGTGCAATGTGAGATTACAAAAGACTCCCTTGCGATCCAGATAGTAGACTATAAAAACAAAAAGACAATGGAAAAAATACAATTTCTCCAACCGCCCTATGTAGTCTGAGCAAATACTATGAGTTTAGAATAACAGATTTTGGGCTAGATTCCAAACGAGTTGCTAAATATCCGCTGTAAGCTGTCATAATTAACAATAGCTGGTAATTATTGGCAGCCTCACATTACCGTCAAGTCTCCACCTTGTTGCCACTTAGTAGTGACCTATCGTTTGTAATGTCAACCCCAACTGATTGTGATTGCCACATAGCGGCTATTGTTACATGTGGCAAATTGGGCAAAGTTAGCTCTTTTAGTGCTGCAGTGGAGAGACATTTAGTATGCTGGTATCCTTTGTGGCCCTGAAATTCACTGAAAAATAAAACAAAATGAAATGTTTGGGGCCTCCCTTGGCCCAAATATTACAGTGTAAGAGGCCCAACGCCTTTCTTTCCCCCATGTGCAGTGAGATAAAGAGTATTAAGAATTTCAGATGTATAGTCTTCTAAAACCCTATTATTCAAACTAGGAGTTGCCTTATAATCGAATATCTAATGAAAGAAATGCTGCACTTACAAATAAATTACACAGAAAATATGTACTGTTCTATGTAAAAATATTATGTTTTTATTCAATGGCAGCTCAGCTCCAGGACCTTCAGCAACTTAAACAGGAGAACACCTATTTAACCAAAATTGCTAAACAGATTGCGCCTTATGTACGATCCATTGCAAAGGTCAAGGAACGTCTGGAACCCAGGTATGAAAGTATAAGAATGTAACAATAGAATTGTTTCCGTAATTCCATTACAGTGCCCATGTGTCCAAGATTAGTCAGCATTGTCCTATAATTGTAACAAGTGAACCAGTCAACCCCTAGCTAGGATATTGGTGGAAATTAATCATGGGTGATGCAACCTTGTTAAACTAACCTCACCTACCTCAATACAGGTCACTTACATGCAGTCTTATCTGTTTTGTGAAATATTTTACGATATAGATTTGTAATTGTGGTTGAATTCAACCAGCAGGAAAGTTTTTGAGCAGTTGCTCTTAGTTACACATAATGCTCATAACTATGCTTGTATGCCATCTACTGTGATTTAATGGAAAACAAATAAATAAATTAAAAATAAAATAGAAGAGAAATGTCTCTGCATACTAGAAAGGAAATGTTGCTACCAGGGAATATTTATCCTAAAAAGAACTTCAAATTTTACAAGGGTTGGTTTTATTTATTGGTTACGGTTTTAACAGAGAAAGGTTAATATTGCCAATTTTGTGTCAGACGTGTGTTCTTGAACTGTTAAAAGGAGAATGGCGAGCACCATAACCACTACAGCACCATGTAGTCAAACCATTTGATGATTTGATTTGTTTCCTGGGGTACACTGGGTGCCCTTCCCTACCTCTCTGCAACTGGAAGTGAAAGCAGAAAGCTCTGAGACGGTTAGCTATCCAGCTCATTTACTGAGAGCGTTGGATGATAGCTTTCACCCAATGAGCAAAGCCTTGCTCTGTTGGGCTTAGCTCAGTGAAGAGAGCATCTGGCTGCAGGGCCTGGCACCCGTCAGACCACAGGAAGAAAAAAAATTAAGCCGTAAACATTATGACTAATTACATTGGGGTAAGTTGAGCACTGTAGTTATGGCGCTTGGAGTTTTCCTTTAAAGGGATCCTCTTAGCACCAAAATAACTTTGGCTTAATTAAGCAATTTTGGTGCATAGACAAGCACCTGCATTCGCACTGTTTAGATCCTTTTTTTTAGGCATCCTTGGCACTAGGCAACCTTTGCTGGCTTTGACTTTAATAGCCTCCATGGAAAAGAAAAGGTTTGACTTTCAACCAGATGTTACAGCACAGTGTGTTTACTTTGGAAGTGAAAGGTGCAGGCAAACAGTATAATCTCACCTTTAACTACAATTTCACTTAGGTCACTGCAGGTACTTGTAAACATAAACTGACTGGTTTGGTGCAGAGAAATTTCAGATTGTTTGCCACAATATAGATAGCAGACAAGAATGTGAAGTGCCAGCACCCATCTCTAAAGATTCTAATGCATGTGAATTAGAATCCCATTAGCAATGCAATTGTGTTTAAAAGCCACCAGTGTAAATAAGAGATCAGATAATTGTTTTTGGTTGTGGTTTTAAATATGTAATGTGCATTAAAGGATTACTCCACAAAAAAAAGGGTTTTTTGTTAGTGTAACCCTTACAGACCTGGATCTTCTACTTCCTTAACCCCCTCCTAGGGAGCATGGACTTGGGGTGGGAGATTGCTGCCATTTGTTGCCTGCCCCCAGCATATTGTGTGAACTGATGACAACCGCCCAGTATGCACAGAACTGACATTAGCTAGCAATGGCTGGTTAATGTGCCACCGGAGGCGGAGTTATACCTCTGTTGGCAAAAGGCTAGATCTAAGTTATCTGCAGCATTTCATAGTGAAAAGCTGCATATACAGGCTGCAAGCATCATGTCTACTTCAAATCACTGGAGTGGCCATAGTGCTTGGATTTCCATTTACGTGATGGTTCCCAAATTAGCACCATAGAAATTAATCAGTGATGTTGGATTAATTATCTAACCCTATGTTGTATAAATAACTAGATTAAAAGAAACAAAGGACCCAAAAGAAGACTTTTCAGAAAAAATATTTGAAGACTCTTCATTGGCTACGGAGATACAGAGCAGGTACCTATCCAATTTAACATTCTATTATTTTTAGGAACAAAGTATAAGCCTATAATTTTAACAGAGAAATCAAATCCTGTCTTCTATTCAAAGGTGTAGATAGGAGGTGTTGTGGCTCTCATTACAGTAGCATTTGTATATTTTTCAAACAGATGGGAGATCTGCCTAAAATACATATTTCTAATGCTGACACCTGGATAACCCTGTTAGTGGAGAAACATATCTCTTTCCAGTTCCCTCTCAAGTGTGTTGTATTATTGTCAAAATGTTATATTCTGTATAGTATTGAATAGATCCACACCATAATAGGCATTATGTAAGAAGATCTGGGCTGACAGTGCATTCCACTAGATGCAGGCTTCCCCAAACTACAGCCATTTAGATGTTGCTGAACTACAACTCCCATGATTGAAATAGATAGGTTGAGAATCATGGGAGTTGTAGTTCAGCAACATCTTGAGGGCCGGAGTTTGGCGAAGCCTGCGAGCAATGGTTTATCATTACTACAGTGAATCCTACACTAACAAAATGAGGAAAATTCACATGTACAAGCATAATGTAATGAAGATTTTTCTGTTCTAGGACTGAGTTAGCAGCTTGTTCAGAGGACAATTACGAAAAATCACCAGAAATGAAAAGTGATAACAGGACTTTAACCCTATTTAATGAAGAGTCTTTGTTGAAAAGCAAAGAATACTGCAGGTTAAAACAGAACATACCCAACCGAAAAGGCACTTAAAAGGGGTATATATTGCTTAATTTAATATGTGTATATACATTTATGAAATCAAGTAGTCTTTATTTACTTTTAATAGTCTTTTTATTTGAATTTGAGGTCTTTGAAAATATACAAAACATAAATATCAAAATCACACACGTTTTAAGTTTGATTTAAAACTTGTGTGATTTTGATATGTTAGTTTTGTTTATTCCCTCCCCCCCCCTTCCAAAAAAAGGCATGTTGCACGGTGATATCACAAACAGAATATTTAAAATGACACCTGTCACATTCTGATACACTCCACCCACCTTCAGGTGACTTAGTAAAGATGTGTGACAAACATTTTCTACAAGTGCATGTTAAGGCACAAATTATGATTTACACGGTTTATTCACAAAAATTAGAATTCAATTGTTACCAGCATGTTATAGGTACAGTTCCCAACAACTTCGTTACCTCTGCTGTTCCCCAGATTTGGCCTCTAGGTGGTCGGTGTGCAAACTTTGTGTTACTCTGCCTTGCTGGTTCGCTGCAGTCTCCAAAGTCTTTGCTGGATTTCAATTCGCTTCCATTAGTTCCAATTTGTTTTCAATTCGGCCAAACTCATTTCGCCAACATGGCTTTATCAATGGCTATAGTATTGTTTACTGATCACTCCTTTTATAAGCTAGCTCATGCATGATGCATATCGGTGTGGGGGCAGTGTTTTCATTCTATGAGCCGTCCTCTCTAGTCTTCCTGATGAGGTTAAATCATAACCAAATTCTCTAAGATTTCTAGAGAAACTTCTTTGTTGTGATCAACCTTATAAACTGAATTATTCAGGATTTTATGGGTAGGTCTGAATAAAGTTGACAAAAATAAAGGGTGATTGTTTCTCTGAATAAAGCTGGAAGAGGAAAAAAAAACCCTGTACAGGATAAGACTGTGGAAATGACACAGTTAAGTCAGCATTTAAATCTTTAAGTCTCTAATTGAAAAATCTATCTCATCTCCCCCAGCTTGTCATTGATGTCCCCTCCTCTCCAGTGCTTTCTCACTTTGCAGATTGTCATGAATCCCAGTATACTAGCTTTAACCACACAGTGCGGCGCAAATTGAGCTTGTCTATCCCTGCTCTATGTTGCATTTCCTGGGTTTAGGCCTCATATGTTCTCTGATTCCATTGGATCGTTTTCTGGTTGTTCTACCCACAGTGGCATTCAATGATGTTATATTACGTGAGCACTGCTGCACGTGATCAAATCCGTCAATTTATATGTAATGTTGTGGGCAATTAAAGGGACACTACAGGGGGTCCTCCCATTGCGACGGCTTGCATTTACGACCAGCTCTCTAGCGTGGGGATTCCCCACGTTAGAGAGCTGGTTTTTGTTCGGGATAGATTAGAGGGATTTCCTGCTCTGGTGCATAAGTCTACATTCGGGGAAATTTCCCTGAACATAAATTAGACATACGCACCAGAGCAGGGAATCCCTCTATGTTCGGGGAACTTTCCCCCGAACATAGAAAAATGCACCAGAGCAGGGAATCCATCTAATCTATGTTCGGGGATTGTTCCCCCGAACAGATTTAAGGGATTCCCTGCTCTTGTGCATTTTTCTATGTTCGCGGAAATTTCCCCGAACATAGAGGGATTCACTGCTCTGGTGCGTATGTCTAATTTATGTTCAGGGAAATTTCCCCTAACATAGACCTGCACTGGTGCGCATGCGCCTCACTTACCGACCAATTCGTTTTATGACCAGGTCTTAAGAACAGAAACCTGTCGGTAAGTAAGGAGCATCTGTATAGTCACCATAACAACTACAGCTCATTGCATTTGTTCTGGTGAGTAGAATCAGTTCCTTCAAGCTTTTTGCAGTCAAGACTGTCTTTTCAGAGAAAATTCAGTGTTTACATTCCAGCCTAGTGATAACTCTACTGGCCACTCCTCAGATGGCTGCTTCCTGGGGCAGTGCTGCACAGTGTGCAGTACTGCCAGACACTGAACATTCCTCATAGAAATGCATTGACTCAATTCATCTCTGAGGAGATGCTGATTGGCCAGGGCTGTGTTTGACTTGTGCTGGCTCTGCCCCTGATCTGCCTCCTTGACAAGCTCAGCAAATCCAATGCTTTCCTAAGGGACAATAAAGTGGACTAAAGAATGTGTTTTTTCCACAAACAGTCTCAAAGAATGTTTCTGGGCAGGTCTGGAGGAAATACAAAGTAGAATGGCAACACATTCCCTAGCCTTCTGAGATCTAAAAATCCAATTTCCTTCAAACAATATAGAAATTCACATTTTGGCAACAAAGAACTTGATTGTCTGATTTTGAGGGCTAGCGCATGATGTCAATCGGTGGAATTCAAAATTGGCATTTTTCCATTCCACCACGTTGTAAGTGAGGGTAAATCTTGGCAAAAATGCTAGAGCTTGTCCAGCCTAGCATTCCAGATGGTAGTGGAGAGGTCTCCAGCATTCATCGTACAATGCTGCAGCATCGAAGAAGCTCCATCCCACAAAAAGAGGCGGATGGAGCAACTGCCCAAGATACCACCTGCATCTCTCATGGTGGCTTCCAACTGGGAAACAGAGCTGAATGAAAAACTTTAAACAGGCATACAATGGGGACCTGAGGGTTTTACAAAGATTTAAACTCTGGTTGGGAGAAGCATTCTTAGGGTGGGTTCTGGGCTTGTCATAGTTTGATTAATTGCAGGTCTATCACTCATGAAGGTAGACAACCCTATGGTCACACTGCTGTGAAGACATATGGAAAAATCTGAATTATTTGACTGATACCATAAGAGTAATAATACAACTTCAAGCACAAATTAATCTTTCAAATAATTTTATTTAAAAATATATTCAAGTTTATTTTACAGATAACCTGTTTGTATCTCATTAATGCAGAAGTGCATCATTGTAGAATACATTAGCATTTTACACATATTTACAAGAGTTAAGCATATTCTGGATATACAAAAATCATACAGGAATTGTAAAAGGTTTTTTTAGTCTTTCATAAAGCATATTTATTACCCTGCAAGTGCAGTGATGGTACAGTATCCTATTGTGGTAATTTGGGTGATTCATTCACTTAATAGACTTGTAGAGATATTCAAAATAGTGTGGCAAAATGAAGGATTAAATAAACTGCCAACTGTACTTTGCCACTCTATTGTCACAATGTCAACTCCAAATGTAGGGACGAAAATAAATCAAACAATGTATCATACAAGTCAGGGTTTGCCTCCTGCATCTTCTCCTGTTGGCGAGCTACAACCAGAACCTTATTCTGGCTGGTGAATATCATAAGCCAACAGCTGAAATGATGCAGCTTGCCCAACCTACAGGCTAATTCATACTGTTGGAACAATAGAACACATCACAGTAAACATTTCAAATCTGCAGTTTTCTAATTCAAGTTATCAAACACCAAAACGTAAACTGCCTTAAGACTGAAGGGACTATTTATTGCCAATATTTTTACAATTACAGCAAGTTAAATATGTTCCTTTATTTTTTTAAAGCTGTAGTGCTTTAAGTTGATCTGAAATGTGTGAATAAAACCAGCTTATGTTAACCAACTAAAGTGTCGTTATATTTTCCAATACCAAAGCAACCTGATTAACAATTGTATAACATTTCTTTTGTGCCAATCAGTAAACATAAAAACTGGCATTTCATGTATTTCTCTACAGCATAACAATTTAGATTGATTGGTGCCACTTGCAAAATTTAACTCATAATCGGTTTTCAGTAAGCGCAGTGAAAGGAAGGACCCAATGCTACAGGTCCTATAATGCACCATAGTTGGCTATAACTGAATAACAGGATTCCACTACTATTGTTAAAGTGGCATTAGTCCAAATAGAGATGGGTGGCAGTAATAGACCGTGTCTCCACTGCTACCCACTGCTGGTGATCGACATGGCTATGTTAGAATTAGTCCACCTCCGCCATGGGTTTCCCTCATTCACTGACAATAGGTCTTATATGAAGTGGTTATAATGTGTAGCGTGTACCGTTAGAAGGAATATTCAAAATCCATAACCACTACAGCTTCCTGTAGTGGTTATGATGCCATGAGTCCCCTGGAGTGCTTATTTTGTAAGGAGTAGAACAGTTTTAGAATCGTTTGACTTCTCTCCTACGGTCAGTCAGGAGCTGCTCCCAACCTCTCCTAATGATGGAGAGCCGAAAGCTCTCGGTCTAAGCAAAGTCCTGCATTGTAAGTGTTTAGGAGCTTCTGGATTGCAGTCACCAGGTGGAGAGGGAAAGCACCTGGCAGACTCCAGAAAGATGTCAAACTGTTGGAAACCAGTTGGACTCCTTATAATAGGGGGCATTAGAGTTATAGTGCTAGGAGTGTACCCTTTAAAGGAAAAAGCATCCTAATATTTATAGAAATACAAATTGTGAAGTGTATAATCCGTTCTTGTGCAAGATCTCAAATACTAAATTAGGTAAATTGTGAATATTCTTTAATATTTTGACTTAACCTTTCAGGAGTATTGTATACCAAAGAATCCCACTATGAAACAAAGTGGGGCAAAGTAATGTTAAAAGTGAACCACCACATTTAAGAATTTAATAGGTTTACTGCTAGTTAAACTTAGAAATCCACATTTCTTTATTTTGCAACTGGGTGTCTCCATCTTGGCTCTCTGTCAATCATTAAGTTCTGTTCTTTGCACCAAGCAGTCAGCATCAAAAAGACAAAAGAAAAATGAAAGTGTGTTTCGGTTTCCCTTCCCCATTTGTGATGTTTTATCTGCCTGTGCCTGGAATGTACTGAATTGTGATGGCAACCAACAGAATAGGGGATTTTCAGTGTTTTATTCAATGGTGTGATTACATAACAGGACAGTTCCCCTCGAAAACCAAGTGGTAGCTTTATAAATAATATGTAAGCTTCTAATTAAACACTCCAAGCACCACAACCACTCTAGTACACTGCAGGGATGCTAGGGGTGCCAGATCTGCTAACACTTACAGAAAGCATCCCTTCACCATAGATCTCCAGATTCTATTTCTGGTAAAGAGGAACATTCAAACAGACTTTTACTTTCTAATCCACTATTTATGTACATTATCCATTAATGCATTAAAAAAAAATTCCACCCTGTACATAAGCACGGTTTGTGAATGTGCAGATCATCATAATCACAATCTGTGTGGTAAAAAAACAAAACAAAAGTAAATGCACATTCTAAGAGTAAGACAAAGGCTTGAACACCCCCTCCAGCACCCCATTTTTTGATAGAACTATGCAGAATATAGGAAAGATAATTATTCTAATAAAGTAAAATCCTTACAGCATACAGTTGCTTGCAACACTGCTAGCACAATACATAGATTTGTTATGCGTTACAATTCATATTTAAGTGGTGCGATCAATAAATATGATAAAAGCCTGTTACAGTTCATCCGTGTTTCAGGACTTGTCTGCCAGTACATTCAGAAAGTTAGCTGCAATGAATGGCAGCTAATAGATTGAGTATAGGTGTAAAAAAAAAAAAAAAATATGGAATATGCATTTGGATGAAATTTCTCTTTTCAGGTTAGTTTACAACAGCATGCTCAAAATAAATGCATTCATTTCATTTTTAAATAATAGTACCTAAAACCAAAAATCTAATATGGTCAATATGCTCATCACATGCAGGCAAAAATCAAAATGGTGATACAATGATTGTCAACAGTAGTGCGGATAAAAAACAAACAAAACATTTTAGACTGTCAGACCAATTTTGTTTCTGGGCTACCACTTAATAACTGGACTATGACTCCAACTCTTCGCAACTTACTTTTGTTTAGGTTTCCCAGGAGTTGCGATCCAACATGGATAAACTTGCACTACAGATGTTTGTAAATGGCATTTGCCATGATCTTCAACAAGCACAGAGGTGGGTTTGTGCATCAAACATTGACATGTGCTGACCCTCACTCTCCAATGCCAGTCTGAAAGATCAGGGGTATTCATTTCACAATGCATCAACTGTCATCAAATTTTAGCACCTAAAAACAAGAAGTCAACAGCCCATGGGACATTTAGATGTCCGTTATATTCTAAACAAATGCCACTGTAATAAATCAATTAGTTAATAACCTGTAGGAAATATTTCCATTGGCCAAACACCACTTGCAGTTGGGATCGTCACCACCCCCACATTTTTAAAGTTCAAATCAACAACCTAGAACAATACTTTGTAAAACTAAACAATACATGGCGTTTATTTAAAAAAAGAACCAAACATTATTTATATTTGCAATATTCAGAATTATAACACTAAACTTTAACTTTTATTTCTATCTTTGGTCTCAAACAGGTATATTCCATTCCTTGATTTGTAACAGACATTATAGCAATTTACTATGTTCAATAAAGAGTATTTCAAACAAATACTGTAGAGTACATTAGTAAAAGTAGGACACCATGCTTATCTAGTAGAGAACGTAAATAGAATAAAAATATAGCCTCCACTCTAGGCAGATCTATGTATAACTATACTTGGATGCATAATGTCCTCTGTGGCTACTCACAGCTTCCCCTGAATTTAAACCTAGAGATTCGCATTCGCCAATGGGAAAACATCAGATGTACTTTGTTTCCATAAAAGAACTGACAATTCCGCTTTGTCGATAAAGCCTACTTTTCTTTGTCCCTTCTCACTGTTAAACAGTTTTTCCATTTCATTGCCTCAGTAAATTCTACTGGAACTCTTATTGGAGGTGTATTGCGCACTAGAGGTAAGTTAAAGACACACTTCCAAGCCTGTGACATCACCAGCCTATAATTTGGGTTTCATAGGAAATACCACAAAGAGAAATTCATATGAAAGTTGTGGGACTAGTCAACGCTGTACAGTATTCTGATTGGCAAATAAATTAGCATTGGCTGAAGCTCTATAGAAGATGATAGCATCCACTTTACTTTTACATATATCTATAATTCTTTGTATGCGGACTGGATCCTTAGTATAAACTGGACTTTTGCTGAAGCATTATTGCTTCCTTTCAGCAATAAACCAGATTGCTGCAAATTAGAAAACAATTATAAATATTTATATTGCTTCGAGGAGGATTAAATGAAAATAGATATACAAACTTAGATTCTGTTTGACGTTTTACAGTAATATGATAAACTCTTAAAATAACACTTTAAGGAGTCTCTCATTTGAGAGTGATTGTAGAGTGTTGCTCAGTAAATAAAACTGCAAATTGCAGCCTCAAAAGCACTTTTTCCTTGAGACGGTAACATAACTACATTATTTACCCTGTATTGATTTGCTGTCTGATAGCAAGCTCATATTTCATACACACTAGATGAGAGCATACCGAGACATGTTTCTGAAAATACTTTGATGAACACCAGTTTTGATGTTGAAAGTAAGCGAGTCTACATGATATTTGCCTAGTTGGTAAAACTGCATTTGTGGTGATATTAAAATTTGATGTAGGGGTTGAAGCTGATACTGACCACCTCCAAACATATGCAAAACTGCAGTTGCATTTAAATGCCTCTGTGTGCTTCTTTCAGTAGTGGATAAAACACATTATTATTCTCATGCACCTATCAGTTTCCTTAGTTGTGATGTTCCTAAAATATAGCTTCTCCATTTGATGTGTGAGTATAGTAGACTCACTCGCACCATGATTACATTTTAACCCAATGCCAATACCACTCTTGCCTTTCTCTGAGCCAAAAGCTATACAACTTCCCCTACGCTCCACAGAAATGGACTTCAGCCGTCCACTAGACAGTTTGTTAAGGCTTTTGCTTTAACTCTGTTCAACAAACTTTCCAATATAGAACATCATCCACTACTGGAACCGTAAACTGAAAGACAGTCCTCCCACACTGGACATCTCAATTTGATCGCTTTAATGATCATTACAAACCTGTGATGGCAGAGTAGAAACATCTGTACAACATCTCACAAAAATGGTAGCACCAAAATAACGCAGACTTTTCATATGTATGTTTAAAACGCAGCAAATCAGGGACAGAGCACATTTGTCTATGCTGAAGTTATAACAAATATAACATTTCTGAATGCAAAATTAATTGTACCACCAGAACACACATTTTGTGAAAATTCCCCCCTCCCCCCCCCCAATACAAAAGACTTACTATTTTAAAAGGTGAATGTCCAAAAAATAGCCACGGCTGAATTTTTGGTAACTTTACTTAATTCTCTGGACCCTCCTTCAGAAAACAGACTAAGAACTGCTTTTAAAACATCTGCTCGGGGGCAACACCTTCCGTTTAATCTCTTGGATAATTTCCTGTTGGGTAATCCCCCCCCCCCCTCCTCCAATGACAGCATTTTGCTATGGCCTTCCTCTTGCCAATGAACTCTGGCTATTGCTTTATTATCTTTGCAATGAGGGAAGAGTGCAACATTTCTCTTTTGGGGAGACCTACATTATCTCGATTGCTATCTCAATTCCTGTATACATTTTATTGGCATTCTTGGATCAGAGCTCAATAAATGAAGGTTGCCATGCCAACACTAAATGGGACTTTGTGCCCAAACGTCATCTACCTGTTAGTCAGGACAGATTAACAGACAGGCTTGCTGGCATAATTATTTTCATTCCATACACCACTTGATGTTAACTGCTATTAGTACTGAGAAAGAAGAGGAGGTGGGCAGGATTCTCTGTTGTGTTAGTGGGGGCTCAGGTTGTTTCTCCTTGATGCATCAGCTGATGCAATTTCACCACTCTATCCCATACGTGCCTATGCAGCATCCTAATGGAGACCACTGGGAAGAAATATCATAATCTCCTAATGTGTTGCCTTACTAAAGCTTTTTGGGTGTAAAAGTGGGTGGTACTCTATCACACAGAGGCAGTTACTATAGTGGGTAAGAGGGATGTTGGGAGGGGACTGAAGAAACTTTCCTCGCTGAGAGGCGTGCCTAACAATGCAAAATGACCATGTTTATATGCATGTCCATTTAAGGTCTGTGTGTGATAGCATGGCCGAGTGTGTATGGATAATGACATTTTGCCTGACTCCTAACATTCAGCCCACCCCCTCCCCCCCCCCCATTTCCTTTGAGGATTATTTTGAATTACTCTCTAGTACTAACTGTACGCCAAATATACGTTTTAATCGTGCTGCCTAAAGACCTTACTAGTTTTTCAAATTTAACGCTCCAGTGTCCCTGTGATGGTACAATACAATCTAATGAATCAAGAAGCACTTATAGAAATCGACATTACAGAGGCTCAATACCCCAGGAATGCCAGTCACACGTAGGTGGACTCAGTTGGGCAAAGAGTCAGACGGAAAATGTTGCAATTTCATGCAACTTTAAATAACCAAACCAGTTTGATTTAAACTACAGCTGCTATGTTTAGCATTGTGAATGTATTTAATTTTTGTTTTTTTAAACATGCATATAAATACTATAGAAATAGATATATGCTCTACTACAATACTCTTGATGTAATTATTAAATAGAAAAAGGTCTTCTAGAAAAATGAACTAAAAGGACTCCAAATCAAGTGTCTACTGTGAGGTATCAAGATATAGTTTTACCCTCAAATTTTTACACTGAGATGTATTGGACACATGGAGTCTTCAGTGAGCCAGTATGCATGGTTGCAGATTCACAATTTTGTAGTATCTGTGCTGTTATTGTGTGGTATGCTTCTTCTTAGCCCTTAATCTGTTCAATGTAATGGACAATTAGAAGACAGCACCTGCATTTTTCCACAGTTCCCACATGAGTCGAAACGCGCTGGGTTCAATTCAAAATGTCTGAGAAAGATCCTGTGTAAAAACAAGACTCATGCTGTATTCACTCTGTTATGGCTCCACTTTCACACCTTTTATGAAAGGCAAGCCTGTTGGAACAATTTTTTTATACTCCAAATACTGTTCTCCAAAAAAGTGGATGAGAGAGTACTCTTCTTCCTCCACCCTCTCGCGAAAAAACCTCCAGGATGCAAGCGTGTAGCCAATTAAACAGACTGGGTTGCAGAGTAAAATCTAAGAAAGTCAGAAGAAAAGAGGGTGAGTGCACATTAAAAATAGAACAAAGATTGATATGAGTTTATTTACATAACGCTAAACTTCCACTACTTGGAAAAACTTCATTTCAAAACTTTCGATTTTTTTGTTTCATATATAAGAAACTGGTGGGAAAAAACCCCAAAACAATTAATATGAATCCTTTCTAGCTCACACAGGCTTGCAGTAATAGTGGGCGGTAATTACACACTACAGCAAATGATACTGAAAGGGATTACTTGCAATGCAGAACACTAAACACGAGGCTGATTGCCGTGTAGCAAAGACATGTATAAAACAGATCTATGCTGCACAATCTAGTGGCAGGGTGGCAATGATCATCCTTCAATGTCCTGAAAGCATCTGGGCATCTTCTTCCATGATTTACTGCTCTCTTATAGAAAAAAAGATCATCAAGCAGGTGCAAGGCCAAATGCCGGCTTGGCCAGTTCAGCATCTCCTCAGAGAGATGCATTGAATCAATGCATTCTTTATGGGGAAAGCTCTGCATGGAGATGCTGAACATCATTGCTGCACAGTGTGCAGCACTGACCCAGAAAGAACCTCCAGTGGCCATCTGAGTACTGGCCACTAGAGAGCAAAGTAAGCACTACAGCAAAACAAAAGTCTGCATGGACTGACTGTACTTACCAGAACAACTACAATATGCTGTAGTTGTTCTGAAGACTATAGTGTCCCTTTAAGTTTAGTTGGGCTGAATACTTTAGACTCTTCACTGCTCAGGAGGGCCTGTGATCCATCAAGTGTGCACTGCCAGGTAACAGGTGCTATCGAAGAGTGACAACGGATCTTAGTGGTTGAGAGTATCTCACTGCTACTGCAGTAAAACTATAGTCGTCACAAATAATCAAACTATTTAGTCCCTTTTAAAGGGATGCTAAAAACAACAACAGGATTTTAAAGAGAAAAAGTAAAATTCTTTATTTGTTAACATTCATAATGGAGGACACTGGGGTGATGGAGGGGAGGAGAGGAAAATGACTAGGGCACAAAGCTAAATAAATTAAGGACAAGTATAAAAGCATTTTAAACAGCTATTATTACCAAGCTTAATATAACAAGTTTGTTGCCATCTAAGATGCATTAAAGGAACACTATAGGGTCAGGAACACAAACGTGTTATCTCCCCTATAAAAAGTTTAAAACTCACCTTATTTCCAGCGCTGCGCAGGTCCGTCGGCGCTGGCTCCGCCCCCCTTTGTGACATCACCAAAATGGCAGATTGGATTTTAGCCAATCCAATGCTTTCCCTATTGGCTAAAATCGGCACGGGGCGGGGCCAAATGCCGTTTTGGATCAATGCATCTCTATGAGGAAATTTCAGCATCTCCATGCAGAGCGTGGGGACTCTGAACATCAGGGCTGCTTTTTCGGCAGCACTGACCCAGGAAGCATCTAAGGATTGACCACTGGAGGTGTCCCTAGAGGCAATGTAAACATGAAAAGGCAGTGTTTGCATGAAAAAAGCCTGAGGGGAACCATTATACTCACCAGAACAACTATATGAGGGAACAACTATTTTGCATCTGGATGTATTACACGAGCAATGCTTGTATCTCCACCTTCTTCTCATATTCCTAATAGTGTTTTTTTTCTTCTTTTGAATGACGATTAAATAAAGAAGGAAAAAAAACAAAAACACCACCACAACACATTTATTTGTAACCATACCTGTGTTCCAATGCTCCAGTAAAACCAACCGACATAAGACGGATGTCTGAACCAGGAATAGACCCCAGATGTTACTAGAGTGTGGGATTCGGATTTCTCATTCTGTACAATGTGGTTGAAATTGGAACCGGCTGTGAGCATTGCACATTTCCGCAGCAATTCCCCAATGAGCACCATTATCAATCCAATAGCACTCAGCCATGTTATCTGCTTCATACCTGCATTATCAGACAACACAGAAAGAATGAAGAGAGATCTAAATAAATAATTAGCAGTTATTTTCCTTTTAAGCAGTGGACATTATGTAACCAATTAAAGAGCAGCTACTACTGGAACAAGGGATTTAAAAAAAAAAAATATTCTCTCTTAACGTAACATTATAACAAACTTATAACCCCCTCAATGGTAAATGATTTCCTGATGCCGATCAGAATGTGATGTGCTTTAGTTTCATGTATGTAACATGCCCACTTAAATACAATGTGTCTTTGTACAGTGGAATGTCATAAGTCCGATATTAACATCATTGATTTTGGTTGCATTGCTTTCTTTTGGAATGGAGATTTAAAAAAAAAAACTGCTGACAAATGTACAATACTAAAATCTGAAAAGGAATATCCTACCACATATAGAGGCAGAGAAGTGCCCTGCGCTAGAATGCTATAACGCTATTATTACGCTAAATAAATTAAGGACAAGTATAAAAGCATTTTAAAGAGCTTTTATTACCAAGCTTAATATAACAAGTTTGTTGCCATCTAAGATGCATTAAAGGAACACTATAGGGTCAGGAACACAAACGTGTTATCTCCCCTATAAAAAGTTTAAAACTCACCTTATTTCCAGCGCTGCGCAGGTCCGTCGGCGCTGGCTCCGCCCCCCTTTGTGACATCACCAAAATGGCAGATTGGATTTTAGCCAATCCAATGCTTTCCCTATTGGCTAAAATCGGCACGGGGCGGGGCCAAATCCCTTTTAATTAAGGGAGATAAAGAGATTTACTTACCTTATACCCCCTGAAGCTCTGGCCACCCCTCCTCCACTGGCTGAGATCATGACACAAAGGAATGCATCTCTATCAGAAGTGTTCAGCATCACCATGCAGAGTGTTAAAATGCAGAACATTGGTCCTGCAATCTATGCAGAACTGCATTCAGGAAGCCCCAGTAGCGGGTGTCTGAGTGACAGCCACTGAGGGTGGTGTTGGGCAGTGATGTTAACACTATGTTTTCTCAGATACGTTTGTACCTGCAAGGACAGTTTCCTTGTCCCAGCACCATAACATTAAGCTGGAGCCTAGACACTACCTTTAACATGACATTCAGTTTAATGGAGTAGGTTTGGTGGAAATAAGCAGATTCTGTAAAACAGTGCATTATCAGAGACACAGCACTGTTTACATTTTTACAAAACCACGGCTCTTATAACTGTCTGGACTCGCTTTCTCCCTTACTTTGTAAAATTATTGGATCTCTTCATGTTTTGTGTCCTCATGCATTTCTTACAGCAGCCACATCAAACGAACACTCTAAACATGCAACAGCTCAGCTTGTGTCCTCTTTTTCCATTTTATAAAAGTTCTGATTCCAACAGAAGTATATTTTTATAAATGAACCTTGTTACACCTTCCCTGCTGTCAATTCAGTTACTTCCTGGTTGTTTAACTCTGTTACGAATGCACAGTCTATAGTTTGCGAAAGCTGTGTTGATTGCATCTTTTCCCATTATGGAGAAATCTAAGCTTGGACACATAAGAAACCCAAATTGACAGTGGGATCAAATTACCACGAAACCATAGCATCCACTTAAATTTTATCTGTCACATTTAAGTGTCTATGCATATACTGCAAAGACCTCCAATGATGACATCTCCAGTTATGGTCAGGCAGCTGAGGGATGCAGTTAAAGGTAGGTTTTATTTACCGGAAGCTGTTCCTTGCAGCTGCCTTCTTCCTCTTGGTCTAAAGATGATATATTTATGAAATACAAAGCCACTTTAAAAATGTGAAAGAATGGAGTGCTCTAGGTTCACAGTATGCTTTTATTCTGTCCATTAATATTTAATCTCTCAGCCTATCAATATTAATATTCATGCTTTGAGAGTACAAGCATTTTAATACTTTTTTTTTTAAAAAGTGAGGTTCAGGTTAGGATAATTTATGACAGACAAAGATCCTACTATAAACAGCTAAGCATATGCATTGTCATTGGCTCAGGCAAAGTCCACGTTAACTGTGAATGAGTCTTAAAAAGGCTGCTATCAGCCAGTATATGTTGTCTTATGTGTGGAGCTACTACTGGGGGCTGAACTACATATCCCACAAAAAAAAACAAAAAACTGCTCAGCACAAATTTATAGGGTAATATGACACACCAACAGATCAAACTGAGAAACTCCTGGTCTAGGGCAGATCTCATTGCTGCTGTAAAGTGTGCATTTGTAGCAGTGACTTCAAAAGGGGAGCAGATCTTATTTTGCATATTTGTAAAGTACTATCCTCATGCATTAAAAAAAAAAAAAGGTGCTGTCACTTCCCATCTAGATTCCTTTAAAATAGATACCGTATTTGATTTATTGAAAACACCTAAAGCAAATAAGACTGTTTTTGCACATACCTGGAAAGAGCATTCTCTCAATAGTAAACTCAAGCCAAGAGGAAACTGCAGCCAGTGTGTACTCAACGCTATGATTGAGCAGATAGGAGTCCAGCGACAGACTTTTTGGGTTGTTCGCAGCAGTCACCAAATATTCTGAATAATGGAAGAACGAGAGGGAGCAAACATACCTGCAAATAGAAAATACAATTTTAAATAAAAAATAAATTTTAAAAAGTGTCTAAATACACACTTAACATGAACATTGATATTAAACTGAAATATTAGAAAGAGTTAAAAGAATCATCATACAATCATGCCTTGCAACTTTTAAAGGAAGTTAATATACCCAATGACAACTGTACCCACTATAAAGATTAATTCCTTAAAGGACCACCATAGGTACCCATACCACTTCAGCTTAATGAAGTGGTCTGGGTGCCAGGTCCATCTATGATTAACCCTTTCTGCTGTAAACATAGCAGTTTAAGAGAAACTATGTTTACCTATGGGTTAATCCAGCCTGTAGTGGCTGTCTCATTGATTTTCACAGTGAGAAGACGCCAGCGTCCATAGGAAAGCATTCTTGCTGCGCATGCGCATTCAGCCGATGACATCAGAAGAGGGAGGAGAGTCCCAGGGCCGAGGGAGACCGGCGCTGGAAAAAAGGTAAGGGATTGTGACCCTGAGGGAGCACCCTCAGGGCACTATAGTGGTCCTTTAACTGCTCAAATAAAAGCTGTACTTTACCAGTACCCACTAATTACAACTTACTGCCATTGGTTTCATGGCTGGCTTTCCAATGTAAAATATTGTGTAAACATTACTTACCATCCAAAGTGTTTCCATGGGGATTGAGTGACACTTAGGAGTGCACCACATCCAAATGCAAAGCCTAGGAAGGCACCTCTGATTGCTACCTGAAAGATACAACGGTAATATTTATAGGCTGTAAAGGAAGGCACTATGCTTGCTGTCACTTTGTTTAATATCCTTTGTTTGCCATTGGTGTCTAACAAAATGCATTAGAATGCATACTACCAATTTCTGAACTATAAAAGAGATGCATACAATAAAGAGCTTACACGACTCCAATATTTAATTTTCCTTCTCAGCACTTATTTTCTATACCAATGACAGTGTGATCACCAAGTACTTTAACGGCAGAAACAGCATGCAATTTTTCCCAGGTTCAAAACAAGACACTGCAGTCATAAAGTTGCAGGAGCACTGCTTGTTTTCAGCAATGGGAATCCAAATCAGACTCTCCACTGACCTTTGGACACACAACCTCTAAAGCTGGGCTCAAAATTTTAAGTCCTACGCTGCAGGAAAAGCCCTAAAGTCAACTGCTACTGCAAGCCTAGAGTGTCCATGGCACAATCAGCAGGCCTGATATTTCACTCAAAGGCTAGTGAGAGAGTAAACACTTTAACCCCTTAAGGACACATGACGTGTGACATGTCATGATTCCCTTTTATTCCAGAAGTTTGGTCCTTAAGGGGTTAAAGCAGAGCTCAAAAATTCAAAAGGACCATTCTACATCCACAAAGCACTTTAGATTACTTAAGACAGTGCATTATGGCGGAAGAGGATCATATTCTAACACCAGTTTATAAACCCCCCTCCCCCATAGACCAGCGTCCAGAGAAAATCCAGCTCCCCCACACCTCGGATTGACATACATGCATCGGTATGCGCACGTGACCGTGCATTCACGAGTATAGAGATTATAGAAAAAGGTTCTATGACTGCGTTACACCCATACAACAGCGTAACAGCAACGTGTGTCTTAAGTGTTAACACAGTCACAAAGGTGATACACCAGTGAGACACTACAGGGGTGTCTCGGGGCTTAACCCCAAATGTAAGAAAAATAAAAAAGGAAAAGAATAAGCCAAAAATCTTCTCACATAAGTGAGGAGATGGCTCCCTGTATATATACAGTAGTATCTAAAGTAAAGTGTGATCTCTGTGGTGGAGACAAATGTAACAAAAACTTATAAGCAAAATGGCTATACACATATATTGCTTAGCCTTTTTAAGGCTATTTCTATATTAGATGAAACAGGTCTGCCACACAGTATACATGACTGGCTTAATTGTTGGTAAAAAGGTCCAGTGTATGGTAGATTGTGTATGTATATTAGTCAGATTTGAGCAAAGATCATCACAGTATTACCTATTCTGATGTAATTAGTTGGTCGTTGACTCCCCTGTCTCATGGAGCCAATTTACGACTAAGAATTGATCTAGGATATTATCATCCATCAAGTCCATCTGGTTAAGCCGATCAAATGATATAACCTCCCATGGGAGACAGGGGAGTCAATGACTGACTAAGTAGTACCCTATCCGAATAGGGAGGTTCCATCTGTACACCTGATGATGCAGGCACCTACCATTGGCTCTGCTAATTGAGACCACGTGGGATACTCCTTTATAAAGTAAACAGACTGCATTTAAAATTTTGCCTCTGACGAAGGTGCACACTTCTATGCACCGAAACGCGAGTCAGGTTATCTCTAATCTCACTTTATCTGGGCACCTTATACATATTTGGCTGTATCCAAACATTTTTAACTAGACACCGACTGAGTGATAGGCTGTTAATATAATCTCCTTTCTTCCCCCCCCCATATCCTAACTAGTCAGATTTACAGGGACTTTCTGTCATTTCATGCTAAGACTATCCATGCTTAGCATACATACTTTTTGATTTTGTACTAAGCACAGCATTGGATATACGCATATATTTTTCATTGGACTAATTTGCAAATACCATTGAAACACCACTAGAGAAACTGCTATGTTTACACTGCAGGGTCAATCCAGCCTCTAGCGCGTGTGCATGTGTTAAGGTGTGTGTATGTGTCAGTGTCTATATAAATGTGTGTTTATGTATATCTGTAAGTATGCATGTATGTATGTCCATACATCCAAGCAGTCATACACCAGCACAACATCCAAACACACTCCTGCAATCTAACACCATTACATACAAACGCCAAAGTGATATGCAAACACACCCCTTCACTCAAACACAAATATTTCACACAAATGGACATCTGCATTTAAAAGTGAACATTACATTCAAACACCACACTGCAATCAAACGCATATATTACATACAAACACACCCTTGTATTAAAACACAAACTATATACAAGCACCCCTTCAAAACGCCAACAATGTATGTTACACTATAGCGCCAGTAAATTCTGCAGCGCTGTACAGATAAACAACCTAGAAATTTTGACTTTGGTTGACTTGAAAAAATATTTAAATATGAAGGGCGCCTTAAACCTAAAAAAAGTTTGGAAACCACTGGGTTATTGTAATACATGTAATAGCTTTTGAAGATGAATTAGGTTTTTTTTTTGCCTGGGGTTCAACCCTTTAGTCTTCTATGTTTGCTAGTGTGCAAGATATAACCAATATTAGAGATTGCAATTTTCTTGGCTACAGCTCGATGCTATTGCACATATGCATACATATTCTCAGGATTTACAAATAGTAGGGGCAGGGTGACCTCTTTAATCTGAAGAAATGCCACAAATTTAAAAGTGGATGCGTCTTCACAATTTCATGTTAAAACAATGTTTTATGTAGGTCTGAAATGGCTTTCAGGGTTGATGTCACAAAGCAATTTATTTTCTGTGTGTTACAATCCCTATGAATCAGCTTTGCTCTCCACTCCCTTAAAACTGCCTGACCTGACAAAGCCTATTAATTGTAATAGCTCAAATCCCTTAACCCGCTTCCTGTGTGCTACACTGGCCACGGCATGGATTCACAAGGGTTACCAGAAAGCAGAAAAACAAACATTAATTTGAGTTGTAGATTGCTTTAAAATAGATATACATGTTCATTAAGTGAAAGGATGCGACAAATGGTTAACGAAAGGATATCCAGCTTTCCAGACGGAGAAAATATAAATGTCACAACAAAATGAAACCGACACAAAGAAATCAAACCGTGAGCATGTATTATAGAGACATAATGCAAACCTGGAATCATTATCTAAACCATGAGAGTGACGTTTAATGTGACAGTCCAAGCACCATATCTACTACAGCACTCTGTAGAGGACATGGAGCCAGGAGTCCATTTTTTTGAAGTTACGTTTCTTATTTTTAAATTAAATATTTGTATGAAAACAATTACAAAGCCTTACATAGTCCAAATCCAAGCGATTCACGTTTGGAATTTAAACCTCATAATAAACAGGAACGTTAGTTAACCAAGAGAAATAATTCATAGAATTTGCATTACTGGTCAGGTAAAATAACTGAAGCAGAACATTTTTGGAATACAGTTACACAACACGTCATATTCCTGCACATTCTTACGTAGTTGACCATTGCATAATACTTGCTGAATTTAAACATGTCGCTAGTTATAGGGACGTACTTATTTGTGAAACCAAACACATTTTGTAATAAAGAGTCAGTTGTTTTAGTATGTAAAAATGTTACCTAATGAACTCCAGTATTTCTAAACCAGTAGAATTAAAGGAACACTATAGGGTCAGGAACACAAACGTGAATTCATGACCCTATAGTGTTAAAACCACCATCTAGCACCCCCCTTTCCTCCTAAATATAGTAAAATCTTACTTTTATTCAAGTCTGCAGCTGATGCCTCTGCCCCTGACACTCATCAGAAGTGATTCTGTGAGCCAATCACAATGCTTTCACATAGGATTGGCTGAGACTGTCAAGGAGGCAGATCGGGGGCAGCGCCAGTACAAGTCAAACACAGCCCTGGCCAATCAGCATCTCCTCATAGAGATCCACTGAATCAATGCATCTCTAGCAGGGAAGGTCAGTGTCTACATGCAGAGGGTGGAGACACTGAATGGCAGCACTGCCCCAGGAAGCACCTCTAATATCCATCTGAGGAGTGGCCAGTTGAGTTATCACTAGGCTGTAATGTAAACACAGAACTTTCTCTGAAAAGTCAGCATTTATTGCAAAAAGCCTGCAGGGAATGATTCTACTCACCAGAACAAATACAATAAGCTGTAGTTGTTCTGGTGACTATAGTGTTCCTTTAAGCCAACTTTTTAAATTATAAGCTATGGGGTTCTGCTCAACTTACTGAATGTTGGTGAAAGCAGTGGGTGAGAGAGATGTGGAATGAGGGTTGGTAGAATATTTGCTGGCGGAGTCCATGCATTTTTTATTTAATTAGTCATTTGGCAGTAAGAATAGATGGCCGAATTAGAACAGGCTCTCTCTGTCTGCTCTCCTTAAAACAGCCCATGTTTTCTTCAGTATTAAACACACACACACACACACACACACAAACTACATCCTTCACAAACACAGTGCACCCCGCACCCGTGTACACAAACGCTACAACCATCGCACACATTTTACACCACCCACCCACACACACTACAGCCCCTATACTGGCAGACCCCAAGTAAGTTGTCAAACTGTTCTTAAACAGTTTGACTACTTACCCTGGAAGAGCACTAGGGCACTACTAGCACCATAACCACTACAACGTAATGATGATGTCAGGCATGCAGTCCAGAGGCATTAGCTGCAGACTTGAATAAAAGTAAGATTTTACTATATTTAGGGGGAAAGAGGGGTGCTAGATGGTGGTTTTAACACTACAGGGTCAGGAATACAGGTTTGTGTTCCTGACTTTATAGTGTTCCTTCAGTTCCACTAATTTAGAAATAATGTAGTTCATAAGGTAACTTTTACATACTAAAACAACTGACTCTTTATTACAAAATTTGTTTGGTTTCATAAGCACGTCCCAATAACTAACGGTATGTTAGCAAACCAGGGGGAGCCAGCAGAGCCCCCCCAGCAAACCAGGGGGAGCCAGCAGAGCCCGCCCCCCCCAAGCAAACCAGGGGGAGCCAGCAGAGCCCCCCCCTCACCCCCAGCAAACCAGGGGGAGCCAGCAGAGCCCCACCACCCCCAGCAAACCAGGGGAGGGGGTTTCAGCAGAGCCCCACCACCCCCTAGCAAAACCACCAGGGCACAGCAAGAGCCCCCAGTGAAACCAGGAGCCCCCTGACCAAACCACAGGGGGAGCCAGCAGAGCCCCCCACCACCCCCAGCAAAACCAGGGAGCCAGAGCCCCCAGGCAAACCACAGGGGGGGAGTCAGCAGTTCTCCCCAGCAAACCAGGGGAGCTTCTCACAGTGAGCCCCAGGCAAACCAGGGGAGCCAAGCAGAGCCCCCACCCAGAAAACCAGGGGAGCCAGCAGAGCCCTCCCAGCAAAACCAGGGTTTTAAAGCAGTGAGCCCTCCCCAGCAAACCAGGGGAGTCAGCAGAGCCCCCACCACCCCCAGCAAACCAGGGGGAGCCAGCAGAGCCTCCACCAACCCCCAGCACAAACCAGGGTTTCAGCAGAGCCCCCACCACCCCTTAGTGTCCAGGGGGGCTTCAAAGCAGGAGCCCCCTCCCACCACACCCCAGTAAAACCAGGGGAGCCCACAGAGCCCCTCCCACCACCCCCAGCAAAACCAGGGGGAGCCAAAGTATAGAGCCTCCCACCAACCCCCAGCAAACCAGGCTTCCAGCGTGTTTCCCCACCAATCCTTCAGTGCAAACCAGGAGCTCTCAAAGTAGAGCCCCCACCACCCCCAGCAAACCAGGGGAGCCAAAGCAGAGCCCCCACCAACCCTAGCAAACCAGGGGAGCCAGCAGAGCTCCCCCACCACCACCCCCAGCAAAATCAGGCTTCAGCAGAGCCCCCAGCACCACCCCTCAGCAAATCAGGGAGCCAGCAGAGCCCCCCCACCACCCCAGCAAATCAGGGGAGCCAGCAGAGTCTCCCCACCACCCCTTACAGCAAATCAGGGGAGGCCAGCAGAGCCCCCCAACCACCAAATCTCCAGGCAAACCAGGGGGAGCCAGCAGAGCCCCCCCCCAACAAACCAGGGGGAGCCAGCAGAGCCCCCCCCCAACAAACCAGGGGGAGCCAGCAGAGCCCCCCCCCAACAAACCAGGGGGAGCCAGCAGAGCCCCCCCCAACAAACCAGGGGGAGCCAGCAGAGCCCCCCCCAACAAACCAGGGGGAGCCAGCAGAGCCC